GATCATTATTTATAGCACCCCATTCAATTACTTTCTTCCGAATAGCATCATTTTCGGCAGCAAACTGGTAATGCTTTTATTAAAATCTTTAGTTTTTGGCATACAGCAGGCATATTTAAAAGCGCAATGCAGCTATAGGTAATGCATTCGTACAAAAGCACAGACCTCATTGATTTGATCCAGTATTCCTTGAGCATAAGGATTCAAATTCGGAATATCATGATGCAGCGAGCACGAGTTGTTCCCCTCCTTAATGACCACAAATAATATTTGGAAATTTGGTCACAAAGAAATTTTTCTCAATAAACTCACGACTTTCGAACTGGAATACGTTTCAATATCTCTTGATTTTAGTTTCTTCAGCAATATACGAATAGTGCGGTCCCGTTTACTCAATGCAATTTCACTGATAGCACGAGCCTTTGCTAACTGTTCTTCAGAGATCTAGAAAAGCTATATTGAACAAATAATATTTCATCAATTGAAGAAATAAACTAGTCGAAGAAACTTGAGAAGCTTGTATAATGTTCACTAATTAGCCAAGGCATCAATCTTACAAGTGAAGAGCCAGCGTTTGGGAAACACATGTTATTTTTATAGCAGTATAATTACATCAATTATAATAAGCTATTCAATTTGTTTCGAAGACATTGTAGACACAAGAATTAAGACAAACGAATAGAGTAGGAGGAGGAGACGGTTTGAAGCCACATATCTGCAATTTGTTACTCAAAATAGAAAAAATTAAACCTGCTTCTGATATTCTACTTCCTGCTTAGCTTCATCTGCAATTTGTTGAAGCCTCGTCACTTCAGCTCTTAACGTGTCACAGCGCTTTTTCTCATCCGTGTAATGAGCAGTCTGGTTCGCTAAACCATCTTGAGCAAGCTTCAGTTGATTTTGCAATTGAATTATGTCATGATCCATTTTCATCCGGAGCTTCTTCTCATCGACACTTTGCTGAAGGACTACCGAACGCAATTTCTCAATTTCCCTGCGCAACATTTGAAATAATTAACAACAAACAGAGCTCCCTTTCTAAATGATTAAACGATGTAAAACAAAAGAAGGGATTGATCGACAAGGCAGTAAATTATGAGGCTACATTAGTTTTGAACTTACATGCCTCTTTCTGATATCAATGAAATAGTACTCAAAGAACTGTCGCCCTGACTTTCGTTACCATCATCGCGTTCACCATGTTTTTCAGATAACTGTTGGTGAAGCTAGAAATCGAAAAATTTAAGCAAAAAAATTTTTATTTTTATTTTTATTTTTATAGTTACTATATTCTTGCAACCGAACCAAACTTCAGTAGAAAACAATTCTAAAATTAAGACTCAAATAATTTTGAAGAAATTGTCAGCAGCGACCTCTTTCAATTCGGCTGCACGTTCGTCCCTGTCCATAAGAAGTCTTTCATGCTTTTTCTCCCACTCTTTTCTTTCACTTTCGAATTTCAATCTTTCTTCATCGAGTTTTTTTTTCTGTGAATGCCACATCTGTTCCATTTCTACTCGGCGAACTTTTTCATTATCTAGTTCCGTCTGCATTATCAGATACTAAAAAAAGATGTTAAAACAACAAAGAAATTTTTGTTAGAATTTTTTACATTCCAGGATGCTTGAAGCACCAAGGAAATTTTTTTCGAAAGTATCAAGGAAATTTTGATAAATCGTCTTTTCCCTCTTTCTCTTTTAAATATCAAACAAATAATAAGGAGTGAAAAATCAATATGATTCACTTCTTCAGCGAAATCTTTTCCTTCATTGTCTAGTATTGACGGTAACTTTCTTTTCAGCATAAACAGTTGTGACTTCAAGTCGAATACTTCCGCCTTAAGTTGTTTGTTTTCCTCCTTAGTTTCGGCAATATTTAGATAAGTACGGCGATGCGGTATCGATAACATGCCTAAATTTTTCAGCGAGTGAGGCAGTACTTAAGGACAACTGTAGATAAAAACCAAAACGTTGATAAATTTCATTCTATCCAAAGATAAAGGAAACATAATCATAAACCAACCTTCACTAAAAGCTGCTCCAACAGGTGTCGCATCTGATGAAACATTTCTGAAAAATCTTTCGTCATAAATTTAGAACTACTTATATGTAAATCAAACTTCGGACAAATATGCATAACCTTTTGTGTTTAATGGTACTGGGAGTTAAAGCGCTATTTCGACAATCTACTGGCGTGTGTTCTTTCTGGAAAACGTCGACCTAAAAGACTAAATCTCATTAGGAAAGCACATACAAAACTTTGATTTTACAAGATTCATGGGAAATACCTGCGTCGGTTTATGAGTACTGAGAAGGGATTTCGCTTCCTCTGTTAGCGAATCCTGCGTGGCATCCTGACCATCTCGATCGCTGGTCTCATAAATGAAATTACGCCCCACGTCATCATCCTCTGCCATGTTCTCAGATGCCACCTTAAATTAATACGTTATACTTCTCCCTCTAACTGCAATTTGATTGCAGAAGTCCACTATTTCCTCTAAATACAGACTTGTAATTGTGAATAAATAAAATAGTGGCATCATCTCAATATCGCTGACGATTAGCATTGCCTAGCAAAGCAGCTTATTGGACAACGACAAGCCACAATGTTGGCTATAGATGCACACTGCTTTCTGATTCATTTTTGTTAAAGAATGTGTTATCAAACTTTGATGGACTGAATGAGTAGAAATGAGTCTAAGCAACATGGAATTATAGCGATAACAGAGAGCGGTACTAAGTGGCTACTCATTTCATTATTTCTCGGCTATATGAAATAAGAACTTGTAGATACAATAATGTAAATTAGCAACAAAACTATTTCTTCGATTACTTCTATCCTCATCTACCATTTCAATTCCCATTGATAAGTTTCTCAAATGGAACATATTAATGAATTTGAAATTGATGAGTTTCAGTTCAATTTATTGTGCCATGTACATCTCCACTTCCGTGAATGTATATCGCGCAATAAATTGTTTGCACCATTACATTGACACCAAGCAACCGACATTTGAACTTCTCTTTTAGCGCTTTGAGTTTGAAATGGAGTAGAACAAAGCAGCGCAAAAGCAACCGAACATTACCACACAGTTCAACGACCGTAATACTTGTTATTAGGAAACTTTGAATGGGTTGAGAATATGTTTGTATCGTTTAATTTCCAAATTTTAACACGAAGTCTATTGCCTCTTCATTACTGCTATCCTCTCAATTTGCTATGCACTGCTTCACCCTTTCTTCCAGGAACTCATTAGTTCTTCACATGTTTTATTTCCATGCTTCAATTTCTTTTCTACTTAATATCCTGATTGTCATCGCCACTTACTCATTCCAAACATCTCTTTCACTCATAAATTCTAATTCCGGACACAAAATTATGTTGTGTTGAGTTAAAGTTGTTGAAGATTTTCACAGAAACGAACCATATACGCCAATGATTAATAGTGTTTTTTTTTTCTTTTATAGTATTTATAACTGCCATGAAATTATTGACTCATTTACCGTACACATTACCCAATTAAAACAGACCATTCCTCTTGTTAAATATATATATTCAGGGCTGATGCTGATCAATAAGCGAAATCACCCGAATTTTTTTCGGAAATTCTTTCACCATTTTGATGGAGGATAAGTAAATAAAATCGCATACTATACTGCATATCCATCACTAGCAGTAGTTAGTATTGTCCATATGAGGAAGTGTGAGTTCTCGACTACTACTCCCGTGAATGAGTGACCAATGAGTATGATTGTAACTAAGGACAATATAATACACCACTGTCATTCACTTTACTCGATGATGCGATTGCTGCTACCCCATCAATGTTTATTTATTTGCACACGCACACACACACACACACACACACACACACACACATACACACACGCACTTACCGCACAACCGCTTTACAGGGAGAGCAAACAATGTGTTAGTGTGTGTGTGTCTGTCTTCAAACCTTTTATGCGTTGCTTAACCTTATCGTTTGTTTGCATGCATCATTCGAACTGATTGGTAGGATGTCACGAAGACGACTGCGTTTACCCATATCGTTACGTATCTGTCCATATCATTTTCTTGTCCTCACTATAGAGCTTGGGACTACGGAATCCATTAAACTGAAGTATAAAATTAAACTTTGTGATATTGTACATCCAAAGAATTTTTCCTCCGTGGCTTCGTAGCACATACATTCCTTTAATAGAAAGGGGAAAGTGTTAATGGTTATGATGAATTACGAGTCTTTTCTCTTACTACATGGGAGTTATGTCGATTGATATTTTGATCATTTCGTGAACTAAGAGGGAGCTAGTTACCGTAGAATCGTTCGTTACTTCTGTATTGGATGTAGTTTAGATTGTTTAACTGTAAGTGGTCAGTAGGGGTAAGGCTATTCTCAACTTGCTTCAAATTTCTAAGTATGTTTTCACCACTTCAATCTCACTGCGTTATGATGAGATTCTTGGTGGGATTTCCGAATGGACTGTTCTTATAATTGTAAGAATTCAGTGAAAGGATTTTGAAAACAAGTAACTTGTTAAAAAGACTCACGTTAACCTTTGTGACCTCCGTTTTATGATCATAACAGCACGTTTCCATAAAGACGCATAATGTCTTAGATTCCCAGCGTATGCATCGAGTGGCTTTGAAAAAATCGGGGAAAGAGAGAGGGATAAGATGCAATTTTCTATCTCTCTTTTAAGTAGCTTTTGGTTTTCTCGATGCATACGCTAGATGTTCGAACCGCATCTTTTGCACTACTTAATAGTGATTGTTTCAATTTCTAGCTGATTGGATGAAATTTTTGTCTTGTCAGGAATTATCTAGGAAATTGAAGTTTTTTACGATGTTTCCCTATAAAGTCTTATTTGTTTAAAATGGTCATTGTAAAGGAGTGGAATTATTGTCACATGAAATGTTTAGTAATTATGTTGCAGAAAATTTCGGTGTTTGTTCGGAGCTAAATGGCATAAGATGTCGAGTGGGAGCGGTCAGGGAGCAATACCAGTCCCAGGACCAATCGTTGCACAGTCATTAGATGCTTGGCCACAGAATATGTTAGTAGTTTATATTTTCGACCACTAATTACCAATTTACTATTTCTTTTAATTTCTTATCAACTGAAATTAAATGAAGTAGCTGAATGCGTTGAAACTTCAGTTAATCTACAATTTATATAATTACTAGGGCGGATATTGGAGGATTAAATGGATCGGTATCGAAATACGCGCGGATGGATGGAATTGGGCTTAGAATTGGTGAGGGTGACGAACCTGGATCGGATAATAAAGAGCGATTCGCACGTGAGAATCACAGTGAAATTGAACGACGGAGGCGAAATAAAATGACGCAATACATTAATGAACTTGCTGAAATGGTACCTCAGTGTGCTGCTCTTGGTCGCAAGCCGGATAAGCTAACTATTTTGCGAATGGCTGTCTCCCACATGAAGGTTGTTCAGCTTTCTCATGATTGCATATGATTTCAGTTCTTATAATCTTTGTATCTTAAATATTAAATTTTTGAGATAGAATTTTATTATGACATCTATAAGTAATTTCTGCATTTCTTGTTAAATGCTTGCGGTGCATATTAACATAAATGAAGATAGTCATCTGTTGCAGGCTATTCGTGGTGGTTCACAAAATGAAGCCTCGTATAAACCATCTTTTTTGACAGATCAGGAATTGAAACATTTAATCTTGGAAGCAGCCAATGGTTTCCTGTTTGTTGTTTGTTGTGATACAGGAAGAATTCTTTATGTAGCCGATTCAATTGTTCCTGTTCTTAATATGCGACAGGTTTTCATCAGCACAGCTCTGTAAAATGATGATATATCAGAAAGTTGTTTTTTAATGCTCAAATTTTTAAGTACTCGAAATTGTTCCAAAATCAGATATTGTTCTCCGATAATCTTAGTTCATCTCCCAATGAAATAACGCAACTGTCATCTTACTTCTCAGTAGGATGCGAATACAGATTGATGGACATATTTTCGATGGGTTCTATATTTCAAGATAGTAGGATTTTTAATACCGATAATAGCAAGTAATAAGAAAACTGTCACTGAAAAAACATAAATTTATTTAAGTATATAAATTAACAAATGTCTTCGCTGATTTCTGTTGATAGCATTTCAGTTTTGCTATTCAATATTGTGGAAGACACGCTTCATTTTTTTTCTATTTTCTACTAGTTGTCGGCTAAAACTATCTTCTTTTAAGGATGATTGGCTGCATCATGTTATCTACGACCTGGTACATCCTGACGACATAGAAAAAGTGAGGGATCAGTTATGCGGAAGTGAAGCAAGTTTAAATCGAGTTCTCGATTTGAAAACTGGTACTGTTAAAAAAGAACAGGGTTCCATTCGTGTTCACATGAGTTGCCGACGTGGTTTCATTTGCAGGTAGAGTTGTTATTTTCTCCATTTTAAGCCTTATTTCGCTATTGAATTCTGGGAGCAGTTTATGCAATGAAATTAATATCTTTGATATCAAATTTCGTTCTGGTTTCATTCTTATATTTAATGAACTAATAAATTCCAATTTTTGAGTGGTTGATCTTTTAAGCTCTATCTGTAGGTAAAAAAGTAAAATCAGGAATAGGAAAATACGAAAATTATCCAGTGTACTTCATATGACAACGTGATGAGGAATGAAATCAGGAACATCAGTCTGAATTATAGAAGTTTCCGTTAAACAGTTCTCAACGATATCAACATATGTTTTATATACAACATTTGCTGATTTGTGTGTTATATATGTTTTACCTAGAATGAGACTGGGGCCATTGGAACCTCTTCATCGTCTTTGCAATCGACGACCCATTTTTACACATAATGGACAGAATTATGTGGCAGTACATTGCACCGGTTACATTAAGAATTCTCCACCGAGTGGTCTTGGACTGGATTCACAGCCATCGAGCTGTCTTGTTGCTATTGCACGATTGCAAGTTGCCAGTATGCCGATTAGCAGTGAACAGAATTCCACTTCGCAGTTTTCAGTAAGGCTCGCAGAGGATGGGAAGGTGAAACTATCCATTTTTGTTTTTTTCTGGAATTTCAATGTCATTTGTGATATTTATCCGAGACGATCAAAGCGCATTGTTTATTGCGTGACCTTTATAGATAACATTTGTGGAACAGAGAGCGGCGATTCTGTTGTCTATGCCCACGGAGCAAATATTAGGACGTTATTGGTGGCAGATTGTACATCCTGCAGATGAACAAACTGTGCACGATACTTTTATGCATATTATCCAAGTAACTCACAGTACTTTCGTGAGATGTTTTTACATTTCTGTCCTCTATTTTCTACTCATTAAACAGCAAGTAGTAACTCTAGCGATTTCAGTGTGAAAAATTTTAAGTCTTTATAGCTTAATTTGAAAAATTACAGGATCTTGACTTTTGAGCACATTTCAATAAACTAGAATATTTTCGCTCCCCAGTCGTTATGCTGATAGTTGGTACTTTGATTGTTTCAGAAATCAATAAATATAATACCTGCCTGCTCGAATCGTTCGTATTTTAGCCTTGATTGCATTACTCTTGCAGGACCAAGGCACACAAATATCAGTTCGATTAAGGACACAAACAGATTTCATTCCATGCGCAGTCAGCGCCCATAGATTTTTAAACCCATATTCGGAACAGTTTGAATATGTGGTTGCCACACATATAATGATTCCAAATGACAACGAAAGCTGGCAAGCTGGTTCCCAGGTAAATTGGTTCATCGATGCGAATGGATTGCAGAACTGCAGTTTGCAGTTTTGCAATTCATTTCCGTTGGTGAACCATGTATTAATTTCATACGATTTCGTTTTAAGATTAATAAATCTTACTTATGAGGGTTGAAGCAGAATGACAAACAGGAGACATTTTTAATAATATTGGTGTAAAACTCTTCAACAATATTTAGCTGGGAAATGTGACCCACTGTTTACCATTTGTTGACTATATGATTTTAGGCCTTCCCCGCAGCACCATCTCAATTTGATCCAGGTAACGAGTGGTCCATTAGCAGTTTTGGATCGGATAGTGCTGTACTTGGTGCTAGAAGACATATGTGGAGTGCGGAACAATGGGAACAGTATGGCCAACGGTAATGAATGGGGTAATATGTACGAGCTTTGCATTATTTAATTTGCTACTACCGTGTTTTCATGTTTTTGTTATACGACTAGTTCATTATCTGTGAAGATATATGCATAAACTTGTAAAAGATTCAAATAATAAACCTGTATACAACTCTGCAACTGCATGGTTTAAAATATAAGTTTTTGAATCTTTTAACCTTTTTTAATTTAATATTAAGTTTACTAATTTAACAATTAAATTTTAATTAATAATTATAATTATTATTAATAAATAATCATAGTAATTAAATATAATTTAATACAATAATAATGAAATAATTAATAATAATTAAATTAATAATTAATAATAGTAACAATAAAATGTAATATATAATAATAGTAATAATAACAATAATAATTAAATAAAAATAATTAAATTTAATAATTTTGAATCTTTTCGAATCTTTTGAATCTGCTGTTTTTATCAGAAACATTTAAATAAATGGCTAATAATAAAATGCCACGATAATATACACAATTTCTTATCACAAAATTCATAAAAAAAGAAATTAGAATCTTTTTGCTCCGCAAGATGTGGAGGGATTTGGAAACTTAGAAATTCAAGTGAAGTGTAGTCTCTGTAGGATTAGTACCACAAATGAACGGGATTTGGAATTCTTGGTCATGTTAGTCATGGTGACCCGGAATATTTCACCATGACGAGGTAAGTTTTGCAGGTTCGCTAAAGGAAAGCCATTCTACTTTTGCTTGCGAGAAGTAGATATAACTCAGCGTGAATCACTAATGTTTTCATCAACTAGCGACGATACATATTCCGTAGCTGATAACACAGAAGTGCGATGGCGCGAAAATTTCTTTTCCGACAATTTGGATATGTTCAGTTCAGAACTGATATTGAGCATTGGATTCCACATTCCTTGCACCGAAGCGATTTGGGCAGACTGTCGTGAAACTAGATCAACTACAGGAAGACCACTTCGAGTTCGCAGTAGATTGAGGTGTCTTCCTACCTGCTCCGCATCGAAATTCTTCAAAACAATCTGAATTATGCGTCCATTTCCATACTCCGCTCTTAGCGTTGGAATATTTTGCCTGAAAACAAATAGAACTATATCCAGATATATAGAGAAATATATCGGATATGCTTCTTCTCTGCAAATAAATTTAAGGCTACGTAGAATCGTAATTTCAATTGCATGAATGATAACAAATGGAAGGATATCAGTTGTGGAGGCATTCTTGTTGTATGATCAATGAAGAGCAAGATCATAAAAACGAAGATTTTGATAAGGTGCTGAAGATACTAACCTCCTTCAGAAAGTCAACATGTGGGAGTGCTGACTTTGCAGTAGCGAAAAGTTGTACCTAATGGTTGGGAGCTTCTGGTTTCGTACAAAAAATTGGGATGAACAGCAGAGCAGTTGGTAGTGTGGATTTTCTGATCAAGCAGTAATTTTCAGATATTAGTCACACCATGACTTCTAACGATTTTTAGTTTGAACATTATCACCAGATATGGTTTTGTGATGTATGTTTCGATATATTACTTAGAACATGAGAATGAGTATATCTTCTCTGAGAATCTCTCAACATTGGAAAGGAAGAATGAGAAAAAACAAAGTTGACAACCTGACAGGCTGCACGTAAACGACCACGGAAGGATTTTGTGATGCGAACTGAGACAACAATCCACTGCTGATAAAGTGCCTTACTCCGGAGCTGCATTCATTCTTGCGGCAAAATCGAACAGTAATCCGATGCAGCTGTGGGATATATTTAGTTACACCGTTATTGAACGGTGTAGAAGGATAGCCACTTATACGCCATCCATAGTTTAAATGCATCGCTGCCGTATAACATATCTTAATCCTATCTATGCGTGGTTTTGACGGCATTGCGTTATCTGCAATGAAGAATTTACCAATACCTTAAAATTTACAACCGAACAATTTACATGTGTACAAAAAACGCGCATTTAAGCCCAATTAGTATGACTTATTGGAAATAATTTCTACTACGGGAATTCTGTATGAAGAACATTTTTCCGCTCTTCTTTTTATTTCTCACCACATACGATTATTTGATACATAATGTCCGTGAAGTCTTAGTAAGTTATTTTCACATATGGTACCAAACTTTTTGTCTAAATAAAGTTGAAATTATTCCTCATAATAATAAATAGCATGATACTTCTGACAAAGCACTTCCCGCAAAAAACATTTAAGACAGGAGGAGAGAGCAACGTGAGCAGTACGGGACAAGCAGTTTGCATATGGGGGTGTTGAATGTCAATGAAATTAACGACTACTATGCTAGTGGGTTCTGGTCGGTTTCTTAAAGCTGGAGCGTGCGCTTGAAGGATGGAATGAGGGCTAGGATGTCAGGTGTAGGAGATAGTTAGATATCATGACTTTGACAGGTTGCGTAGTGTGAATATGTACTACACGTGTGAAGTGAACATGAAGTAATGGATTCAGGAAGTGTAATGGGAGCAGATGGCGGTACAATCCCGAAACGTTGCGAGCTTGTAAAAAAGAAGAAAAAAAAGGAGAAACTGGATAAGGATGTAGCGAACGCGACACGATGGCGACTATGTCGGCTAAGCCAAGAACCGCTGAAGAGACCGATTGTAGCATGCAAATTGGGGAAGTACGTAATACATTGATTTTGGTTGATAAAATTATTTAAATATTGCTGGTGGCGATCTCACTGATACATTCTTTTCTTTATGGGAAACTATTCATATTGGTTTAGTATTCTTCTCACTTACGATCGGCAGCATGATTGGTTTGACAAGGGTTTGTGGCAAAAGCTTTTACAATTCCAGTATTAGAACATCATTTTCGTTATTGAGCATGAAGTGCTTTTCTTGGCGAGTTTGGACGTGAGCTAGCAGGTTTGACTTCTTGTTGTTGTCTTGGAGTAATTATTTTTAGTTTCAGCTTATATAATAAAGACGAAGTTCTCAAATCTATTTTGTCGAAGAAAATTGGTAGTTGTGAAGTGGCAAAGCACATCAAAGGTTTGAAAGATATTAAGGAATTGAAGCTAACGGATAACAAAGAATACAGGGAGAGTGGAGCTGACAAGGGAGATATCTACAAAGACCATAATATTGCGCCATTTTGCTGTCCAGTTACCGGGATTTCAATGAATGGCAATCATCCGTATGTTTGGTCTTATTGTTTTTAATGACAAAATATAAAAACGAGTTGTTCTTTTCCATTTTCTTTTTTACGATTCTGATCTATGGTTGCTTCCCTTATATCTGTTTACACTCCACATTTTTTATATAATTATGGATGAATAGACGATAAAGGATTTAATCATCTTTTATTAGTTTTTCTTTCTCATCCTAAATTTTCAACATATATAGTGAAGAACGAATTTGTGATTTATGAATTTATGATCGATCAAATGTCACATGTTCGAGGAATATTTAAGATTTCGTATAGACAAAGTCACTTTTCTGTAGCCATTTTTTTATGTCTTTTTCTTCTCATAAATTCATAATCGTGAGTACCGCTTTTAGGTTCTAACCTATTTTGCGGAAACTTTCAGTTAATCTCTTCATTTTTTTATAAAAATTCTGATGGATTTTCTCCAGTGAGATATGTGATAATTCATATTTCTGTTATGCTTGATTTGGAAAGCAATACTTCAGATTCACCGTTAACTGGAGATGTGGATGTGTCATCTCGGAAAAAGCAATTGAAGAAGTAAAACCAGATGTATGCCATGGTTGCGGAGGTCCATTCAGCAAAGACGACCTCATTCTGCTTAATCCCCCTCAGGATGTCCTTGAGATTTATAAGAAGCTGGAAGAGGAACGACTAAAACGAAAATTAAGCAAGGTACCAAGTAAGTATATTTAATACTATTATGAGTTATATATATATATAAGCAATCACTGCCATGAAGGTTAGAGTTACGGTTGTTTGTGCTTCTCAACATATAATTTTGGGAGTTCAGAAATCACAGAAATACATGTTTAAAGTTTAAGGGAGATCACGCGTGGATAATTATTTCAGGAATGATAAAATTTAAGAAATCATTCATGTTTAGAGTGGTAACTACAATTGTAAATTCACTACAACCTGTTCTCTACGGAAATATATTTTAGAATCAACAGAGAAAAAGTCGAGTGCTGCAAGTAAAATGGAGGAGATCGGATCTACTCAGAAAAAAGAGAAAGTAAGAGAGAATAAAAAAGAGACGGCAACATTGATCAATTTTGAAGGGTTGCTTAGAAAAGCGGAGAAACGGAAAGCCGATAAAATCAGTTCAATTCAGGATTCAAATGCATCTGCAGCATACAAGTCACTGTTCACGACATGTGAAGAAGCAAAACATAAGCCAGAACCACACTGGATAACGCATAATCCACTCTTTTACTGACATGTTGCATATGGTTTCAGATATCTGTGATTAAAGCATTCTTGCTGATAATGTAGAACATAATTTAGCACTTCCATGTGCATAACATGTATTTTATGCAAAGGAAACAAACAGGTCACAGAGGATTTTACTTCTATTGATAATTTCATATATTTCATCTCTGAGAAATATAGTCCCATTTCTTTATTATTTAATTCTTCTCATCTGGATAAGAATTTGAGAAGGTAGAGCGAAAACCCATTACTCAGATCTTGCACCGTATGTTCTCAATTCCTCTCAAATGTGCTTTAGTTCAGCGTTTTTCTCCACATAATGACCTGAGAAGAAACTACGTAAAGGTGAGATTGGAATTTGGGATGGGGAATAAACGAAACGATTTCGCTTGAACAACTGAACTGCTACTCAGTTTCCGTTTGCCCAACTTTCTTTTTGAAGCGATATAGAGTTGCTGAAAAAGATACGCCTTTTTTTTCTCTTAATATTCAAAAAAATTTCATGCTACTAGAAATTGGCCAGAAGTGGTTAAAATGATCTAGCAACCACAGTCATTAATTTCCCCACATCTGTTCTTTCTGTGTCCTTATTCCCTTACTGGATTTCACACGGCATTTTTTAACAGTCGGAGCTCTCTTACCTTGCAAAACACTACTGGTTCAGTCCTCTCATTATAACCAGCAAATTTTTTGGTAGCCGAAACAATTACCGGTCGAATTCGTTCGCAGAGACGCTGTACATTATTCCTGAAATAAACGTGAACTTATACTACTCTTCAAAGTACGCCATCTGATTGTTATATTTGGGTTGTTATATTTGGCTTCAGTAACTATCTCACCTTTCAGCATATTGATAAAGATCATAGACTGAACAAAGAAGTTGGCTCTCTACTGCATTGTTTTTTATCTTCCGCTGTATGCAGTTGAAAAATCTGGCCAAACCGTTGCGATAAAGCATTATCAGATCTCGTTTTAACAAATAATCACTGGAAACAGAAGTTCATTATTTTTAATTTGTAATTATTGATGGGCGGCAAAAGTCCAGTCCAACAAAAATGAACTCAGGAATTTCTCCGAATTTACTTTTTCAATCATGTCCGTAATGAAAATCAATAAAGGAAGAAAAGCTTACATATATTTAAGAAAATCCCAAAAGTTATTCCCTCCCTCATCATTGCCGCAATGAACCAATTCTATATTTTTCACCTTTTCAGTGTTTTACTTTATAAATGAATTAGAAATACAAGCTGAACTAGAATATGAAATCGCTAAATCCTGATTGAAGAAAAATGCTTTAATTCAATTCCAAAAAGAAAGTTTTTTGTACCATCTATTTAATAGTGGTATGTGCCACTTACGTGTTGTTGCAGAAATCCAATGTGCAGAATGTATGAATCAAAGTTCCAAGAGCCTCAAAATCATCCAGCAAAGCGGATAAATATATTGCTAATGCTCCTATGCGAGCAAGGTGATACTGAAGTGCATCTCCCCGATCAATATCTTCACAGGAAATCGTTATCACATTCTGCAAATCATCCTTGATGGACTCTTTCCTGGATCTTTTAATTTGAGAATAAATTTCTGGTAGAAAATGACCTCAAATATGTTGTCTGGGTTGAAGTTTGTCCTCTTTCTAATCAGAAAACGACCGAATAAATGATTCGATGCTTCCTGAATATCTCCTTTGTATAGGGCTAACTGCGACAGTCGATAGTATGATTTGAAGTGTGGAAATCTGAAACAAGATGTGACAAGCTATTTCACACTTTACCAAAGCAGAAGAAAACTGGACTTATGATTAAAAAAAACTCAAGCATCTCAAGAAAATCGGAAGTTTTTTAAAATCTGTATGCAAAGAAAATGCAGTTGTTGGAATATCTTAAGTACAAATAACGAATAAAACTGAATAATATGTAAATGAAATAAAAAATGTCAGCAACTGCAGACCTACGGATACAAATGTTGAAAGCTTCTTCGCAAAGGTGCAGAATTTCCAGTTTTAGCACGGTCCGTTCTATCAAATCTTCGAGCGCTCCTTGCACAGTGTCAGTCGACTCCGTACACCTATACATGAGACTGCTGATAACTGCTTTTACTTGTGGACATTGAGAAAATTCGTCACTATCCTTTTGCTTACAAACACCATGGTTTCTGAAACCAACATTAGTATTTTATATAGTAAAGGCATAAGCGCCTTTTTGAAAGTTATTTGAATTTTAAATAAACGAGCAAAGAATGAGTAAAAACAGTTTAATACACTTCATAATTTTCAATTGATTCCGTTTTGTTGCATCAGGAAAGATTTTTCCGAACTTTTTGAAATCTAAAACTGAAAACTGGAAGTGAAAACGAAAATCGGCCAACAGCTAACCGAAAGCATAAAGCAAAAGCATGCATTAACATCAGATCCTCTCGATTCCAATCTGTTTCCCTTTCCAGTAAGTACTTCAGCAAAGAGGCGTAAGCACGATAGTGGATCTATAACAATGTCGTGCCTCATCAATTTTCACAAACTTTGAAATCTAAGACTGAATCAGTTTTTGTTGCATTTTCATATAATCAGAAATATACAGAAGCGTCCTTTTTTTCTCTTACTTCTCACTACATAATGAATTAATAACTTATTCACCTCGATTGCTTCAACATGCTCCTGCCTCTTGGTATTGATTCTGCTTGGGTACTGAACTCCCGCAGCTTCCAATTGAAGAGCCGACTCATGATAATGATGAAATACCTAAACAATCCATTTGAATCTTATTCACTCGCTTTTGAATCTTAAATTAAAAATCAGATTTAAAAGTTCAAAAAGTTGATTTAATCTGGACTCGAAAAAATTAGATTTAATTTCAATTCAGAAAAATTACGTCTTCAAGAGCGCCTCCACATTTCTCTGCAATTTTCGCTAAGAAGTAGTGACATCGCCATTTGTCTACATCACCGTCTGGCAAACGTGATATGCAGATCTGAAACTGATGTCGACTTTCTTCCAAAAGACCCTTGATCCGGCGCTCAGCCCATCGATGCCGAATGTCATCCACAGAAAGCTAAATTTTCTGTTTTATCAAAAATGCCTGGAATACCAAAATATTTTATATTATATTTAAAAACCTTGTCTCTATATCGACGTATTCGAGAATTGATTTGATATAAAGCGCTGCCAAAATTGAATATAACATATCGATCAAATGGATCAAAAAAAAGGGCCATTCGAAAAGAAAAGACACTACAATCAAAGTGCAGGGACATTTCATCTTCATCCACCTAGAAATAATGAAGATTAACAACTAAGTAAATCATAAAATCAGTGCTTAATAAATCAAGTCTACTTTTCAGAAAGAAAGAAACATAAATGAAGAGTTAACTGACTCAAGTGCAAAACAAAAACATGGGTCAAATTGCGTGAAGCACAACTCTAATATGATTAAAATATTCGCATCATAAAGTTGGGTCAATGTCTTTTTCTTTTTCCTAATGGAGGAAAACTTGCCGTGAAAAAAACTGAGGTAGCAGCGATAGCTAGAACGGTCCAGTCCCAAAAAAACACTTCTTTGGGTAGTGTAGCAGAAGCACAAATAAGAAACAATTTAGCATAGTAGACAGCATCATCTGCTTTGTGATTGCGATATGAGTGTAGTGCCAGCTGATAAAAAACTCCTGATCGCAGCTGAGAACTTTCTGTACATCGAGGCCAATCTGCCTGAATCTCTGCTTGCGCAATGAAACGGTCAAATGCGAACAGCTGTAAAATGAACTGATGACTGTGAGACAGAAGATCTACTAATGCAAAAATAAAAGCGCGGCGATGCCGAAAAATCTCCTTACAACATAATAAATAAGCTGACAGAAACGGATATAACTTTGATGCTTCGTAAAATCTCTTTAGGTTTTTCGCTGCCTTTTTTATCAATTTTAATTTCTAAACAACTTTTCAGTTGTAACTTCTTATTTCTCACAATAATAACCTGTCCCCATTCCTTCTTTTACTTTCCATTGCATTTTTCTTGCAACTTGCAGCTACGCAATTATTCAATCTCGCCTTTCCTTTCCATCTATTTCGTCAGTTATGTATAACAAAACATAACTTTATGCATAGTTTTGAAATCTTTTGAACATGCTCACTACCTTTTCTTTTTCATCCTCTGTAGGTTCCATAAATGATGATGCTTTCTTTTGCACAAACTCAATCAGATCAGAAGAACAAGTGCCATCATATGGAGGTATTTTGTCAGGTAATAGCAACGACAACACGTTTTCAATATCTTTCAAACTTGGCTCATGATTGTGTGTACCGCCATGTTCTTCCAATTGTCTTTTACGCCTTGATGGACACCTGAACAATGGAAGTTTAAGTACTCAAAAAAATTTGAATTAATTCAAAATTTAGTTTCAAAAATCTTGCACTGCAACTAAGCATATGATTTACCCATATAAGCAAAACAGACACTGATGCACTTCATCCATGAAAGCACGACTTTGTTCCATACATTCTCGTGTTGAAAGAACCTCAACAACTGCAGGATGAGTCCGAATTTTTGAAAATTCATTCAAAACAAATAATGGGAAACTGTGCTGAAAATATATTGTAACACGATACGTATTTAGTCCACATGAATAACAAAGCTTGGACTACTTTCAAAATTTCAGTACTTGAACCACATATCTACTAAGATCCATTACCTATGCAAAACAATAAAGTGTATTGTGGCAGAGAAAAAAAGGAAGAAGACTTTACACAGTGACTATCAGTCAAATGTATCTCATTCACTTTCAAAATTTTAGCTAAATTTTAGCTAGATATTAAGGAAAAATACATCATCAACGAAGCATTTGTCGTGCTTTGCTATCGCTTCATGCGCAGTGACTAGAATATTCAATGCAGAAGTAAGCATTTGACAACCACCGTCATATAATGCCGATAGCGTTTCCACTGTGTGCTCTCCCTCCAAATGGTAAGCACAACGGTATAGCATAAGCCAAATAGCAGTATCCTGAAACGGTTTACTGTCAAATCAAAAATACTTAAACTCACTCGCACTCCGTTGAACGTGAATTCATAAATATTTGAAGTGATACATACTGATTCGTATCCATCGAGAACAAGAAGATGAACAATGGAATGCACTAGATTAGAAATATTTTCCAGGCAGATATTTTCTATAGCAAGCCGTTTCAATCTAGTGATCACTTCCTCAGTTCCAGCAAGTCCTCCAGTAAAACCTAGCAATCTGCAACTTCCAAATAATTTGCAGTAAAACCTTATATTAAATCTCCACATGTCTCAGAGAAATGTACCTGCTTATCCATTCAGATGCACCATCCATATTGTTTAATTCAAGGTATGAATCAATTAGAATTATCGCTGTTGAAAGGAGAGCACTGCGATCCACATCCTTCCAGCTGAAGTTGCCGATGATAATGTTAATCACCTAAACAATTGGCTACCATAAATAATTTCCAGGTTAACATCATTTTTATCTGTGCTGTTAGATTCACTAGACATAAAAAACACACACAAAAAAAAAATCATAACAGTCACTTTCAAATAAAATATTCCCTTATCAAACTATTCTTTCTTTGGTAAGGATTTTTTTTATCCCGTGAATCTAAATTTTTCGAATACACCATTTCCTTTTTCATAAATATTTACTACATAAATTACCCTATCAAATTGACGACTATCGAATAATTGCTGAATGGCTTCCAGGCTTTCCCGACGTTCTATCTGAGCAATGAGATTCTGAACTGTTTCTAAGCTGATTAATTCATGGCCACTAATCAGTGATTGGTAATTGACTTCAGAATTATATCCAGATTTTAACGTAACCAATAACATTAGCAGATAATTTTTACAAACCTAAAAAAATGTTCAATATCGGGACTGAACAAGAGTCTTCAAAAAAAACATAAGGTATGAGTAATACTAATCAATTTGCTAGTTTTGCTACAGTTAGTTTAATTTTAAAAGCATGGAAATGCCTTGTACCTGAAAAGGGAAAATGTTTGTACCATTTACTGCAATTGACCAAAGTATTCGAACGCGTAATTCCTGCTCCAGATATGAAGAAAGTGAAGAGTAACAAATAAACATAGCTTTTTCGGCACCTAATTCAGCCAGCATCGTATGAATAGGAAGAAATTCATTGCCATGAATCATCGAAGCATTACCAAAATTATTAATCCATCGAGCATAACAGCCAATAATGACCTGAACGAATATTTGAACGAAAATGAAAAAATATTTCTTTTTCAAACGAATTTCCAAAGCACAATTAAGAGATTAGGAATCAGTCAAATTAAGCATAATAGTCAAGTCAAAGTTAGTGTTTACTGACAAGCAGGAGAAACATTGCTGTTAAGAAAAATTATCAATTTCCTAAACGTTTGACCGATATAGTTCATCGCAGTGTTCGAGGGTAATAAATTAAGCAATGTCGAAACATAGGAGATCTATCAGGAAAGACTGAAGTAAGTCCAGAAAATATTACCAGCAGATCGCTAAAGACCACCTAAACTACCGAAACTTAATGAATGCACCAATTAAATAACACGATTGCCGTCCTCAACAGTAAGCTTTTTCCATTATGAAGCAAAACAAGTAACCCATAGCACAGTACACGAATATAATTCTTTTTTAATGAAGATACAATTTTTGTAATTGAACATCAACAAGGGCTCGATATTTAGTATTATCACAATAAATTGTCATCATATATGAGTCCTTTATTCTGTGTTTGATATTTAATTAATATATCAGTTGTTTATATCTTAGTGGATCGAGAGTATTGCATGCAGATTTCACCCATTAATTATCATATTATTTTTTATTTTTTGCTTTTCTAGCTACGTTCATATTGTTTTCGAGTCAATTATAGGAGACTCTATATACCTATTCTGATTCTTCTTAAAAGAAAATAAATAAAGAACAGATTTGGGAAGGAGTTATACTCTCCAAAAAGCCATAAAATCTCTCCTCATCACCCTTTCCACACTCCACTTTCTCATCCGCAGCTTTCATTCAAAAATGATAGAAGTACCTCTCGTAAGCGATCCGTAATAATAATGCAAAAACAGTTCTTCGAGTACCAAGAGAGTAAATGCTCCAAAATTTCAAAAATCCGTCCGTTTCCATTCATAAACTTGCTTGCGATATATGTGATGCACCTACGCAGCGATGCTTTATCATCCATCAATACGTGTAATGGAGCTCTTTTTACAGGTAAGCTTGCTAGTGTGGATGGTTTCATCGATAGAAGTGGAACAATCGAGGATTCTTGTGCACATGAATAATTCAGCAGCTGAAAGAGAATACTTGATAAACTAATTTTAGTAAGGAAAAAAGCAGTACAATAGAAATAAGTCCTAACCGAATTATGCATAATGCTAAACAGATAATCTATAAACATACTGAGGCAATCAAGATCTTATCATTTTCTGAACCGGATTCTTCAATGTTAAATTCTGCGCGGAAACGAACGGAACGTCGTCTCCAGTCCAAACAGGAATCTGATTGTTTTCGTTTTCTAAGAGGTACATGAAACAGCAAATACATTCATTATTTAATATCAACAATGTATGCCATTCAGACACAGCGTATCACATGCTAAGATAAGAGTGATGCATCGATACAACTTAATAGTTTATTCATAAAACCACGAATTTATATCTCCCTGATAAAATAATATCAAAAATACAAATATTTCTTTCCCTAACACGGTTATGTAGAATTTTATCAATGAATGTAATTTTAATCCATATAAATTCTTCAAAAATACTTACATGCAACAAAAAACATAGAAGTATTTTTTGAAAAACTTATATGGATTAAAACACTATGCAAAATTTAATATAACTTACAATATTTGAAGCAGGTTGAATAGCTTCTACAGGTACAATTCTATCAATTAAATCCTGGATCACGTTAACACAATCCATAAGATCATTAGAAACATCATGCACAATGTCCTCGAACTCATCTAACAGATTCGTACCACATATTACTACAGCTTGTTTTGAGAACTGCAGAAATATGTTGATAGAATATTCTATTGCATTTAATACTTTGACAACTTTTAACTCCTCGAATCAAATCTTGTAATGAAATTTTACGTCTTTCACAGATGTCTGCACATATCATCTTGATTCAGTTGTATATAAGCAAAATCCTCGTAAATGATTACTATTCATTAATGTTATTCGAGACCACTGCACACAATGTATTGGGACAGATAAAGTTGTGCTACCAGTATGGTGGGTACAGCTTTTATAATTCTTAGCAGAAATATGGACAAATAAAAACGGTGAGCGACTTACACTGGAGAAGGATTCGATTCGATCATATACATCGCACAAATAAATTCCTACTTCTGCTAAGCTGAAAAATAAAATGCAACATTCTAAAAAAAGTGGAAAACTCAAAAAATTAAAAAAGAGATTATGCTTTGTAATCAACAGAAACGACAACATACTCTGAACAAGTACTTATGTCAACCACCACTGGTTTGAACACAGGTTCAATGTCAGCAGTAGATTTTCCAATATTTGTGATTTCATTTAGAATCTGCAAATAACCTCGAAAGTAATTTTAAGTCCTTAAAACAACCATCCACAAACTTTAGCACCTTAAAAAAACCGCTTTTACTGTTCTTAGAATATCCTATCTGTCTTGAGCACCATCCAACAATACTGTATGTTTTAAAACAAGAAATTTAATTTAGCTGCGCATTAATTTGCTTCTACTACATAATTCAAAATACTATTCTAAACTATTCTGATATAAAATAAAATCAGAATTAAATCAACGAAAATGTAAAATATGAAAATCAGTTAATCTGGAAGAAAAAATAACGAATTTGCAACGTTAACAAATTGAAATATGAATCGAATAACCTGAGGAAAACTGCAGATCAAACTTACCAATTCTTTTTCGTTCTCCGTAATTTTTATAGTATTATTGTGCTGTACAAAAACCGGATCTTCGTTGAACATTTGACGACATTTCATTTCCCAATAAGAACTTGTTTCTCGAATGATTTCTTTCAAAACTCGTCCCAAAAAATATGTCTTGTCGTACTCCAATACAGATTTTATTTTCAGGAGACAATCTAAAACAATTAAATGCTTGATAGGTAGTAAATCATGTCTCTTTCCAAGTCAATTTGGTCCTAACTAAAGGGGAACTGCAGTACATAATATATGCTGCATAAAACGACTGGGATCTATCCAGTTAGCACTTCGTTATCAATCTCCTGTTTTCATATTGGGACAATATTTAGTTTACACCACTGTTACGTTTGTTTCACAAAATAATTTATTTTCTTTTTGCATTTAAATATTTTGAGAGCAATTTAAATATTTAAATATTTCAGTAATTACTTATTAAAATATATATTGGAAAACGCTCAAACTGGACGATCAATTTCCGAAATACTCAGAAGAGCGTTCTATTAACCATTATATAAGAAAAAATGAGAGAATGCATGCAGTGCCATAGACCAATCCCATACTTTTAGGGCTTCTTTTCCTACATATTTCCGTAAATATTCATCATTTGAATATACGGTTAACGCTGTAGTATAAAAAGATAAAAACAGAAAAATAAGGCTTGGTATCTCAAACTGTATGCATTTCATTAAATGGATAAGCAGACAAATTTTCGAATCTCAGCAACAATTAACAAAAGATTAAAAACCTTCAAACAAGTTAGCGTTATACAAGGCGATAAGGATCCCGCGAATAACACTCCAGGCAGATGAGCACTTTCCGAATGCATACAGTGCCATAGACCAATCCCGTACTTTCAGGGATTCTTCTCCTACATGTTTCCATAAATATTCATCATTTGGATATACAGTTAACGCCTGCAACATAAAAAGATAAAAACAGAAATCTCAGTAAGAACCCGGACTGTTTTGCATATAAAGCAAAATATTTTGTATATAAAGCAAAGACTAAAATAAAATAATATCAATATTCTTAATTACCTACCTTTTATTTACCAGTGAAATATTGAAAAAGCTGATGGTGAAAATGAAGAATATTGATCATTTAAGACTATTAAGACAAAACTTACGATTAACAAGTGATCTATTGGATCGTCTAGAAGTCGACTGATATTGAAATGCAAGGAAGAGAAAAGGCGAGCCATAGCTGATACACGAGATTGATTCGCACAAGCTTCTTCTCTGGCCTCATTCCAGTTAAACGAATTGATGTTGACCTATAGAATAAACATAATAGTGAAATGTCACACAAATAATAAGCTAAATAATGAAAGGTAATAATGAAATAAGAATCTACAACTAATATTAACATTAGAGTTGACTTTTTCACACTAACACATAATATCAAATATATAATTCTCATTGAAATATTCAGCAACCATTTTGCAAACCAATTAAATTAGTTAAAATCCAAGAAAGAAAAGATGTTATAGCCTTAATAAGTCTGCATCGATGGAACGAGGAAAATGATAAGTTAATATGCTGACTTCAAACTTTTGAAGAATTGGATGTTGAAGAAGTTTTTCCATTATTGTAAGCGCTTTCTGCTTCTGACCGTCTACGATAAGATTAAGAGCCTTCGTATAATCCGCTTGCAGCGAAGCTTCCTGCAATTAATTTATTCCCTATTCGTTATCTTTGTATACTGTTCTATATATATGGCATTAACAAAACTCACAACTGCTTCTTCAGTTTGTGCTCCGTCATCCATAGAATCCCAAACGTTGATGTCATCAGCTCCATCATCATCACTACTTTTCTCTTCACTTTCATCTTCATTGCTGCTTTCTTCAGCTGAACTTTCATCACTTTCTGTACTGCTTTCCTCATCATCCTCTTCCTCATCGTCACTACTGTTTTCCACATCATCGATCCGTACTGCATCACCTGGCTCTGCCATCGATCTGTAAGCCGCAAATCAGTGCAAATCTCACATCTGTGATTTTTCACTATCAAAAAGTTTCCAGAAGCATTAGAAAATCGTCTGAAGGTACCAATCTTAACTCTAATAGAGAATACACAAAAGTCTTTGAACTAAAAGCGAATTAGATCTTGACCAAATAAATTAATAGATCAATGAAAAAAATGAGCAGAAAAATCGAGCAAGTGAAGTACATTCACCAAATCGTAAAAATCATGATTTTCTGAGATTTGTTACTTAAGCATAATGTCTTTCATAAACTAATTCGAACAGAATAATAGAGCCATGAAAGGACAAGTTTTCATTCTGTTGAAGTGCGTTGAAGATCAAATAATCGGGTACGCTATGTAGTGCAACCCTATAAGTACCACTATAAGGGCTCGGCACGTACTGTAAAGAAATATAAAACGAGATCGGACCACGTAATGTAAGGATTTGGTCTCATTAGAACTTTTCCTGCAATAACATACTATAAAAATCATGTACTTCTATGAATACGAATTGGAACTTCGCTATAAAACAGTTTCAAACATCAAATGCATCAAATACACCGGAATAACATTTATAAAAACTTCACTTCAATGATAACAAAGTAGTAAAAAATCCTTATCATATAAATTGCGCCTACAACGACATTTCAATGAGATTACGGCAGTAATAATCCCCAATAAAGCGGTAAACATGGGAGGGAGTGAAGGTAGATGTATGTGATATGTACTGTAATATAAGCTCTGCAGAGATCAAATCAAAAAGAGGATTCACAATTTGAGCATCTTCAATTTCTTTCATCTCTGTGAAAGGTATCACATCAGTGGCGGAACCCAAAGAATGTATACGATCGATATCTGCTACAAAAAATGGAGTAAATTTGTAGAAAGAAGCACAAACTGAAACTGGTACTGCATGTCGTTTAGCTGCTAAACATATCATTAGACATCCTGAAACATTCTTGCACTAAAATATGATAACTAGAAGTATATTAAAATGTTAATTCAGCTTCTAAAAAATTAAATAAAATTTTATTCCTAAACTCTTAAATAAAACAAATTAAGTTATGATATTCTAAATGAAACAGTACCTGCTGGTGCCAAGCAAGAGCCATCCGGGAATACTGCGACAGCAGAGATAAAAACTCGGGTAGCACGCTGCATAGCAGTTAGAACATCCACTGATGATATGCAATCACAATCAATTTCTTCATCTACTACCAGTAACCGAAAACTTTTCTGGCTTTTTCGAGCTGATTTGAAGAAAGTTTTAAGTGTAGATGAGAGCGACAATGAATGCGTTATGATAACATCAGATGTACAGATATGATCACTTGCCTTGAAAGTAAATTCGTGTTTTATTTTTTACTTTATGCCTATGAAGATAATAACTTCACAGCAAAAATAAATTATAAGATAGTACTCGAACAGTATTGCGCACAAAATTATATCAATACTATTGTGCTCCATCAATTAATTTTCAAAAATTTTGATATCTTAAGCAGTTTTTGTCAATGACTTATGAATAAGGGCTGCAGTTATCGTAATCAACGGACATTTCTTGAAGAAAGGTATAGTACAAGAAAAGAAGTATACTTTGCTTGATCAAAATTTAGAATCTTTGAGCATATTTAATATTTCTTTGTAGCTGTTACTGGTGAAAACTTTTACCTGAGCACATATATCTTCGATACAAGTATCGATTTCGGTTGCAAATTCATTGATAGCAACAACAGCTGATTTTCGAAGTTCTCGTGCATCCATGACTTTTTTACTGCCCGGAGTTTTCCACAGTTCCTACAATATGATACGACTAAGTTGAACATGAGAAAATTGCATTTTTCTTTTTAGCACTATAGAAGAGGTGTATAGTGCTCTCTTCGGATTCAAAAGTAACCGAACCGAACATTTAAAGAATCGTGGGGTATTAGGTTTCCGAATGCAGCATTTGTTTGATCGTTTTCTTCACAGATCATCTTGATCACACATAATATAATGTTTGAAACAACAAACTGATATGGTAACGCCTCCAATAAACGTTTTCTTTCGGTTTCCAGCAACTCAATCAGATCTCTGAAAAGCATTTATCGAGAGTGATGATCATTAAAATTAGTTAAATGCGATAATTTAAATATGCATTTTACGATCAGGAATATTAAAAAAAACTAATTAATTCAAAAACCCAGCCAGTATTTCTTCCCTTTTTTAACCTGTTTCAGGATGATTTCACTGCAGTCCATTATCAAAATGACTTGAAATGACTATAAAACTCACTGAGCACTGCTGTACTTTCCAAGACCTACGATTTTCCGTACATAAGTCAAAGTATCGACTGCGATTTTATGAGATGATACTTGTCGCATGCTGCAAATATTCCATTTGAAAATCCTGTAGTTTTCATTTACTTTGAATTCAAGTCCAAATGAAACAATCATAAAATTGGATATGAGCTTTTTTCCATTGTTTAATGTAAAAAAGTGTTACTTCCCAAACAGATAATCTCGTTTAATACTTTCGATTTCATTCTTCCTTCCAATTCGAATACATTTAAATTTTAAGAGGTAAACACACCCATTTTTCTGTCGATGTATAAATAGATGCCGTGCGCTATTTTGGTCTATTTCCTTTTTCACTTCATTGTTTTCGATACTCTTTTTGATTGCATTCATTGTTTGATTACAACATGCAATGTTTTTATTCTGAATATGTAAAATGGTAATCTTCGCTTCATGATGATGACGGGGTGTTAACTACTATGTTAACTACAATTATAACTACTACTACTGCTGCAATGACATTTATACTATACAGGAAAACGAAGAATGAAGTTCGTCATTTTAATCCGCATTTCATTCATTGGAAGTAATGAAGTACTAATGATGATAATGGTGATATTGGTGATAATAGAGAAATAACGAACGATATTGATAACCGGAAGTATGTGATGGACATACCAATAACCGTAATGCAGAAAGTCTGTCACTACAAGTAACAATATCAAATGATACTAAAAGTCATATTAGAAATCGCTCTAGCCGGAGGGAACATAATCTACCTGTTCTGACTACAATCCCTACTCTTACATATTCTATATAATCCATACTTAATAATATATTGAAGACAATGATACCAGACCGATTGGTATTTTACGGTGGTTTTGTGAGATATTCTGTTGCTGTTGATTACCTTTGAATATTAGAGGTAAGTATGCAAGAGTAGGGTTGGGGGAGGGAAGTTTTAGACTAGAGAAATGAGGTTGGACAAGAAGCAAATTTGAATGATTACTTTTATGAATTTAAAATTGATCATAAAATAGTGAATATAAGTTGCTATATCAATTACATATTTGGCCCAGGAACTGTTTTACCAATGTTCAGTATAGTTGTGGTTCAAAAAATAAACTGAGAATTTTGAAAATGAGGAATGTAGTAATAGGTCATCAAAATTTGACAGTGATCGGTTGAAAGCAATCACTGAAACTGATCCTCTTATCCAATAACAGCAAATTTATGAAAAACCTAACAGAGCAGTTCTCTGTGGTTATTTGGCATTAAAGAAATGAAAAAGTTCAATAAGTGGATATCTTATGATGTGATTGTTTGAAAAAGTCGCCTTTCTGAAGTATCACCTATTCTGTGCAGAAACAGGAATGCGACAATCGGTGATAATCATCTCTGATTAAATCGAGAAACTTCAGTGCACTTCCTAGAGTTCCAAAGAGGGCACTTTTTGTGATTTAATGCCGCTACAACTTGTTAAATATCGCCGAATTAATTGAGATGTATGCTCAGCAAATTGATGAAATACACCGATAACTGAAGCATCTGCTGCTAAAAGTGGTCAACAAAAATCGTCCCTGTGAAGTATTCACTTCAGCTCTCTGATTATATCAGATATACGATTCAGAAATGTAACGAATTGTGCTGCAGTTAGCTAGAAACTTTATCTGCTTCTTCAGTCATTTCGAACTTCTTTCAGTAGAAATATTTCTGCAGCCATCAGAATTCTGAAAGTGCTTTCCAAGAATTAATCAAGTCCCTTAGCACTAATTTCTGTAAAAAACAGACAAACTTATTTCTGGTTGATAAAAAACTTTTATTGTTATGATTAATTTTAATTAATAAAAACGTGTTTGAGCATAGTGAATTAAAGTTTACGATTTGGGATAGTTATAGCTGTCCTAAATGTATGTTTGCAAGGTACCGATGCAGATAAAGCTTTTTCAGTATCGTTGATAATGAGGCTAAGAGACAGGCATAGTTTTGGACTACCATTTACTGATTTATTTTCATTGCTATCTCCTATGTGATTTACCTTTTCTCATGATATTTCAGATTATCATTTTTTATGATACTGTTCACATAGAAGCTATACGATTATCCGGCAGAGAAACAATCATGTCCTGTTCGGCTATTTTTATTTTGGACCTGAAAGGAAATGTAACTTTTTTCGCATAATTTTGTCAGAATCACTGAAGAGACAGTCTTGAAATATTTAGAACTGGTAGAATTAATGGATTTTCAGATTTTTATTCACGATTCCTATAATAATATGTGAGAGATGCAACGTTTTCTCATGTACTAATAAAGAAAGATTGCTTGATGTAGGTGATAATGTCACGGAATTATCGAGGGGACGTAGAAATGTTCGTTATTGATTCTTTCATGCCCCTGCTATTGGAGAAAGAGGATGAGGGTCTTTTAGCTCCAGTGTTGCAAAAGCATGATATCAGCTATGTTTATGTCAAGCATCTCAACATATTTCGTAGGTTTTGCTTTCTTTTGTTACCTTTTGATAGAAAATTTTTCGAGTACAAATTCGATATATTTCAAATCATCATTGTCGATCAGCTTTGAATAATTGCATTATATGATTTATAAGATTTAGAAACTGATTTGCATGTGATATGATGACAGCTTATGTATGAAACATTCTTTAGGTGAAAAGTACATCATTTGCTGTTCTTTAACTTTAAACTGGCCATTGTAAACTTTACACTGGTTATTTTCAGTTGTTTCGATATCAAAGAAAAATGTTAATGTTGCAATGATGCTCGCTTTCCTATATAAATGTATTGAAGTATTCAGTGAATATTTCAAGGTTTGTTTCTTTTGTGGCTATAGCAGTTACGTTAATGTCATGTCGCATATCATCCATTGAAAATTTTAATACAGTTGTTTACTGGTCTTCTTTTAAGGATTTTGAAGAGGAATCAGTACGAGATAATTTTGTTGTTTTCTATGAGCTTCTGGATGAGATGATGGATTTCGGTTATCCTCAAACAACGGAGAGCCGTATTTTACAAGAGTAATTATTTAATATATTATATAATAAGTGGATACGATATTGTTTTCCAATCACCAGCAGTTGTTTAGATACATCACTCAAGAACGATATATGCTCGATATTGCCCCGAGACCTCCAATGGCTGTAACGAATGCAGTCTCTTGGCGTTCAGATGGTTTGAAATATCGCAAAAATGAAGTTTTCCTTGATGTTATCGAATCAGTTAATATGTTGGTAAGCTTAGAATTGACGTTGAGAAACTAATCGAGCCTTCTGGATATAAACGAAAAGACTTTTTTTTGCTTTTTATTTAACTTTTATTTTTTTATAGAAAATTTCATCATAGGTTAATGCTTCTGGTTCCGTATTGCGAAGCGAAATTGTTGGAACGATTAAGATGCGGGTACTGCTTTCTGGAATGCCTGAATTGCGCCTTGGACTTAACGACAAAGTCCTCTTCCAAACGTATTCAAGTGTGTTTTTTACATTCTAACTTTACTTTGCATTTTGTTTGCTAAAGATTCGAGAAATATCATCAAACTGCACTCATTATGAGGGTGATGGTATGTTAGAAATTTAAAACTGATCTTCAGGAGGACGAGGTAAAGCTGTAGAATTAGAAGATGTGAAATTCCATCAATGTGTGCGATTATCTCGGTTTGAAAACGATCGTACCATAAGTTTTGTACCGCCAGATGGAGAGTTTGAACTAATGAATTATCGCTTAACAACAACTGTGAAACCGTTAATTTGGGTGGAATCTTGCATGGAGAAACATGCTCATTCTAGAATTGAATATATGGTGAAGGTGATTTATTTTATTGCTATTATTGGATTTAAATTTTATGATCTTTGAATTAATTATGCTTTTTGCACAGTGACTCATTGCCGTCAAGGGATTTTGCTTTAAAAGACTTATAATTGCTTACCACCCATGTCCAGGCGAAATCTCAATTCAAGCGTCAATCTATTGCAAATCACGTGGAGATTATTATACCTGTGCCCAGTGATGCAGATTCACCTAAATTCAAAACTTCTATTGGTTCAGTAAAATATGTTCCTGAACTAAGTGCATTTGTTTGGATGATTCGAAGTTTCCCTGGTTAGCATTTGGAATGTCTTGTTTCAGGTTTTATTTTGTTTGGGACCGTTTTCCAAAAAATGCTACATTTTTGATCTAATTATCTATATAAATCTGTGAATGATTTTCAGGTGGTCGCGAATATCTAATGCGTGCGCACTTTTGCTTGCCTTCGATTGTAGGTGATGAGACAGAGAAAAAACCACCAATTTCAGTAAAGTTTGAGATCCCATACTTCACAACGAGTGGCCTTCAGGTGACTTACTGGTATTTGGGCCAGAACTACTGTAATTGCTTTAATTTTGATTTGTTTTTCACTGTATATTCTAAGAAAGTTGTTTAGGTTCGTTACTTGAAAATTATTGAAAAGAGTGGATATCAAGCATTGCCATGGGTGCGCTACGTCACACAAAATGGTGACTATCAGTTGCGAATGCAATGACATGGAGATGTATTAGTTTTTCAAACAGAATGAATTGGCAATATTTCGGGCAATAGTTATCCATGATCTTTCTGTCAATTTCATTATATTTTTTTCTTTGTTCAAGAATTCCGTTGTTTTCTCTTCTGTACGGCTTCATTTTTTCATATTTGGCACTCAATTCACTTCATTAATATGGTAATTTTCAGGTATATATCTTTAAAAAAGTAGAATAACAGGCTTTAATTGGCAGTTTTTTATAATCGGGCAGTTCTATCGTATGGAAATAGATTTTATTTTGTATTTTTTTGCCCGCGTTGATTTTCTTTCCTATTAACCTTTGTTTTGACCTTTTTTGTTTGCTTCTTTTCTGACTCTGTAGTGTTTCTTCCATTTTGACGAGATTTTCCGTTTCTCAAATCAGTTCATTATTGGAAGTCTGTGATATGTTTCTTGTGCCTTGTTTTATGATCATGGTATTAGATATCTCTCTAGCTGGTCATTCCATTGTTCATATAAAATAGTTGAGCAACTTATATTTAATGTGTTTAAATTTACGAAGCAAAAGTAAATATGAGTTTGATTTTCAAAAAATTCCTGTTGTACATGAAATTTAAAAGAGATGGCGAAACCGTGCACATAAAAATGTTTCAGTCAAAGATAAAACATAAAAAACTTTAGCAGTGATCACTTTGGAAAATGATATGCGTGTGACAAGATATCATTAACAAGAATCAGAAAGCAAAAATCAATTTTTGTTAAATATGAATTCTGTTATTTGTTTCAGTTACCTTGATGACTTTATTTGCTGAAAATAGGTAGGGCGGAAGAGAACTGAGATTTGGTAGAATCGGTTATCGTCATCGTTTAAGCTCGTTACAGTGATAGGTCTCATACTTTTCAGTGACGAATAGAATTATTGGTCTCCTCATTAGCCACAATTTTACATTTTGTTAATCAAGCTTTATGGCCAGATGTATATTGTTTCATGAAATATTTATGAACGTATGAAATAGTTATGTAGTGCTTTCTTCAGTGTTCTTTTTGTATGTTTATCATTGTCATTGATTCATTCTACGCCATGTGAAATTGAGCAATTTTTAAATTTGTTGAAAGGATTCATACGCTGGTTTCAGATATCCACAATAAATTAGTTCAGCTTTGCATGTCAGTTCTATTTGCTTTGGGTTATTAAGACTCAGAGTTCTGCTATAAATTGTTATAAGTTTGTACCTTTTTAATGCCTGCCAGATTGTTTATGATAACTTCTTTCCGTAATGACTTCATTATAGCTTTTTTAAAAGTAATAACTTCCACAGTATTCTTTAAGCTTTTATGATTTTCTATTGCGATCTTAATTCCTTCTATACTACTACTTTGTCCTATAAACCAACGAAGAAATAAATAGTCCACACTTCTAATACTATCTCTTACAATTTCTTCATTTTTGGCTTTATCGTTTTCAGTACAAAGATCAAAAGTTTTTTTCTTCTGTTCAAAAATATAGTAGTGATATTGCCTCGAAACCAAAACTATTCTATAAAAGATTCGAGGAGCTTAAGAATTAATAATTGTTGTTTCTCTATAATATGCAGTAATATTTATATGTTCATCACTTATGTGAGAATACCAACCCTATCAATCTAAAATTGAAATAAAATGATTTCAAGGGTAAGAAGGAAATATATAACATTTTCCAAGTTCAGTAACTCACCTCGAGGTTCTCGAATGGATGTTGATTCAGCAGGGATCATCACTGATTGGTCGGAGCAGTGATCTTATGCATCATGAAGAAAAGACATCGTCATATTTTTACTTTATTCCATGAAAAGTGCAAATTTCATAATTTTGATATCATCGTTTAAAACTTTTATCTTATAATTCCAAAAATTGAATCTCCTACTTCACGCCATGATGTTCTGCACTAATTACGGATCTTCAAATTTCTTAAGAATTTAATTTATACATATAGCTTTACATTTGATTTGGCATTATAGTTCTTATTATTCTGGCAATACGGTTTGCACGAGGTGATTTGGCGAAGTTCATACTGATTTTTTTCGCAATTTGGTAAATATAGCACAAATTAGTAGATGTTATAGCTCAAAAAGATGTTTCAATGTTCTACGTATCTGTTTCCCGGCTTGATTCCGTTCTCGAGCACACCAATGTGAGTAACTGACTTTCATCAATGTACGATTCCTATACCATTCCTACAATAGAGCAAATTTTATAAATGATCTAATCAGTTACTGCTCATTATTTGTAATGATCAGCGTATGAAATTGAGCCAAGTAATGAAGTAACCTGTCGAAATAATCGTTCACTCCTATCATAATGTTTTGCCAAAGCTTCACTTTCCATGGATTGCTTCTCTTCCTGAGGACATTCATCAATTTTGAACATTTTGCGCCAAATGCCCAATTCAAGCTTGGTATCGCTAATCTGTTTATTTCTCGGTTGCATTAAAAAGGTTATCATTTTTGTGTTGATTAATGAGCACGTGTTCCATGAGATAATTTTCTATAAAAATATTACATTTTCATTAGCGGAATATTAAAGTTTCCCATTTTCTTTGAACATTTATTTACACGTAGATTTATTAAAGTAACACTAAAATGCTTACAGTCATTTATGATTTTTCATTTACTCAATTGAAATTATATAATTTCTGATAAACATAGATATTGTATAACTTAAGCAAATAATCCTACGCTTAGTGACACAAACGCTTCGATAATTTTCATCTCAAAATCATTTAATATAGTTTTTAGAGTGGCAAATGAAACTATCATTTTACACTTCAAAATGGAAACCAATTAAGATTATTGCATTTAATGGTTGTTTTTTTGTACGGTACCCTACTGTGTAAGATTTCTTCATTGAAGTCATTGAACTGTAACTAACCTCATAGTTAACTATCTTACTTCGTTTTGTTTCTTGCTTTATCAATTGATTACGAAGGGAGTCGAAAATTGAAGAAGAAAAAAAGAAGACTAACTTCTTCGATATTTCGTAGCAAATTATGCTCTGACTGTCGAACTTTCGATGTTGTTATACCGGAATACATTTGATAGATGAATATGATAGCGTTAGTTAAATCGTTATAGAATAATTTAATTGTTAAAATATTAATAAGGAATGTAAATGCAAAGAATATAGCCGTTATTGGATCCACAGTTAAACCATATAATGGACGTTGTTCATATTCTAAGCGATTCATTGATTGATAGCACTTTTTCCTGAAAACACAATTAGCGATATTTTACGAAGTTCCTTTTTTTGCTAAAATCGCTATTAGTGTTAATATTAAATATACAAAAAAGTTTAAATTATTTTCTTTCACTCTTTCAAAATTCCAATTGCCTTATTAACTTTGCCTAATCCACTACTTGTCTTGCATTTGTCTTAATTAGGAATCAAGAAGTTATAAAGCTTATTGAAAAATATATCTTACATCGTTTGTGACAGTAATTTTCAGATGATAGTATTTCCAAAACGATAATCACTAATACCAGAAATTTTGCATACCCGAAGCAGCAGCAGAATTGTGTAAGTTCGTTTGTTTGTGATTGTTTATAGTACTGGCATGAATGTTCGCTTTTCTTTGATGTCATAAATTTACAACTAACTTCTTTGCTGAAATTCACTACTAACTCTTCCGGAAGTTACGTGCTATGTCGGTATATTCCCAATTTTTATTTCCACTAAAATTCTAAAATTTATTCGGTGGACAAACTTATTCGGTGGACAGTTCACATTGACAGTAGTTGATTCTTTGCCAGTAAGGATTCGACTCATACTGCAAAAAGAGGAACTTGTTGTTTGCCCGGTACAATGCATTCGTTTGTAATACTGTAAACCGGAAATTGTTATTTACTGATTATGTACACTTTCAATGATCTCTCAACTTATATAATGTATATAAATCCTTCTTCGTCGATGACTCAAAACGAAACTCTAAGGTGTTGTTTTGTCAAAAAAACCAGCCTAAAGTTTTTAGTGAGATTTCTAAATTTTTTTTAAATTCCAAATTATTAAAATTGATATTTTAGATATGCAAAAATTTATACCGCCTTAAACCAAAGATGCTTAGGACTCATATCTAATTGTCCTTGGCAATATTGCGTAAAACAGCTACTGCTGGAATGGAATATAATTAAAGCTGTTCCGATAACCGTTATCATAACTGAAGCTTGGAGACGTTGCTCTAAATCCACCGCTTGATACAAAATCTCACTGATTTAATGCATTACTTTCATCCCATTTCATATTTATTTAATCATTTGATAGTGATTTGAGATAAATTTGAGAATGTTGGAAAAGTTAGTTAATTGACATCAATTCTTATGAAAATTAGATGTTCATGTTATGACAGTCAAAAAATTTAACTATTGAATAGATAAAAGAGTGAAAATTAATTCATGATTTCACATTAACTCATGAATTCAGCATTTAGACTTTTCGATCCCCAATACGATACAGGTATTCGGAGGTGAAACAAAATAAATGGACTCTGGAAACAAAAAATCGAAGTTTTCCAACTATAGATATATATATATAAATGATTACATGCAAATTATGGACGCATATGTCTTACAGTATTTATTGAGTCGTTATAATGCACTGTTTTTGTTAAAATGTAAATTAGAGACAAATGATTATTAACAATACAATCAAAAGAGAATCTGATGTGATCATTTGCTGATTGTTTTCCTTTTGAATTTTGTACTTTCTCCTTCTATCTGATAGGCCTTCCTCTTCCTCAAGGCCTAAGATGATTTCGGCAGTATAAACATTTATCCTTACATAATTGTAAATAACTTCAAATGAAACTGGTATCTGACATATTGTAATGGGAAGGCCCTGGACGAGCCCCATTAGCGCAGTTGGTTAGCGCGTCGTACTTATAAGTGCTACTGGGAGATGCGAAGGTCGGCAGTTCGAGCCTGCCATGGGGCAAAAGAGTTTTTGCAAGGATGATTGAAATGTGGTTATCACTCGTCGTAGTTTAGCTCCCTTGATTAGTTTTTATTTCGAATGGCAACTGATAACAACTTATTGAATGAAGAAGAGCAATTGATGTCCGTCTCATCGCTATCCGATTAATTTATCAATTTACTCATTCAATGTTTTGTTAAGCTTTAATGAGCAATTTACAACCAAGAAGCAAGAAAACGTGCCATTTCATCACAAATAATTAATATTTCACTTGATTTGATGTAACTTTGATGGTAAACCAATCATATCATATCAAATCAATTTATTTAAATTTGGAACTACTGATAAGAAAGAATAAGTCAATTGTCTGAAGTGCCTTCATCTGTCCTTATATTTATTTATAAACACTGAAAGAGGATGTATGAGGACTCCCCTCCTTCATTTTTATACACTCTGAAAGAAGAGGATATAACCGGATGAATGTTGTCCAGCATTCATCTTTCCCTTTACTCGTGGGAGGCGAAAATCTTTGAGAGCTTACTGCTAATATCAAAAAGATCATGCTGATATTATCGCTGGCATTAGCAGTAAGCTCTCAAAGCTTATTGCTCAAAGCTCACTGCTTTGAGAGCTTACTGCTAATGTCAGCGATAATATCTGCATGATCTTTTTTTTTCTGTGCAAAATTCAAACAAAGAATTTCCTGAAAATGGAAAGTTGGAAGTATTAGTACTAACAAAGGCTATATGTGACCGCTCTCTTCCCCAACTGTGGGCTTTTCAACTATTAAGTGCATGCGTGCGTGAATGTGCACGTAACTATATATGTGAAAGCTAACTACACCTATCTTATATTTAAAATATTGTCAGTGAAATTCAGATTTGCATAATGGGTGATCGTGCCGTCCGTAAAGTGCGTAATTGAGGGAAGCGGAGAGGGTGATAGGCGCTCATTTTTGGATGCGTTGGAGTGGTATGACATGGCGTGGTGGGCGGATTTCGTTGGTGTTAGTAGTTATTGCTTGGTGCACGTGACAACATTACAAAATATACGCTGCATGGCCATGTTTACAGTTAGCTGTAATTTTGTACTGCACTATGATTCATAAAGGAAGCTGAATGTGTTAGTGCGAGAGGCGTACGCTCGTTTACTGACTCTTAAGCTATGAATGGCGATCTGTACTGATTGCGAAGTATTGGCACTCTTTGCATTGCGAATGCGGTTATGCAGTGTTATTCTGTATGAATGACTTGAACATTGTTACACAACCTGCAAAATGTGCTGCAGGCAGCATATTATTCCATCTAATTGCCGCTTGTATTGTTGATGTTATTCTATTTCTTCTCATTTCTTTCCTCCTTTTCCTCTTTCTAAAAAGGAATATTTCATCCCTTTCTTCCACACACTAATTGCGCTCATCGCGGTGATCTTGATAATAATTTTTGACATGATTTGAAATGCTAACTTATAAATCATCCTGGCAGCACATATCAGTGTTCATATAATTATTTAGAATTATGCATGCATTTTCTTGTGTTGCACTGTGACTACATTTAGGAAAGTTTTTTGCTGAGATTGTGAAAGCGTTGTTGGGACGTTATGCGAACGCGTTTATTATATATTAGCCGTTTATAAGATATGTATATATGACTGGTTGACATCGTTTACTTCGTTTGATGTATGTGTATATCCCAGTACATGGAATTAGTGCATTTTAACCTGATATATATTGCAGTTCATTGTGATTTATAGTAATTTAACTGTTCAGCGCACCTGAAACTTATCTGACAAAAAAATGTCTGCGTCGAAGCAAAAACGTTCCTCGTCTCGTACGACTAGTCTGGCATCGAGCAGTCGAATTGCAGCAGCTGAATATCCGATTCTTATAGAGAGCGGTGGAGATGGAACCGAATCCTCTTTGAAGTATGATTCATATTTTCGGGATACAGAAATTGAGTTGTTTTATGAGGGATTTTTGAACTTGGCCGTTACGGGCAGGTTTTGGTGGGAGGATAGCATTATGTTTTTCCTTTTAAGAATTTTTTACTGATAACTGAAAGTATTTGTACTAACGTCATTTTTACTAATAAAGTTACTATTGAAACAGAATTCTTTGAATTTTGATTGCAATAGTTTCTGCTTTTTTCTTTTCCAGTATTTCGGTTTCACCCAGTCGTCGGACTCGACAATATGAAAAGGATACGTTATCAAATCTGAACGATCGTCTCGCTGTTTATATCGATGTAAGTATTTGCATTAAGTATCATTTCCTTCAAAATTGATTTCATTTTTGTTAATTATTCGGCAGTTACTTCTTATGAATTTGGTAGTTAATTGAATTTAGTTAATAATGAAAGGATGTTTGCTGCGTTTAAAAAATGTAGCCAGAATTTTCCTTACCTTTTTGTCTTTATTGTAGAGAGTTCGCCAGCTTGAGATTGAAAATGAGCGCTTGAACGTCCGCATAAATGAAAGTGAGGTAGTCGAAAAGAAAGAGCGGCATGATTTGGTAGCACGTTATGAGGCGAAAGTCAAAGAGTTGCGCGATTTAATCGATGATGCTTTGAAAGAGAAAACTCGTGTCAATATGGAGGCAAAATCAGCGCTCGCCGAACGCGATAATCTTCGTCCTAGGGTAATTGGTTCAATCTTTAGTAGGTATACTTGGTTCAATCTTTAGTAAGTGTTATCTTCATTTATTCCGTGATGTCAATTGGGCTTTTGTTTGAAAAATTGTCAATCTGCTCAAATTTTTGCTCGTAATCTAATTCTTAATTTTATTTTAATCTAAAATTTAGATTCATTTGCGTATTTTAAGATTGGGAAACTTGAAAAGGAATTGAAACAATCCGAAAAGCTTCGTCTAAGTAACGACAATCTTATACAGGATCTTCAGGCCAGACTAAATTCTGCTGATAACATGAGAAGACATCTGGAGGATGAGAATAAAGTTAGTATTATTTTTGTATTAATTTTAAATTTTTCATGTTTTTTTGTTGTAAATATCACTTGCAGAATTTGCTTGCCGAAAATGAAGACTTGAAGCAGCAGCTGGAGATGTTACGAAAACAAATTGAAGATGAGGCGCTTGCCAATACTGCACTTCATAATCAGAACCAGTCACTAAAGGAAGACTACGAATTTTTGAAAAGAACTCATGAAGGGGCAAGTTTGACTATTTTTTTATATTTTTGTACTCTATACTCTTAATTCGGGTATATTTTTGTATATAATAAGGTATAATGAGCATATAAATAGCACCTTCGGCTTTTTCTAAACTTTGTTTAATTGTCATAGTAAAGATCTGAATCTAACTGGTTAAGCTTATGAATGTACTGCGCTTTTTTTAAGCAATTGGAGGAAATACATCGGAAACGGCAGGTCGAGATGACAACAACAGCACGTGAAATGGAGCGCACGTATGAATCACGCTTGCAGGAACAACTTCAAGCAATGCGTACTGAATTTGATGACAGATTGAACAGGAACCGACGTGATATTGATGAGACCTACAAGGTTAATATCGTGCAGAATTGAATGTTAATTGTTCTCATTTTATTTCATTTTTATATGCTCATGAGTGCTACTTTAGAACAAACTTAATGAAGCAAATGAGGCTCATCAACAAATGAATCTAGCAAAAGAGGAAGCATCAAGGTTACGTCTACGTATTCATGAAATGGAAAAAGTTGGAAGTGGTTTTGAGAGCCGCATAGATGGTCTTAATAAGAAAATTGCTGATCTGGAGAGTCAGGTTTGTCTATATCTGGTTGTATTTAATATGCTCTTTCAATCTGGCTTCTTAGATTTACCAAATTTAATGTAACTTTTTTTTTTTTGCTATTTATTCAATGAAAAATATATTACGATGTATATTTCAGTTGCGTTTTGTGCGCGATGACAGCGATGTTCGTATCAGTCAACGTGATAAGCGCATTATGGAGCTTCAGGGAGAAATTGATCGTTTATTGAACGAATACCAAGATTTGTTTGATCTTAAAGTGCAACTTGACACCGAACTGAAAGCATATCAGAATTTGTTGGAAGGAGAAGAATCGCGGTACTTTTTCTTCTTATTCTTCTTATGTGCCGTCCAATAGGGAATTGCCGATCTTCAGAAAGAAAGTTTGTCATGAAATTTTTATTACATTTGCTGTAACATTACGAATTCTAATGTGCATAAGTCAATGTTGCTTTGTTTTTTCCACCGTTTTGTTATTATTTATCACTTAGATTAAATATTTCGCAACAGTCTTCGGGAGGCTCGCCGGCTTCACCATCAGTTGGTGATCGCTTCAGTTTGTCGTACACAGATTCTGGCCATCGTCGTCCGATCAAGCGAAAACGCTTTAATGCATCAGACGACAGTTTGTATTACCGCAACACTGCAAAGTCGTACAAGGTATTCTTAATGTCGTTAGTCAAACATAGCATATTATTTCTGCACATTGTACAAATTGTTGTCTTATTGTTCTTTTTGTGATATGTTTCTTAAACATTTTCTTTATTTGAAGATGTTGTATATACCAGCTTCAGTTGAAAATGAAGTATTGGTTCAGGCGTGCGTTAGTTAAAGAATTGATTTCAGACAACTTCTAACTCAGATTGCGATATCGAAATAGAGGAACATGATACGGATGGGAAGTTTATAAAGTTAGTGAATAAAGGCGAGGAAACAATCTCAATTGGCCAGTGGGCCATAAAAAGTATCGCTAATGACAAAGAAACTGTCTACAAATTCCATTCCAGACAAACGATGAAGCCTGGTGATATTATCACTGTATGTATTTTCTATTCAATTTAGAAGTTTTTTTTTATAGTTGTATTGAACTTGCTTTGTATGAAAAATTTTTTCTACTATCTTATTTCTGTTATTTAGATGAAAAGGAAATATGGAGGAAAGGCATTTTTAATGCAACTTGGAGTTATTTTGCCTATTCTTATTAAATTTCATTGGGTTTTAGCTGAATTTATTGAAGGTTTGGAGTGCGGATAGTGGTGAAAAACATACGCCACCATCGCAGCTAGTAATGAAGAACCAGCAGTGGCCTGCAGGTGATCGGGTCAAAACATCTTTGGTTGACGCAGATGGTAATAAAATGGCGACTAGAGAAAGCATAGCCGAGCTCCAATACGGACAGTTTGTGAGTGATGATGGTCAGGATCCGGATCAGCGATGTGCTGTCATGTAGACTGGCTTGATGAATTATCGCGAAGCAATGGTCTCTTTTGTTATTTTTTATTAGAGTTTGGATGCTTATGAAGATGGCGGTCACGTTTGAATTATCAGTTTGTTAATTCAAATGTAGTAAAGATAAGTGGTTTGGATGTAATGAATGAGAAGGAATGGACAATATAGTTTAGCGTAATAGGAAAGTTTTTGAGAAAATCGATTTCCTCAGGTCTGATTAGGTCTGCTTTGATGCGGTACGTTGCCATTTGTTTGATTGCCCCTCCCTTTCTCCGCGTTATTCTTATCATTGAAAGCATTTTGGTTTGATTGTCTGTGAGAAAATCGCAGATGAATGTTATTGTTCTACTAATTTCTATTCGATTTTCATTGTTGATTTTCATTTTCCTAGTAGTTGCTTTATTATCCACACAACTGTGTGCTTAGTCTTTGATTTTAAAAATTCAAATTTTAAAGAGTGACAACAATATTTATCTCTTACCTTCCGTAAATGTTTACCCGCAATTGTCGCTCGTCCTTTTTAATATTATGAAACAGTCGTTACTAGTTTTTTACGCTTTGTTTTTTATACAATCAATTCCTTTAAATTGATCAATCCTTTTGATTCTTAATTCCTAATCCTTTTGAATGTCTTAATTCCCACTTTTGCAATGTTTACCTCCCATTTTTTGTATGCGGAATTCTCGATTGTATGTTTGGAATGTGCGTTACTTTTCAGTTTTGTTTCCTCCATGTTTGTGTTCTGGAATTATTTGCATGCAGACCAATAAAATTTGTTTCTTTCTGAGTGTTTTGTATGACAGAACAATATCTCAGTGAGTGGTGGCTATTCGGCCTAAAACTTTTTTATATAAATCGGGTTTCATATTTCACATGCTACATTCAGTGCAATGCATTATTCGCTGTCTGATCTGTGCTTGTATAGATGACTATCTTCGGCTTCGTAAGGACTGCTCATGTCATTATCAATTTATTTAGGAACCCTTCTTAGCTGCTCAACTGTATTCTAGTCCTCTCACTTTTTTTTAATTTGTTATTCAAAATGAGTGGAATAAATCTTTTGATACGGCATTTGAAGTATGTTTTCGCTTTTGGGAATTAAATTGCCAAAGTTGACGGATCAAATAGTGGGATGAATGAAATGAATGTTTCCAGAGAGGTTAAACTGGAAGGAGGACGATGCTGGACACAAACACTGGAAAGGGAAGTGTGTTTAGCATTGGTGAGTTGTTGAAATTTCTGCTGATACTTTCAGTTAGTGGAGATTTGTTTCCCGAAACAGACTTCAGTAGCAACAATAAGACAGAAAAGTATGCATTTTCGATATGTATTTATTAGATTAATATCAACAATTTTGAAGATTTGGTGATTTAAGGAGTGACAAATGTCTTTCGAGATCTAATGGATTTGTTATTGAAATTAATAAGGCCGGATAAAGGAAAAAAACAAATGGTTATACCTGTTGCATTTTTATCGTTCTTTATTCAAGCACGGTAAAATGGTTGAATAAATAACGCTGCGAGCACGACAGATTGATGAGTAAGATACTGATTGGCAGGAAGAATAATTTTTCTAATTTAGTTGTTACCTATACGAACGACCTATTGATCATCCAATCTCTAAATTAATAGTAAATAAAATTTTAAGTGTTCTTTGCTTTCACATTAATAGTGTCATGTAACATAATACTGAAGATATCAGGTAAAAATTGTCGGAATTAGCACTAGCTAATTTACTCATTTTATAGCGATTTCGTTGACAACAAGACAACGAAATTACCAATATTATCAATTGATGAACATAGTGAAGATGTGGAGGAAAAGAAAAGTTCGATGGTAAATCGTTTTGTTTTCAGAAAAAATAATATTTTTCGAGCCTTGAATGTATTTAGCATTTCACCTTTATTCTGAAATTTTTCAGGCTATATTTTTCATACTTATGGTGATTGCTGTATCAACGCTGGTTGTTCATATGCTTATCGTGTCCAAACTATATTTTATACCAGAAAGCTTAGCCATAGTGATTTTAGGGGAGTTTTTATTAAATATTGTCATTATTCATTACGAAATTTATCTTTAGATTAACTGTAGTGCAGTTGGCGAAATACAGATTGAATTTTTCACTTCTACTGAAGAAATTTCTCTTGCCAATTCATGATCGTTATTAGAAAATGGTATTATAAAACGAAAGGGGCCGAAGGAACCTGACTATTTAATTCAGTCCATCAATTGGCATGATATTTTTTCAATGAGTTTTCAATTGAGTTCTTCACATTTACAAAATTGTATTATTTTGTAATTTTGTTCTATATGAAAGAGTTTATAGGTGCTGTAATTGGTTTAGTGCTTTCATATAGCAAAAGAGATTGGACAGAGGTGGAAACACTTAGTCCCAATATATTCTTTCTTGTTCTTCTTCCACCAATTATTTTCGAGAATGGTTATAATCTGCACAAAGTAAGCCATGAAATAGCAATAACTAATTGGATAAGAAGCATAATTTGATATCGCTTTTCCTTGAAACTTCTTGATGCCTTATTTCATTTGACAGCAAATCTCTTTTTTCGTTTTACTCTTAACTATTACAGGGCGATTTTTTCACAAATATGTTCCCGATTTTATCATTTGCTACACTTGGGACTGTAATATCTGCTTTAACTATTGGTTCGGCGCTGTACATCCTTGGCCAGGTTCATTGGACCAAATTTTCATTACATTTCTTGCAATTCATTATTTATTTCTGAGTTTCTAATTTAAATGAATATAGTTCACGAATATGTTATTAGTCGTATCATTTACAGTACTCGAAATAGTAATTAACGCCTATTTTGGTTTATCTTCTTGAGTTCTACCGGCGACATCTATTGCCATTATTTCAAGAATGTATAGCTGATTTCGGATTCATTACTTTAAGAACAGTTATTAGCGATTGAAAAATTTTTTACTGTTCGCAACAGGTACTTCAGAGAGAGTAGAGCCTAGATTAAAATGTATCGAAGTATGTGTCATTTGTTTTGTTTATTATATTCGCTATTTATTATATTCGCTAATTGTGGATTCAGTTCTTATTTTTTGCTTTTTACTGTCAGGCAGATTTAATATACAAAATGAGTGCCGCAGAGAGTTTTGCATTTGGCTCAATGATTTCTGCTGTGGATCCAGTTGCTACGCTTGCCATCTTTCAAGCATTAAATGTACACTTTTATTGTTTTGTTTAAAATTCTCCGTACTGATAGCCCTTGTACAACTGCATTTCCATACATAGTTTAGTAGTTTTATTGAAATTCAAGAAAAAATTTAAATAAGATTCAGCAAAATATCTGGATTATTTTGCTATCAAACTAGTTTTAGATTGAGCAAATGCTACATATGTTTGTTTTTTTTTTTCGTATATATATATGCTATATACAATGCTATATATGCTTATTTTTTTCCCATATCCAGTAAAATATCTGGATTATTTTTGCTATGATGATGAGTTTTAGGTTGAGCGAATGCTATATATGCTTGTTTTTGGTGAGTCCATGCTTAACGATGCCGTTTCCATCGTTCTCACGTCTACTTCTCTGGAAATGTCTCTCCAGAATGTTACATCTTCAACATCAGGCAGCTTGTTTTTCCCAGTAATCTCCAGATTTACCTATATTTTTCTCATATCTGCTCTTCTTGGTGCTTTTATTGGATTTCTTTCAGCGCTGGTATTTCTTTAATCCTTTAATTTTAGTTTTAATATTTCTTTTATTTCAATGATAATTGATTATACCAAGGTTTGAGTCTTAATTAAGTTTCTTTTGTTAATTTCAGTTGTTCAAGTACGTCGATCTACGTAAAACTCCATCGCTGGAGTTCGCTTTGTTACTTATATTTGCATACTTGCCGTATGGTCTTGCAGAAGCCATTTCACTTTCAGGTTTTTATCGCGAAAATTTTTTTTTGACCAAAATTGTTTCACATTTATCATATTCTACTCCACTTTTCTATCATTTTAGGTATAATGGCAATTTTGTTTTGCTCGATAACCATGTCTCAATATACTCATTTTAATGTTTCACCTATAACACAAATCACCATGCAACAGACGTTCAGAACATTGGCATTTGTGGCAGGTAAATTTTCTATACATGCAAAAGGAACGAGAATGTAGGGAAGTTCTGTCGCAATGACATAAAATTGATGTTGAAAAATCCTCTCAGCATTCATCATTGTTAAGTTATTTTAAGAAACGTGCACGTTTGCATATTTGGGACTGGCTTTATTTACAATCAAACTTCAATTTCAACCAATGTTTGTATCATGGAGCATTGTAAGTTTCGTACTTTAGCTTATTAAATATACAATTTTGTGCAATTTTTATTGTACTACGAATGATCTGATCAGAGTAAAACCGAACTTTCTCGAAATGATCAGCTATCTTTGCATCTGTTGTGCAAGTCCTTGGCGTTGGATATTTCGTTCGATCACTATATTACTGAAAAACCAAAGATTTATGCTGTTCCGTTCAAAGATATACCGTTACAGATGCTTTGTTTCGTTGGCCGTGCGTTCAACGTATTTCCTCTTGCTTATTTAGCCAACAAATGTCGTCGTCCTCAGATTTCTATGAAGAATCAATTCATAATGTGGTATAGTGGCAAGTTTCATATTATTTAATTTAACCCGGAAATTTTGCGAATGAGAGCGTGGTTTAACTGGACTTTCTACACTGTGATCGATTTGTCATCTTTGTTGGTTGCCTATTTATACGAATGGGAATTGCTTTGATTTAGCTTGATTGATTTGGATTTCTCGGTTTTGAAAGAAACTTGAATTAATTTCATTCCGAAAATATCAATGAGCTAATTTTCTATTTTTCTACGTTCTTGAAATATGATCTTAGCCTATGACATGAAAGTAGTGGCGTAACTTTTTTTATCTCTACGTATGTTTACTCATACGTTACTTCTACGACCTGACAACTCAGATAATCTGTGCTTGTTCTTTTCATTGCTTCGAGGTTTAGATCTTTCAGGTATGAGAGGAGCCGTCGCATTTGCATTGGCTTTGCACATATCAATAGAAAACGAAGAAACAAAAAGAGTTTTGTTGACAACAACGCTTTTTATCGTATTATTCACCATCATTTTTCTCGGCGGTACAACTTTACCTGTGCTGCGAGTAAACATTTTAGTTTTCCTGAATGTAATTCTAAGGACATTAAAATCTTTATTATCTGTTTTAATTTACAAAGATATATATTTATCTCTAAATGCACTTTTGTTACAATTCGAATAATATTGTTTATAATTTCAGATGCTAAGCAATGTATTCCCGGATAGAAAGCAGCGAAAGAGTATAGGAATACAAATTACGAGTGATGGGGATAAGTCTGCCGTGCTGCTAAGTAAAACGCAAGAAATGGTTTTTAAATGATTGCTATTAAATTTGTAGTATTGGTTATTTTTCTCCTAAGTGTTTAGATTTCATTTTGCAAAATTATTCTGACATCATATTAGTTAAGCCATGATAAATTACTTTAAACTTGAATTCTAACATTTCTAATTTCTCGCTATGAATTATAATCCTCTTTAAGTTTATATTCGACCAATCGGAACATTTGACTTCTGACACAGAAGAGATTGGTAACTTTAGCAAATATGAAAGACATACATATAAGGGAGCTGCTTACAAATTTAACGAGTTATTTGTACGACCACTCTTTGTTCGAAGATATACGCCACAGGTAAGTTTTCTATTTTTAGCTTTCTAGATTCGAAATTTTTAATGCCAATTTAGACTGCTGTGCACCACACTTTGTGTTTTGTGGATTTAAATCTAAGGAGAAATTTTAAGTCTTCATTTTCCATTGGTTCTGCAAATTAGCTTACAGTCTGAATTTTTTTAGGAACAACAGGAGAATCGAATGGATATGCATCGAATTACAAGTAAAATACTCAGTACAGGTTCTGGTGGTCTAACCCAACAGTTCTCTGCCGATGAAGCATCCATTAGTTCTTCTTCAACAGCCCAGCCGTTACTGTAACTTTAACCTTTATTGAATTTGTTATTTACAAAATGCCACTTTTTTGTTGTACATATATTATATGCACTATTGAGTTTTAAATTAATTTATAATTGCTTAGCAATTGATCGAATTTATGTTTCAGAGTATCCATGAAAGCATAATTCCTAGATTCATGGATAAAACTGCGGACTAATACAGAGAAGGATTTTTTTTGGGTGCTTGAAAAATGTAATATCAAGATTTCAATTAAGGTTTCTTGTTATGAGTTCACTCCATTTGCGTGATTTATTAGACATTTGCCCTATGCTTCTCTTCTTAAAATTAAATTAGGACTATCATATTATAAATTTTAATTTAATTCTTTTGTGATGGCCATTATTAAATCGACCAACAGTGGTGTACTTGTCAATTGCAGAAGTATCCAGTGCTCCATTCTGTTTAATAAACCTTCTGTGCGAGCTTTATACGTATTCAGAAGTATCATTGTAACGCTATCTATTAGGCAGTTTTATCACTGAGTTGTATTCATCGTATTTATTATATTGTTGTACGTTTTTATTCTTGAGAAATTTTAAATATTTTCAATGTTTAAATGCTCAATATATGCTCGAAATTTTGATATATACAAGTAATACAATCAGATTAAGGATACGTTTGCATTCCCTCCATTAGTTATTAGTCAAAGAAATGATTATCAGAAAGTGCAGAAGGATCTTGCTGACAAGTTAATGATTCAATCAAAAATGATGCAATTTTTTTCTTTATAATGGAATAAAGGATAAGACAGATGAGAGAATAAGGTGCTTCGTCAACAACGTTAGCAGTGATAGATAAGACGTTGAATTGAAGGCTTTAACAGTAAGCTTTTTAACTACTATTACCTTAACTGCTATTACTTCCACATTACCTTTTGCTTTTTTATGAAGGTGGATAATAAATCTTTGATCCCCTTGAGTGTGTACGGTATTGAGGGCAGGCAAAATTGGATGTAATGAGGGAATCACCAGACGTACTTCCATGCCGGATATCTCCTCAGGAATTGATCTCTCCTCCACAATTTGAAATTGTGTTTTGGGTTTTATTATTTCTAATTAAATGCCCAAACAACTACTAAATTCCAATTGAGGAATTGCAATTTTATTTCAAAATTAGATGTAGGAAGAAACTTTTGCACACAAATTACTGCAATAATTTCACATCGTATAAATTTGCTTTTTCATTGTTCGTAGTAGTTCTCGAATTCTGTGCTGATTTATTTGAGATAACTGAATCAGCTAACCTCTTTAGCTCTCTATTCAATTGCTTCGGGTGGTTATACATTGTGAATCCGAGCAGCTGCTAATTTGGGATATTGATGACAAGATTACCATGAGTATTGGTATTTGCGGTAAAAACCAATGATCGACTGAATTTCTTGACAAGTCCCTTAATATCGAATTCTTACCAGTGCGAGAATGTCGAGAGGGTTATTCGCTACTCGTGAGATGCTTATTTTGTGGTTTGTTATTCTGTAATCGTGTAATTTTTGATTTTGAAAATTTTTAATCTTTCTTAGTCATAAATATTAACTCAAATAATACATGGCTAGTAATAATAACAATCGAAGACAAATAGAAGTACTATTAATAACAAATGATTCAGAGAGTGGCTATTTTATCTCCCAAACTTTTTATTTATCCTTCCTTAATGTTTAGATTACTTTAGATAGCCAGTATGAATAAATATGATAGATATGGAAGGAGAACAAATAGTGTCAATTAGTGGTCATTTGGAATGATGAACGCAAATCAATTTTTATCAGTTTAGCAAACAGAATTTTAGCAAAGTTGTAATTGTCTCTTCTTGGTAAAAATAAGAATTTAAAATTTTGGACTTGACGCCAATTTTTCTAGTTGCGAGAATCCAATAAAGTATAGTTCAATGTTCAAAGCTGAAACATTTCAATATTTTCTATTTAATACAAACAAAAGTCGTAATTTGCCATTAATTTATTAACGCAAATGGATTCCATTCATCACTTTATTCATTTAGCATTTCTAAAAAGTTAAGATTCGTCGTCAAAATTTACCACCTCTCGTGTCCACTATTTACTTGTTACTGAAAAGCAATTATTTTGAATTGTTTTGATAGATCCATAAAAAGATTAGATTTTTTTCTTAAAATAGGTCGACTGATCTCTTTCTCAATATTCTGAAATTGTAGAACAACTCATTACATTATATGATAATATCGTAAAGCCACTGATAAGCAATACTGTCACCATTCGGTTTGAAATACCTCTCCCATCGCCAAAGTTCGAGAAGGAATAAGACAAATACATTTTTTTAAAAGCCCGGGAGATTTACATCTTTTTGAATTGACGGGAAAATTCATGGGTTAAGCGTAACAGTCACAACATCAAAATCCCTTATTTCTTTAGAATTTGGTTGTTGTTAAACGTTTGAAATTAGATTCGAAGTTGAAAAATCTGACGAAGTTGTAAAAAAAATGAAATCTAAATTGCAAATTTCAGTGAAGACTTAAATGTGAGATTTTTTGTGCAATGACAGCATAGCGAACTGAACTCTTGTGTGTGCTTAACTATGTCTTAAATTCTTCCTTTACTGGTTGGCATTCAAAAAGAAGAGCAGAAATGGATTCTTTTTAATCTAACAAAGTAGAATAATACAGTTTTGATTTGAATGAAATATTTCGTCAATAGTGGGTGAAACATAACTACACCTCTGGACTCACAACTAAAAGAATTAACTTGTGTCTTACAAATCTCGATTTCCAATTGCGCCCAACAAGTAGCGAAAGTGCTTTGATTTTGGAATGGATTTTGGAATTTTGGAATTGGAATGGGATAGAGGAGATTGGTTTAGCATAGAATAAAATAAAATACTTGTGGTATGGGACAAAGATTCAGAAGGAAAGAATTGGTTATGTCATAAGTTAGAAGATTTGAATCCATTTCCTTTCACTTTCACTTAAATTACCGAAAGTTATAATTTCAAATTCGAGGACTAATGCCCGAATTGTTGCTGGCTGTCATCCGTATTGAAAGGGATGTATTTTTAGTTAAAAGAATGGTTAATTCAATAAGCACATCTGATAATTTTGCATTTTGTATGTACATTCAGTTAAGCTTTGTTTTCAGAGCATTTTAACTGAACGATGGTTGTTCGTGAGCTACCCGATGATTTGACTTTCTCGCAATTTATTGCAGATGCAGCTACTAAACTTGTTGTCATTGACTTTTACGCCGAGTGGTGTGGTCCATGTCGTATGATTTCACCACATGTAGAAAGACTGTCTGAAAAGTATTTGCAAGTCGTTTTTATTAAAGTTAATGTGGAAATATGCAGACGTTCGTTCTTTTACTTTGTCTTTTTTGTTGTAGGTTGATTTTGCCAATCTGTTATAGCCTGAATTGCTAGGAGTGATTTTTTAGCTCTTTCTGTTATCCTTATTTAAATTAATTGCATTATATCCTTTGATTCACTTGTTTGTATTTTCTTTAAACTAAACTTTATCTTCCTTGCTTTGAATCATAAATTCACTTCTGAGTTCATTTTGAATAATTTGTGTATTAATTGGTTGTCAGACAACGCAACAAATACTGAAGCTATCTTATACAGTGATATTTTTGTATTTAAATCTCAATTATAGAACTTACCAGCCTGTGCAAATTATCGTGATTTGGTTAATTGTAGAAACGAGCATTCAGTTGGGAATTAATGCAATGCCTACTTTTGTTTTCTTATATAATGGCTCTGAAGTGGACCGAATGATGGGCTCAAACGTGGAAATGTTGGAAACAAAAATTATTCAGCAGCTTAAGGAAAGCATTATCGCAACATCAGATGAAAGGATTTTCTTGGAAAAATTCGTTGAATATTCACAACGGGTAAGTAATTCATAATTTTATATTCTTTAGAAACTATTAATGGATTAGAATAGAAAAATTTTAGTTTTGAACCCAGATGTGGTCTTATTTAATTGAATTATATTTAACCTTTTACTCAATTTCTAGTTTGTTTTTTTAGGCAGAGTTGCTCCAAAAGCGTTAGATGAAGAATTAACCCAAATAATTCCGTATATTTTCATTTCAGATGCAAATTTATGAAGATGAAATATCACAAACATTAGCTAGAAGCCTTATACCTTGTGACAGACTAATGGAGGCAAGCAGAGTAAATGGGAAAACAAACAAATTTGAACTTCTGAAATTGTTATTAAATTGGTTCAAAGAGGATTTTTTTGTGTGGACTGATGTCCCGAAATGTGAATTATGTGGGCAGAGTGCAGAAAAATCTGGAGGTTAGAAAACCTGAAAAAAAAAACTTGACACAATTTTCATTTATTCTCAGTTTTGAAACTTTTGCGTAATTTGTTGAGGGCTCAGCTTATACAGAGGGGATTTTCTCTAGTGATGGAAGGAGGTCTAACGGAAGAAGAACAAAAATGGGGTGCCTACCGGGTCGAAGTTTATAAGTGCCGGAAATGTGACACAAATGTACGTTTCCCGCGCTATAATAATCCAGTCAAGTTATTGGAAACAAGGTTACCTACTTTTAATTTTTATAAATCCATGTTTTTTGTGATGTATTCATGAAATATAACTTTTGCTGCACGCTTTACAGTTTAGATGTGGTAGGTGTGGTGAATGGGCGAATTGTTTCACACTGTGCTCGCGATCACTGGGTCTTGAAACACGGTAAGGTTGAAATTTTTGAAATTCTTTATGCTGCTTTGGGAGCATTGTCACTTCATTTGTTTCGTAGGAGCGTTGTATAAAATGTGAAGGCGTTTAAATTTTATATCACATAGTCAAAGCTATTTTAAACTTTATTTTAGTAAAATTGTTCATATTTCAGGAAATTATATGCCCCTGTTTAAAACAGGAACATATCATTTCCTAAAATATGAATTAAGCAAGCACTAAGCATTTCCCGATGTTTGCAACATTTATTGCGTTTTTTTCGATTCTCAGCCCTTAAATCGAATATATTACTGGTAGCTGATGAAGTTATATAATTCAATCTATTTATAGTAAAATCTGATGTTTTTTCATAGTTCTAATTTGATAAGTGAAGGATATAGCTTAATGATATAGCGTTTCTCTACTTTTAATTATAAGCATTGTAATGTTGGTTGAGAAGCTGAAATTATGTACATTTTGCTACTATCATAAATGGTCAGTTGAAAAAATATCTTCTTTTCAGGTGGGTTTACGATGTTACAGATCATGTTTGGTGTGAAATATGGATAGAGGATTTGGACAGATGGGTACATTGTGATCCATGTGAAAATGTAATTGACACCCCTTTATTATATGAAAAGGTTCTTTTTAGACGTTTGTAACAGATGCATCGCATAGATATTTGAGGATATGTTTGAGGCTTTCATGTATCATTCAATTAATTCTTTCATTTCTGACTTTCTATAGAAAATTGCATTGCTGGGTGATTTAAATCTATGGTGCTACGATTTATTTTTGATGAAGAATTACCTACTTCTTGCATGAACTCTTAACATGAATAGGATCAATTATTATGTATTTTCGATTTTTAGGGATGGGGAAAAAACTTAAATTATATATTCGCCTTTGGTTTGGATCACGTACGAGATGTTACATGGAGATATACTTTCAATCATTTTGAAACGCTTAGAAGAAGGAATTCTTGTCGAGAAATAGTTCTGAGAGACTTCATACGGGTAAACTAATTCCATTCAGGAAACAAGCATTTATAAAAGTAAAAGATGATTTTCTCAACTAAGTAAAATAATGAAAATGGCTACAAGGATTACTATGAAGAAGTAACATGATGAAAAAATTATTTTTTTTGGTCAGCTTTTGATATGTTATACAAAGTGTCTGCAAAAACTTTAGGAACTGAACGTCCGCTATGCAAGTTTGATGTCGGAAGAGTGGAAGAAGGAAATGGAAAGAAGGTATATGAAAGAACTGGTTGAATTCATCAGTCCTACTATGCAGGTACGTGATGGAAATAAGGTAGAAGAGCAGGGAAGAAAAACAGGATCGGAAGAATGGAGGAAACAACGGGGAGAAATAGGAGATGGAAAATCAAGTGGAAGGGTGCTTATGCCGACTGAACAAGAAATTTCTGATAAAGTGTTCTGGTTAGTTATCATATCTTATCAGTAAGAAAAGGCAGGTGCTAAGAGTAATTATATATTATAAAGGAGTATTTTTATGCCTCTCAAATGATCTATTTCTTTGCATTGGCTGATATTATTCAGATATAATTTTGCAGAAAACAAGATTTATTTAAGTCATAGTGAAAAAAGAGAGAGGAAAAAGGTTGGAAAAGCAGGAATATGAGGAAAACAGTAAGATAATGAGAAAAGTAATTGGTTGACTGTTGCAAATTAGGAAAATCCAAAGTCATTAGATCCCCTTACTAAACTATTGGTGAACATTCTCAGAAAACAATTTCCCCAAGATATTTCAGTTTGGAGTATGACTGTGCCAAAGATCAGTACGGAAGAGGTGTTGACTTAATAAAAAGTTGGGAAAGCTTGATTAGTAAACAAGAAAATGTGCGTCGAGTAGTGGACCAAATGAACAATGTGGCATATTTGTGTTGCGAAGAGGGCAAAACAAGCGGTGAACTGTGCTGGTCGTTTGATTTTGGTGTTCAGCACATCAAAAACATTGAGTTTCGTCTGGACGGCGTCAAAAAAGAAAGTGACGTAAGTCTTATAAATTTAATTTACAATTAATTTATAAATCTCCGAGACGTACTGAAATTCAAAGTCATGGATTCGTATTGCAAGAATGTGTGTGTGTGTATGTGTGTTCAGACGCTGACTTTAGGCTAGTTTGATGAGCAGTTTGAGATGATGAAAAATGATATTATCTGAAATGTGTATAAGCCCATTCAGAACTACCAGTTAGTTGCAGGGTATTTCTGGAATAAGTTTGATTTTTTCATTAACTTAAGGCTGATTGTTAATAATCAACATGGTTAATATAAACAACATGAAGGAGTCGTACTAGAGACTACTGAAAAGCCAGGAACATTTGTTTCACTGCCCTCATATCATTAAAATTTAATTGGAAGCCAAGATTCGTGTATTAGACCTATTCTGTTAACATACTATTTTATAGTCATCATCGTCCATTGACGAGAATAATAATTCAGACATTTGCAGTCATTCTAATTTGAAGAAAATGAGTAAAATTCGCAGTTAACTATGTAAGAATCATTGCAGGATCTAATAAGAGCAGTCATTTGTTGCGGTGACATATGTACAGTGATACCTCCAACCGGTGAATTAGAGTTGAAAATGATTGAAGGCTCAAAAGTAGATGTGAAGATTTATTTATTGAGTGAGGATGCACAGTTGTTCCTAATTAACCTTTATTCCGGGGACTGCGTCAATTTTCATATTAAAGCTTACTTTTCCTAAATGGTATTTGTTTTTTCCATTCTAGTTTTTAATAAATAACTTTGAACTTTTCTTTGTTCTTATGTACAATTGTGTTGATTTATACTTTCTTTAGCCCTTCACTAACCAATAATTTATTAACCAAAGAGACATACAAATAACTGATAACAATAACAACAAAAACAATAAAATGATTCTCTGAATAAACTATCAAAAGCTGTTTCCAAACTTTCCCTTTCTCAACAAATACAGATGAATTATGTTTTGAAAATTTGCGGATCGATTTCAAAAAGAGCATGCGTCTTATTCTTCCGCATCAGTCTTGTGGATCGCAAATGGAGCATCTACAACAATATGTTCTGCCTTTACTATTACGACATCCTTTACGGGCTTGTCACTAGGCTTTACGGTTTTCGTATTTTCCATTTCCCTTACTACTTTCATTCCATCGAGGACCTGAAAATAAGCAAATTAAAAGAGAATTACGTAGAGGGAAGCAAGAATTCATAATTGGCTTTAATATGGTAACCTTGCCAAAAACAACGTGTTTGCCATCGAGCCAAGGTGTTTTTTTTAAGGTGATGAAGAATTGAGAACCGTTCGAATCTGGTCCGGCATTTGCCATACTAACCCATCCTGCACCGTAATGCTTAAGTTTAAAATTTTCATCGGCAAATTTTTCACCGTAAATGGATTTACTGCCGGTACCGTCACCCTGAAGTGAACAAGTGTTGTTTTAAGTAATAGCCAGCTGCAGTAAAAAGACAATATGTGGCGTGTTATCAGAGAAAAAATGTTTGTATAAAATTTTTACATTAGTGAAGTCTCCACCTTGTACCATGAAATCTTTGATAATTCTATGGAATTTCGAGCCAGTATATCCTTCCTGAAAATTCGAAAAAAATGAGGGTGGTTTATCTGTTGACCGGAAATTTTTTTGAATCTTACGCTTGAAATCCATCGACAAACAAATCGGTCATGAGAAATTATTTTAATAAAAATCCAACTATAGTAAAACAGACTTACTCCTTCTGTCTTCTTTGATAATTGGATGAAGTTTTTTACAGTTTTCGGAACTGTCTTCCCAAATAGGCCAATTGTTACTGTGCCCACTTCTTCATCTCCTATTTTTATCGTAAAGACAACCTACAAAATTATGCTTTTAAAACATTATTTTAAAATGATTTTAGTTTTCCTATTTCAGAGTGGAAGACATTCAAAAAAAATAAAAGCGAGGAGATATTATATAAGTACGAATGAGAGATAAAGGAAGTAAAAGAATAGAATTGGAAATGATTTAACCGACAGGTTGTACTGCTTCTTGCAACATGAACTTGCTCATATTCTGACACATGCATTTATCATATTTGTAACATACATAACAATGCTTTTCTTTATCTTCGCATTATACTTTTTTAAACCATTTCGAGATCCATTCTAGTACTTCCCCAATGCATTGTAACAAGTAGTAAAGAAGAAAGGATCACAAGAAGATTACGCCACATTTACCTTGTCAGTTACTTTTGGTCCTTTTGGTTCATCGTCTGATCTCGTTGTAGCATAAATACTCCTCACACATAATACAAATAGCAATAGCGACCCGTAATGCCAAACCATCTGGAACTTCTTCATTTCTTCCAACTGTTTAGTTTCACGAAATATGTTCCTAAACGTAGTTTCAATTTCTAATTTTCACTGTTGTTGAGAAGACGAAATGCTGCTGTATTAAAAAATTCGACAGAGAACGTAGACACAAATTTTTAATAAAAACAATTGGATAGTAGAAATAATGCGAAAAAGTGAGCAAATTAGGGCTCAGTTTGCATTAAAAAGCTGTTCAAATAATGATTGTATACGTAACACATCATACTTTCCACGAGAAGTTATTTTACACTACAATTAAATAATAATTAATAAATTTGATTCAAGTCCTGTTCCATTTATTCGGGTGAAAATTACATGTTATAAGAGGATGCATTTTTGATCTAAAAAACATTCGTATATCCAGGACTTTACTTAAATAAAGTTTGCTAAATCTGCTTAATGAATACCAGCAACTTCTTACTTCCCGAGTGATATGCAGTTAACATTTTCAATAAAAATTCAAGCTCAATTCACGTCCACAAATACAAGTCTATTAGCGGTGTATGCAATTTCTATGAAGTGAAACACACATATATTTCTTTCCTTCAAGTCAGTAATTCTTTCGTCTTTTACGCATTATCACAAATTTTACGATAGCGAAGGTAGAAAATGTTGGAACTTCATCTGTTAGGTAGGTAAATGTAAGCTGATATTTATATTAAAACAATATGCATGCATAAAGTCGAATGCTTTTATCATTGAACTGTTGATATAGCTTTACAATACTTCTGAAGTGAGATTTATAACAGATACAAATAGTATTTACAACCACATACATTGCGTCATCTAAACAACTATCTGTGAGAGCATTAAAAGTTATATTGCACGGTAACAGCCTCAATATGTCTTTTAATACACATCAAAGCAAATATTTTTCCAATTTCGAGTTATTTTGAGAGAAAAAAGATGTCTTTTTTTCTGTTGTCCAAACAACTAAACATATATTTCGCTTTCTTCAAGAAAATACAAACCTTCCTTTCACTATCACAACGCTTTTTATTGAATTACCAAAAATCAATTATGTAACAAACGGGAGAACCGGTGAAAAAGTAACATACTGGTTAATACGCATTCGCAAAAATCCAATCCCAAGTGCCACAAAAGCAAAGCGCTGTTTGAAAATAAGCGAATATAGTGGCATGTTGCATGCTGCGCAAACTGCAGCAGCCATAAGGATTATATCACCATACTACAAATAATTCGCTCCATTGTTTAAATTATTTGTTTAAAAATTTTAAAAAGCAAAGTAATGCCTCTCTGCTAACTTCTTTTTATAACTTTTTTTTTCTCTCTATAATTTTTTCTATATAGATCTATTGAAAGGAAGTATTTCCTTCCTTCTTTTTTTCACAGCACATTAGTAAATTAGTGTATGAAAATCACTGATCGATCAATATTGTGTTAGTACAAATAATTTAATAGATAAAGCAGAATGAAAGAATCAGTACTTGATTGAAGAATTCAGTTAACATTTGCTAAATGATAAGCTGTCCATATGAGAAATGCTATCAAAATTGATCCAGTAAAGTGGCAGCTGCACTTGTTGCACGCTAAATAATATTTGTTGAAGTTTGCAGCACGCAAAGCGTATTATTGCAGGAACGCATCATATCCACCAACTTTCGTCATTCTGAAAATCATAAAATGTTAAATTTTTTGCTCTGCTATAATCGCTAAAAATAAATCAATTGATCGATCAATCAATTAATTATTTTTAGCGAATACACTTGTCATCTCATCTATTCATATCATAAAGTTTTATTACATCGAAATTACTGTTTAAGGAAAGATTGATAGTGATATGAGAATGAGTAATAAAATTGTACCTGAATTTGTGGAGTGGCTTTGTACAGAAGTATGGCGCAAAAGAATAATTGAAGCCAACGAAAAGACATCCTTTTTCTGAAATATAAAAGAGATGATGAAGCGTACTCCACTACAATTCCAATATTATCCATACTTTTCAGGGTGCCTTTTATTTTATTTCATTTTTGTTCTCCAAGCAAATAGAGAGGAAAGAGAGAGAAAGAGAAAAAAGGAGGAAAATTACTCCTTTAATTTGATTGATAAACATTCGAAGTAGAGATGACCGAGATAGGTTCGGGTGTTTAGATAGAGTGGACGACGAAGTACTTCTCTCCTCACTTTCTCTACCTCACTCTCTCACTTTCTTTTTATGATGAATAACCCGGGACATGAGCAAGGGAGAAGTTATGCTTACCCAATTCCGAAATATTCACTCTGTTTTTTTATGCAAGAACGTGACTACGTAATCTATGATTGCCTAATAAGGGATATCCGCAAATAAATAACATCAGTCAGTGATTTGTGGCGTTCGTTCTTTATTGTGATGTGTTGCATGAAATAGCACTGAACTTTATCGTTCTGGACGAATTGAGCGGTGAAGAATGTGGAGTAGATGATATCGCCACTGCATTTCTTGACACGTTTCTTGCCGCTATCTCTTCACCAGTATTTCCAACATTTTCACTGTTTGTCTTATCCTTTAATTAACAAAAAAGAAAATACTTATATATTGCTACCAATTTTTCCTGTTACCTTTTCCCTTATGACAGTTGATTTTTGACGAATTGATTTTTGATGATTTTTCAAATTATTTTAGATGAACTTTGCTTGTGTATGGAATTTATGGACGGCAACTCATTGATCGTTATAAAAAATTGCCTATTTCGGTACTTGTTCCTGCTATTTCCATTATCGGCGGACTTCGGAGTAATACACCAGAGGTTTTTTTAACCTGTATTATAAGCACATAGGGACGATTTTTCTGCTTCATTTCACATCTTATTTTTGCTTTAGCGCCGATTTTCTATGCATTTAAAATGTAAATGGTGGAACTGAACTTTTGAGTGTTTCTTATCTTTCCGTTTCAGGAAAGGATTGTTTTTATTGAACAAAAAAGTATTTTTTAAGAGTCGTCTTACTGCTGAATACAAGAATTATTTTAAGTCTTTAATGAAAAAATGTTTTCATTTAAATTACAGATATAAAACCAAGCAACATACTGGTTAATACGCATGTTGACATCAAAATATTTGATATCGGAGTTTTGAAACAACTGGAGCGACCTGTAGCTCTCATCTTCGTCGGCACTAGCGTTTACATGGCTCCTGAGCGTATACAAGGTGGTCCTTACAAACATCTCTACATGTTAAAAATATTCAAATACATTATTTTTCAACACTGAAATAAAACTTAAACATCTTTAGATTAATTGGCTTTCTATTAAGTACTGAAGAATTGCCTTCATGATAGCAACTGTGAGTAATTTAAGGTAGTCAAAAGGAAAATACAGCATGGAGATTCCTTTGGGATAATTCTTTCTTTGATGAAAAGCATACCTGGAAGTTTCTCATTCATTATTGTGGATAGCTAAATTAACTCGAACCCTTTCAGAATATATTCAGATACATGGAGCTTTGATATGACGATATGGGAGTTCGCTGTTGGAAATTTCCCATTGACAGTGAGTACTTATAAGGATGTTTTAGCTGCAATGGGAGCCTTAGTGAGAAACTGTTATGTGCGTTCTGATAGCTACTTTGGCTAGACTTTTAGGGATAGATAATGGTGAAAGAAGAAAACGTTTAGAATGAATGAGACATTTTTTCAATTGAATTTTAATTACGGTGGATCACACCTTAGCAGAATCAACAATAGTCCAATGGTTAATTTAATTTGAAATCTTAATGTTTTTGTTTTCAAATTCGTTATTACGTGCTTTCCTTCTATTGTAGTCGTGATGTTGACTAAATTTCAGAAGAGAACTGGAAGCATGGAGTGAGTTCTGATGACAGATGCTCAAGATTATGTACTTCTGCTTGCTTGAAGGAGCCTTTTTAACTTAGACTTGTTTATAGCGTTATTGTAGACGAAACAAAACGATGGGAGCACAAAGGACTTCTTGGTTGCTCATTTGTCCGATTGAATACTTCTGTAGATTGCGTTCTGTTGCGCAGTTCCTTAGTGCGACCCTTTCCTGAATAAATTGTGATAAATTGATTGCACTTTATGCTTTATACTTGAAATAGCTTCTTTTATTTCAGCTTAATTTGATTTGGGAAATTTTGAAATAAACCAGTTGTTGTGCTCGATTTCATTATCATTAGCAAATACGGTTAAATCCGGACATCATTTGTGGTGGCATTATAATCTTATATATATGCATTTACAAACATTTTGTTGGACTTTTCTTCTACGCATTCATATGCAAGCAAACGTTGGTTACTGGAATAATAATCTCTGCATTTGAAGTTGATGTAATTTGCACGGAGAGAAAGTCTGAGTGAATCCTGAGCAAAGTAGTGCTTACATGTTTGTTAAAAGTCTTGATCTACATTTTTAAAAGGAATCATGGTGCACGTTCAAAGATCATTTCTTTTCATGAAATTCGAAAGATATCATATGGGTAATTAAATGATTAAATAATTCTGTCTTGTCACATAGAACTGCCAAGAAAAATGATAATCAGGGTTTAAATAATGACACCGGCAATAATAATTTTAACTGTTTCGTCATTAATTGCATTCCTTGTTAACTACTTTGTTTTTTATTTTGCTTATGCTAGGTTATAAATTGGCAATATGGTCAAATATTCAGCATAATGATTTATGCCCTGCTTTCATTAATAACATATTTTATTTTCTGTGCAGGGAATGATTTGGTGAAGATCGATGAAAAGCTTCCAAGGGATGACGACTCTTTGTAAGTATTTTCGAAATATACATCTCTCATTGTTAACGTGTCCGTTAAATATTTAGGATTTCAATTAAGTGCATTTTGTATTTCTTTTTCAGAGCTTTCAAAATGAAATAACTAGATAGCGTAAGATGTTGGAAATGAAGTAAAATAGTAAATGATCCAAATATGAAAAGTGTAAATTAGATTTAAAATTGCTCAATCCAAATATGAAACATATAATTTATCAGATTTAAAATTACTTTCCTTCATACATTTATACGCAAGATCCATTTTTACAGTTGCGGTAAAGCAGATTGTCCGTTATACGGTTCTTGCTTGGATTGCAAATTTCCAGAATGTGAATACGGAGCCATAATAACTTTAAACTGCACTACGAAGAGGCAGTGTGCTGGTCAGTATACATTACAGAAAGAAGCAAAATGCCGATACTGTTGGCAGACTGATGTTACGGAGCACCATTGCATTCCGGTATTATTTTATCATCATATTGGAAGATCTTCATAAAATAATGCTTTCAAGTAGTAAATTGATCGAATTGATGCTTGAAAAAATTAAATTAAAAAATTTAAAGATAAATTTTTAAAGATAAAAAGTACTCGAAGTGTAATTTTTACTTCGAAGCATTAAAGACAAAAGTGGTGAGTGTCCATATGTCAAACACCTTTAATATCTGAAATAAGATAAGGGTATCACATGTTATTAAACAGAATATTGAAGATACGCAACTGTTCAACAGTGGCCACTCGGTTATTTCGCACAACGTGCCAGGTACATCAGTGGATCATATGCAAAGGTCGACGAGCTTTTTATAAGAATGTGAGGCACGTTTTACTACAAATAAACTTTCGGAGTTTGATGGAACATCTTATTCGCTTTTTACGGTTCCAAGTCATTGATGCCCCAAGTTATATTAAACTAACATTTCGTTAAAATTTATTTAATTAGGTAGCCGTGCTGGCGTGACCAATTACAAAATTTTTGCTGTAATTGTGGCTTGTGGCATTCATTTGCATTCGTCACGTAAAAGTACACGTAAAAATGCAAAATTTAGACTTTATATACGCTGTATGCAGTATAAAAAGAAATTATATAATTGTATAAGTTCCGGACTGACTATTCAGGCATAGTTGGCGAGAACATAAATGAGTGCCTTGATGATATATTCTTTTTGCATGCTACTTGATTCATAGATTTACTTGCAGATGCAATTGGTCTTCAGGATATAGCTGGTGGAAAGCGATGTTCCTTTCAATTACACTTGGAGGTTTTGGTGCCGATCGTTTTTATTTGGGAATGTGGAAAAGTGCAATAGGAAAATTATTCAGCTTTGGTGGCTTGGGTATTTGGACATTTGTAGATGTTGTTTTGATCGGTGTTGGTTATATTGGACCAGCTGATGGTTCTCTTTACATTTAATAAAAAAGTGTCGTTAAGAATTTCAATAGCATAAATCTTTATCCAGAAATTTTTGAGGCATTAGAAAGCAAAATTAAACTATTATGATGTTCTGTATAGTATTGAGCAAAAACATACATTTTTTGTTGATAGATCTTATATGAATAAGATTTCATTACAAGTTTTATGTTGTTAGAAATTTAAGTCGTTGAAACGGAATCTCCCTTGTTTTTTTTTACGCTCATAAATTAAAATGACTTCTTCCAACAGTGAAAAGCATCATTTGGCTGAATAGTTCAGTTGTTGCTTGTGATGTACACAGTCTCGAAGCATTGCCTGAATGTTCTCAAAACTCGTTGCAGCCTTTTTCATTGACTGCACTGTTCTGTAATATAACTTACTGTCCAGAATATAGAACATCAAACGGTGCGTTAAGCAATTTCCCGTACTACATTTCTAAGCAAATCAAAATATAAATGGTGTGGCTTACAGAAGAACGTTGTCCAGGTCGAAACATGCACCTTGAAGGCGGGAATTCAAATCAACCATTGTGTATTTTCGGGCCACGAGTGCGGGTAAAGTTTTTCCAATATGTTCCTGCAAATATATTTTTTTAAGCTGTTGGAATGATTTTCAAACTTGATTAATTGCATTTTTGTGCATAATGGGTTCAAGCTTTTTTGAATTTTCTGTTAAATTCTTTCAATTCACAGATTTGCGATGAAATGAAACTGAACAAAAAGAGTTTTCATGAATATTTTATTCTTCGTCATTTCTATGATTTTTTCTTCTAATTACATTGGGATGGGCTAACTGTTGTAAAGATGCAACATATTGCAGAAACAAAACAATGAAGTAAAAAAGTGACTGCTTCGCGGCAGTCAGTGCTTTGATACAAAGAACAAAAAGAATCTCTATGCAAGAGAATGGGATATTATTCAGAATTTTAGATTTTTAAAAATAAGTTGTAAAATATGTAGAGAAATAAGCTTGTATGGACTTAAGTATTTCTTTTAGGACTGTTTTTTGAATTTTGAATACGAGTAGAATTTGATTTGTTCAACATATCATAGCCAAACATACATGTAATCGATATAGGGCCAGCGATGGGTCATGGTCAACAATATGCACACTTTCCGATAAACGTTCTGCCACTGAAAAACATATTTGTCTGTACAGAAATTGATAGGGAACTGAAATTTACTAAGAATTAGAAAAATTTGAAATGGAATAATATATTTCGTGACACATAGCGTTAATATGCGTACAGAGATCTAAACATACATATGCGACAACGGGCTTGCAACTCTTTCGATGCCATTCAGCTATACATTCTGTACACGGACTTTGCTCTGCAATTTAGCATTGAAACATCAGTGCAAAGAAATAATTAAAGTGCTATTATGCAATAGAGAATTGCATTCGTTGTTCCTTACAAGCTGCTCAAAAAATTGTGCTTCAGGACAATGACCTGAAGTGAATTCCATTCTTTATCTCTCTTCTTTATCTACGCTGCAATTTTCAACAATTTCTTTCCAAGCAATTATGATTGCGTCACCTCTGTTTCGCAGCAATATGAACAATGCAAAGGACTCTGAGAATAAGTTCCGACACGAATTACAGCATTTATTCTTGTGAAAAATGAACTTTTATGAATATCACACTTTTACGGACAGCTTCACATTCAAATGACAAACAATCCAAAAATAGAACAAAACTGCAAGTAAATATTATGAGGTATCATGAAGAGAAGGGATTTACAGCATTCATTGCGACTTTGTTATAGAATTCAAAAGCAAATGGTTCAAGCACTGGCTAAATAAAGCATTTCAAATTCAAATTTAAATTCCAAAACTAAGTCGGCTCTATATAGATCTGGACTGATCAAGACTTTTTAGCGCTTTTATAAAATATTTCATCTACATATTCCTGCTCTAAGTCTTCCTTACTTTTTCTTTTACCTTGTTCAGCCTTTAAAAGCTCTTCTTTCACAGCTGCTATATCCTCCCACTTCAAACGATTTTCGAAGAAATTTAACATTTCCCAACGATCCCGTAATTTTTGCCGCTCTTTACAGGTTTCTTTCAGTCGCAACTTTAAATCGAGTTGTTCGACCTGAAATTTGGATTTGCCCGAAATTTCATTCATCCAAATTGAAAATTTTTTTTTAATTTGATCCCAGAGAACGATGTTCAATTCAGAATCCACAGAAGTTCGCTGCCGGTGTTCTGAATTGAACCAAAATTCTGTGGATTCTGACTTAAACATCGTTTTCTGGTATCAAATTTTCGCAAAAAAAAGGAGAAAATTAAGGCCCAACTTTAATATTTCGCTTGAAAATACCTGAGCCTTGATGAGATTAGCACGATTTTGTTTCCAGTCAAGGAAGGTGTTGCGTTGTATTTCTATCAGGTTTTTCTCCTCCCTATCTTGTACAGACTTTAGATGCCTCATGATCATATCTGATAGTTTCTCGTTCGTGTTCTTTCCTTCAACCTTATCGATAATTCTCTACAAAAGATGATACATAATTGAGAATTTTTCGATTTACAATTATACGGTCCTCAGCAGCAAGCTTAGGGTTGGAAATATGACATTAATATTGAAACATAACGGGTAAACAGCAAACGTTTCCCTTATTGCAGTAACAAAAACTCAACAAAGTAACCATCCAGTCATTATGCTGCGTGAAAACGCTTCTCATTGACTTTCATCTATTTATCAAATTACTTACCTTTAACTCTTCTACAGCACTTTCGGAAGGTTGTCTATCCTGCAGTTCCTCAACATTGTTCGTTTTAACTATTATTTGTTCTAATTTGGATCGACAAATTGCAACCGTCGATGAGAAGATATCTGTCATTTGAAGCAATTGTTTTGCCAAAATATAGTTGCCAAAAAATACGGATCCTATTAAGCGAATATTTCTAACTTCTTCTTCACTCAGTGAAATACAGCGACTAAACCAGAGTAAATTCTTTCCAATGAGCTGATCTGGATCGGCGAGATCGAAATGCATATCGTTGCATTCATTTTTCAAATATGGAAATTTAAAGATCATCTAAAATTTTTATGCAAATTACTTGAAAATGCTCATAATTTGAGTAACACAAGACAATTAAAAGAAGGTTAGTCATCACCAGCAACATCCTATATTCTTCGTCACTTTGTTGAATTTGAAAAAAGCAAATAGATTAAAGAAAGTTATCATGATTATTTGATCTTCAACGTGGTGACCCCAGAATTTGTCACATACCAATCTACGATAAATATAGTGAATTGGTAAGAATGATCACCCAAATATTCTGCTATATACAAATTGAAAAAAATAAGGACTGAGATTTTTATTTGAGAAAAATGAAATAAATTATCGTTCTGACGCACTTCGTCCTCATCTTCCATATTCCCTGAATTGTCTTCTGTGCCAGCAATATAATCCAGAGACGGAAGTTCTTCGAATAATCTTTGTTCAACGGGCAATTCAGTCCACCTCAGACTACTATAAATACATAGCCAGTTCAATAAAGTAGACTGAAACATTTCTTGAAGCATTACGCAACTGGCGACTCGTGCGGCATCTAGAAATAGGTCAATACTTACTAATTGAGTAAATAGCTTTATATGATTTAATCAATTGGTACATATAAGTATGAATTTTCAAAAAAAACTAAAACATGGTTCTAATCTTTACCTGCAATTTTATTTGCCTCCAAAAAGTTATCTATAACCAGACAAGCTGAATGTTCATTCAAAAAAATCCCATAATTAATCTGAAAAAATCAAAAAACTGCTAGTAAAATTGACACAGCTTCATGAATTATATGCTTTTGAATTATATGCTCATTCCATGAAAAAATTGCAAATGCCGAAAAACTGAACTAACATTAGTTCGAAATAACATTTGAAATAAGAAATACTGTGATCTGAGTAATTATTTTATGAAAAAAAAATCAAGGTTATTGATTTTCTAAAACCAAGGTTTCTATATATTGGAAAGATTTGTCAGACCACCGAAGTTTTTTACAGTAAGGAACGACAAAAGAAATAAAAATAAATGAATACAAATAAAAAGTTCTAAAAACATTCTCCATAATTTCCTGATGAATAATGAATTATGATAATTTTTGATTGTTGGTAGTTACATTTTGACGACGTGAACCAAATCTTCTTATTAAATTGAGTTAATTGTTAAGGTATTTGAATGAAAAAATTGTCTTCCTTTTCATTGCATCAAACGTAGTTAATAAAGCTTTTTAAAGAGCAGATAGCTTACAGGATCAGCTAAGATTGCAAGAAGAATGTCGGTTTTCTGACATTTCAGAAGCAACCTAATAAGGGCATATTCCGTTGAAGGCAACATCCTACCGGTCATTTCGATGTGTCGCAACTTGTACACAATTTTTAGCACATCGTCTAGCTGGTCCACTTCCTCTGCCATACAAATCGCAGCATCAACATCCACTGGACTGCAAATATCATTGTCATAATCAAGATAGCTAATCCTGATTCCCAAACCTCTGGAGAAATAAATCAAAAATATCAGAAAAGCAACACGAAATAGGCCCGAAAAGCAATAGGAAATAAGAAAAATATCTCGAAAAGCAACAGGAAGTACATTTCCTATTAGAAAATAAAGTATCCATTTTACATTTCCTAATAGTGAATTTCCTGTTGCTGTTGCTTTTCAGATACTTTTGATTTGCCTTTCAATATAAATAGCAAACAGTACTATCCAATAATTCACAAGTGTGCTGGAAATTTTTATTCGAGTTTGATTGACCTATTTATAGCTATACTAGTACATCTAAATCATTTGTTTTAAAAGGAAAAGCGAATAAGAGGAGTATTCGTAGATACCACTAATAGGCAAATGAAAAATAACTTTAGCATACCTGGCCATTCCAGCACTGACAAATTTTTTCTGCACAGCAGTGATCCACTCATATGATCCTTCTATACCGATTTCACTAAGTGCATGGTGCCTACTACACCATTCTTCATTTAATGCAAATTTTTTTGATAATAAATAACGCTGAGCAACCAATGAGCATCGAGTCGAACGACGCACTAATACTGCTAAACAATTCATTAACATCGTTCAACTTCAGCTATTCACTATCTAAAATAAGTTTAATATATATTGAATGCGACTACATAATCAAACAACAAATAAATACACGAGTTAAAAGAGCACCACAATGATTTTCAGATGAAATATGTCTCCTCTGAAGTATGAAAATATGGCTTATAGCTATATCAGAAGAGTCACAAAAAGGTTGGTTCACTTTGCAACATTTGATCCATCTACTATTTTGTTTGACCTTATGATTTGTATTTAGAGGTTCTGTTTCAACAATACAGCAGTAAAAGCCACTATTAAATGTGAAACCACTTTGCAAATGAAATTATAAAATTGTTATGCTCGGATTTTTAAATAGAAAAAAACGACACATTCAAATTATTATGCTCGGATTTTTAAATAGAAAAAAACGATACAGCCTCCGATTATTAAGAGAAATCATACGATAATAAGCTAAAGGACCTGACTCTAACAAAATATCTTCCATATTAGTTTTAGTTTCTTTTCGGTTTCATGTGTGAGAGATTAGATTAGACACTGTTAGCTGACAAAGCTCCGGAAGCTTCAACGCACAGCTAACTGCCTATTCATTTTTTTAACAACGACGTGACATCATAGAGCAATCGAGACAGTGTGTGCTACTTCACGTAAATATGCTCAATGAAGGCTTTGTTAATCAAATTTACGATCGCAGCTGCCATCCACTAACGAAATGGCAATAACATGTAAGGAAACGAAAGCTGTTACAAAGCTGGGAAATACTTGCTCTTCATAAAGTTTCTAGTGCGCTAAAATTTACCGTATGAATTGCTTACTGGATGCAATGCACGCAGAGCATTTCACACAGTCTTTACATGTAAATCGCACATTTGGAAAACAACAAAGTCGAGAATTAGTAATAAGCGAGATTCGAGTGATTAAATTGGCTCTCCAAAAATCGGTTTTGATTTTTCATGATTTCTTGGTATTAGAAACTTCGATTCGAGTATGCAAAGTGTAATTTTACAATTATTCCGTGCAAATAATGTAAATTTTTCAGTTCTCGCCATCTCATTTAGCTAAAGCATCTTATATTTTAAAATTTTCAATAAAGACATAGAAAAGAGCAGTATCAAACGAAAGAAACCAATTATATCTAAGATGAAGGCAACATCAAGAGAAGAGCATCATATAATACAGTTCGGAACACACTTTCAACAAAGGAAGATAATAAAGTTCGTAAAGAAAACAAAAGAAAACATCAATTGTGAACAATGATGCATTTCGGGAGGGAATGTAAAAATAGGCATAAAAAGAGGAAATCGATATAAGGGCAGTGATAGAAATTCGTTTTTAAAGTAAGACATGGAGAAAGACAACTTTGCCATAGCATTTTAAAAATGATCAACATCTGAAAGATGATATACAGAAGGTGCTACCTGTTAAAAAAATTAAAGCAGCACTTAGACGAGATGCATTTTGGAATTTCATTCTTATACAAAATCCTATCCAAAGACAATTATAAACTCATCAAAGAATGAATACTACAAATTGATCTGCTTTAATTTAAGGAATAGTCGCACTAGGCACTTCAAAACGACAACAATGAACTTCAGGAATAGATAAAGCAACGAGTATTCCTAAGAGAGTATCTGCTGAAAATGATCTTAAATAATGAATTTTCTGAAGTAGAAAATGTTCGAAAATTTATTTTGCGTTAATTTTATCTTGAGATTTGAGTTTCATAGCAAAAATACAAATTAAAAAGAGCGAATGTTCAATAAAAAAAGGAATGGAATGAACAGGATCCTTTTTTATTCCTAATAGCCTTCTATTTAAAAATTTAAAAATTAAAAACTATAGCTTTTGCAAAAGCCTTATGCCTAGCATGAACAACATAATTAAATCTGAGCTTGCATTAAACAACACAAAGTAAGACTGAAATGCAATAATGAAAAAAAAGTTAAAAAAAAAACAGAAAATGGACCGTTTCCAACGCTTAACTGCAGAGAGGAGATCTTAAAATTAATAGAAGACGATGAAAGGAAGATATAGCAGCTCTGATATTATTAATGAGGACTATCAAATTACAACTATCACTACTAATTCCGCCGATTTTTAGCTCGCATTTCAACATCATTTCGCCTACGATTCCTCCGATGGCCACGTTTTGGGCAACCAAGTGCAACGGAAGATCCCGGAACAGCAGCTGTGTAAGGGGGTGGTGGCTCTATGACAAGGACGCTAGTTGGTGGTGGTGGTAAAGGCGGTGCTGAGGGTGCCGGTCGAAAACCCGCGCGACTGTTTACTCTTTCACTACCTTCCGAATGCCCTGCAGCTTGTCGTTCACTGACAGTTGCACCAACCTTAACAATAAAACTTAGTTTTTTATTAAGTTGCAATTGAATGCTTGATTATTCAAATTTAATTGAGAATAAAAATACTCAAATTATTCAACATTCCAAATAACTTAAAATAGAATAAAAACAATTATGCCTGGTGCGTTCCACGGCCATGTTTGCGTTGAATGAGGTTCTTTGGACGACGGAGAGTGTCATAGATGTTTAAGGCTGGAGTTTTATTAGGATTGGTACTGGGAGTATGTACAGCACAGATCTTGATAAAAAGTGTCATAAAAAGCAGGAGACCGAGACCACCAAGGACAACAGCCCACCAGTTTACCTGAAAATATATATATGTGGGAAAGAATACGTTCACAAACAAAATAGATTAGTCGTCCGAACAAATTTTTTTTTGTCGACTTTCAAAGCAGAAAGAGACTTATATACTTACTTGAATCCAATATTTGACTTCATGCAACGTTTTCGGGTTAAAGATGACATTTTTAAGACGCGCTAATGGCCCATCAGCATCTACACTTCTACACTTCCGAAAAATATCGCAGTAACCTTCAATACGAATTGTAGTTTTTTTGGTAAACTATAAGCAAACAACGAAGATCAAATCGGACAATAACAAACTTTAGAACTACCTTTGTAGTTGTTGCACGGAGAACCAGGAAGAAGAATCAACCCAGGTTTATTTTTTCGACCAGACTGCTTGTATTTACCAACAGCAAACTGCGGTAGCGTAAAACTGGAACGGCAAGCTGCAAACACAGCGAATCATACCATGCAAAATTTAGCTTCAATATTGAGAAATAAAGTGAAAGAGCAAGAAAATATGTCGAGTAATTCAAAAAACTAATTTAAAAATAGAATGAAATAACTGACTTCCATTTTCATCCTCGCAGGCCAGATGACAGAGATGTTCTGGTGATCCCACTGTCAGGAAGCAGTCTCTCAATCCTACCTACAAATATTTATAGATAAGAAAGTATGTACATAGTATGTCGTCGCCTAAAAATATAGAGAGCACAAATAAAGACATGAAGTAAGATTAAAACTTATGCTGTAGCAATGCGGATAAGATAATGTTTCAGTCATTGACACACTTAGATCAAACAGTTGATATAAAACTCACAAGAACAGAAGTCCATTGGGTCATTAGCTTAGGATGAGACCCTACAAAGATTTTTTTACTGAAATATTAAAAATGCCTCTCAATGACTATATTATAACACTCAGGTTTCTCACTTCTCCTATTCAGTATTCATTCGATTGGTCAAGTAGAATAACCTGTGCACAGATTGAGCCATTGCAATTACCATCGTTACAAACTTTGGTCGAATCTTGACACGGTAGACCGTTTTCTTTAGGATCAGATGGTGGGCATTCTGGACTTTTGCTGTTACATTGCTGTTGTTTTAAACATTCTGACTCTGCTCGACATGTTCTAAAAATATGAATGCTGCTGAATATCAGCAATATCTTTCTTTAGTTTCATTCTCTCAATTTAATACATTGTATAATATTTATTTCCCTTCCTTTTTGTTTCTTTACTCTCTTCTCTCTTATTTATCCGACCACTTCATCATTAATTTGGCTTACTTTCTAGAAGCATATGGCTGACAGCTGGAAGCGTCACAGCATGGTCCTTCAGACGGACTGCACTGTGCAGAATGAATACGCTTGCAGCGAGAAGCAGGTCCAGATTGACGAGAATTGCAACATTTATCTTTCATTGTTTGACAATCTTCAGCACTGTACCCGCAGTCGCAATCTTCTCCAGGTTCTTTTACCTGGTTTCCACAAAAAGATGATTTCGCTTCTACAAATAACATGGATATAAAGCACAAAAAGTACAAAATTAAAACCAATACAAAGTCACAATAAAAAAATAAGCCGTACCTCTGAAGCAGTTTCGCTTCCCCGCACCCAAGTTACCAAAACCACCTATCCTTAATGTAACTTCACTGTCAACTGGTCGTTGTTGCAGAACCTGAAATGACAAACTTTAAATCTCGTTCTAACCATATTCGAATATTTCATATAAGCAATTTCTTCTTTTTTAATCCATAATATTTCTTTTAAAAACGTAATTCCTTTATTTCCTATCTTGCAAAGCACACGCTAAAATCTTCGAAATGTCAAATTAAATGAATTTTGCTTTTAGAACATACTTCGGTAAGCACCAAAGTAATATTTGCTATTGAACAATTTGAAAACTGCGCATTATTCTTCTTATCTCCCGAAGTTGCAGAAGCAAACATGATATAGTTTCCATCCGGTAATCCTGGCTGACACTCCAGGGGATAGTCGTGCTAAAAAAAATGAATTGCTTTTAAAAAGCCGGAAATAGTGATTGTAAAGACACTATCTACTAAATATAAAGTGCTTAAATTGATAGGAACTATTCTTATATCCTAGTGATTGAAATATATGCTTCTCGATATTGTCGATATTATTTTATTTCTCCAAAGTTTCAAGAATCACTATTGCAAAATCGATCGGAAAATAAAAGAAGGATAAAAAAAATGAGATGAACACGCAAAAAAATTGAAACTCTACCGGAGATCCAAAATTGTGACCGATTTCATGAGCCAAAGTTAGTTGCGACACACGATTGGGGACACGATTACCATAGTTCACTAACGTAATTATACCTGTATTGAGTGAACGATAGACAAAATTCGATGCCTCGCTATACTTCGTATATTGCTGGCATATACCACCAGCTGTGTCTGAAAATATTTTGTTACTAGATTCCTGACTCTTCATTTCATCAACTACAAATGCTACAAGTGAATTCTTTTTACGAATACAAGCTTTTCTCTCTATTATACAGTTCAGCGTAATATAATATTAATAAGACAAACTAACTGTGATTTGGGCTGGCTACCCAAGCAAGTCCTAAAGTACCGCCTACAAAATCGCGAAATGTGAATGCATAAGCCAAACAAAAATCAGAGTGATTTTTGCGAGAATTAAGGTTCAAATAATTCGATACATCGACATTTTCTTCGCAAAAAGGGTTTTCCTGAGATACGCCTTTTGGTTTGCCATCTTTACAAGTGTTTGGAGTATAAAGCTAAAAAATTATATAAAACTTTGCAATTTCGACAAAACTCTTAAATTTAATAAAAACACAACAAATGAAAATGAAAAAATAGTTGAACTTTAAAATCATTTGCCGAACAAAAAATAAAATAACAAACCGAGATTCGTTGTATAACAAATGTAATACCATTGATACCACCGAAGCTCGTACTTTCATAAATTTGATTTACTGCTTTGATGTGGTTATAAAAAAGACTTGCAATCTCTTCCCGGGTCCTTCAAAAACAAAGTTTAGAAATTGAATTGTATATACAAATTAAAATCTCACTACTAAAAAATCTCCAAACATACCTGACATCATCCATATTCCCTTCTTTTTCATAAACATGCTGGTAAAGCTTTTGATCTGCTTGGAGATAAACATAACATGCTCTGAAATTAATTAGTATTGCAATAAAAACTATTTCGTTTTCGATGTAACACAAACACAACATGTAACTACTTTAATCAAGAAAAAAAATTACAACATAATGATCAAGTTTTGTTAACCTGACGGAATAAATTCGCTTGCCGTTAATTGTTTTAATGTCTTTTTCTCCTGCATCTCGTTTAAATCGTGATTCAAATATATATCTGAAACCTTCTAAGTTAAAATTCAAATCATTTGATTTGTTAATGAAAAATTTCATAAATCTTAGGTTTTATCAAGTTCCTGGGAACCTAGGTTAAATATGATGTGAAGCGATAGCAATGATTTTGATATTACCTTTCATCAAATGCACCGTTTCGATAGGACTGCTCATTTTCTTCATCCTCGAAGATAATGCCATTCTGCAAAAGTTCCATTTTTTGCTGTATTATATGGTCTAATCCACAGTTTTGATTGGTTTCCTCCATTGAACGTTTCCTTCTTTGCTTCCAAAAATTAATTGAACTATCTGAAAATGAAAGGCAATGTAAGCTTCGTGATCCCCCCAGCAATATCCAAGTAAGGTTTTTCCAAATAAAACTGATTCTTGCATTTACTTTACGACCACCATAATTTTTACTTGGAAAGCTAATACAAGCTATACAGTGCTGAAGCGTTAGAAATTTTCATATACTTCATTAACAAAAATTTATATATTCTACCTGAATAAATAATGGAATGGAAATGTTTTGGTCTATGCTTCCAATGTGAATACCGGTCGATTTTGTCGACGGTATAAGACTCTCCATTACCATAAAGTATATGCCCATCAAATATTCCATCACGAAATGAACCATACAGGATGGATTCTGGATCATCTGAAATAAACTTGGCATTATGAGAGAAAGATTAAACATGAAAGGAAGAATGAATATGCGCTATTTTCTTATCGCAGTCATTTATCCCTTCTTTCAATCACATCTTTAAACAATCTTTAAAAGTAGCAACACATCCAAATATGAAGCAAAGCACAATGCTCACTTTTATCATGGCCGTGCACCAAAAAATCTCGCATTGGTACATGTTCGTCTTTTCCGTCGACATCAAAAATAAAATTATCGCTAAACACACTGGTGCTATCGTCCAGTGAATGAAGAATTAAATGGAATGATCTGTAATATCATTATAAAATATATAATAAAGCTGAAAAAAAATTACAATATGCATTAACAATCTATCCAATCACAAATTCGATAAACAAAAACAGTCTCACATACCTGTTATGTGAAGCGAATTGAAGACTAAGAGGTGCATACAAGCCATCAGGTGACCGTTTCCTGCGATTAGCCAATGGCTCATAACTGAGTGTTTCATACCAATCTACGAATCTGCTTAAGCCGCCTACTGAAAACGCACTGGATGGCAAACAAGTTAAAAGAGGGCCTGTCCAACAATATTTCAAAATGTACAGAATACTACTGTAAGAAGAACTCGATAAAATAAGTTGACACTGTAGAGTGAGTCCCCATTAAGCAATGCTAGACACGTAATAGCACATTAGCACACTAGTTATCACTTATTCTAAATTATAATACAATGTACTGATATATAATATTTCAAGTAAATAGTGACAGTTAGTGAAAAAAACAATGAAATAAAATAGGATCACTCACCAAGCAATATATTCGAGATAAATAAAAGTGAAGCAACATACATGTTGTTGGGATGAACACCCCAGAAGAATTACATACACTCAAGACAGTTTAGAAGTACCACAACATAGTACCTAACCTGAAATAAACAAATTCAATGTTGCTCTGGAATACAATAATTTTACAAATACTAACCAAAAGGACGAAAACGACCACAAATGTGATTCTTTCAGTTGATTCATTCAAATCATTTAATATTATCAGAATGACGTGACGTTATTCAGCGAGGTGTAGATAATATGACCACATATCTCAAATTCAATATTCCTTGTCCTTTTGTCATCAATTCCAGTTTTCCAGCCTATTTTTTTATAATTTTCTTTCATCCTATTAATCAGTTGAATAATTAAATAGCATGTCTGTTTCAATTATTACGGTCTTGAGACATGTGTTCAGAAATGTGTCCTTTGCAAGGAAACTTAATGTATTGAAAGGAACACTGTAGGCATACTGTTGATATTTGACTTACTTTCTGTATAAATTTATTCCTAGAGAGTCTCAAAACCAAAGAATGAAATAAATTCCGCCCTCGATCTTTGACATACCTAAAGAATCTTGAAGAAAAGTCAAAAAGTGTACCAAACATCTCAAGCCCGTTATATTCATTACGACCACTGTACCACCGTAATTCACATAAAAAAGGTATATGCAGACATTCATATCAATTGCTGCGCTAATTACTAGATGGAAGACATGATTTGTCTTGATGCTTTGACAATCAAGTAAACAAGTAAAGAAACTTCTCCGCGAAATAAAATTGACGATGTTCAACTATTCTTAACATATATAGTGGTCACTCCTACTCACCCTTACATTATGTCATACTGAAGGGAAAAATTTATGGCAAATCGTCTCTGTCAATGTGGCTCCATTCTCCTTCCATTCCCCGTTGTACCATGAAGGTTTTGCAGTTTCGATTGCTTAGTGATTCTGACATAATTTCTTCGCAGACTACCTGGTCATGCTTCGAAGAATCAAGTTCAGATCTGAATTGGAGCTTAGCTCTAGCCTGAGATTATGGTCATACAAGTAAGTGTTAGGAATTATATGAGCTCTGAAATTTGTAAGTTTATATATATTTATGTTATTATACATCGTTGTTTTATTTTTGTATTTATTTCTCAATTTGTAGTGACAAAATACAATAACTTCTTGTGTTTAGAATTAACAATGAAGGGGATGATAATCAATAACTTGCAACAGGTAAATGGATGAGATCAGAGGTAGGATAAATAAAGATAATGACATAGTGATCAGTGACCTTGTCTTCACGTCTTAAGATTAACTGTGTGAGATATCGTTGCAAGGCATTATCATATTCATCAAGTTAAGAAAGATTTATTTTGAAAAACAACTAACGTTTCATTTATAGGTGCAAAAAATATGCCTTTTTTCTGTTAGCCCATACAGTGATGCATAGTAAAAAATGGATTTGCATATTGAACGAACTTTTGCGAAGACTTCACCAGAAAATATGTATGATGGGCTAGTTTTTTTAGGGAGATAACAATATCTTGGTTTAAATTTCGTGTGGACGTAGGCTGTTATGATGTGTGAATATAATTGCTTGATAAGAAATTGATCCATTGATTAAAAAGGGGTGAATGATCACAAAGCCACCTTTTTACTCTTCTCACCTCATTTCGTCCGCTTTATCGCAATGACAATGAATAAGAGTGTATAGCCTTAAGCGAAATGACTAAATTTAATTTTTCTATTGAACAGCTACTAACTTCAAGTAAAATGGAAGGATCAAACATTGAAAGCGATGCGCAAATTGACGGATTTCAGCAGGAAACTTCGGTATTACCCGAAATCGACTGCCACGGCATAGTTTTTGACTTGAGGCTGCTAGAAAGTACAAGTAGAAGCAATTCTGGTTGACCTTTCTGAGAACTAAGTGTATATCTATTTGGTACTAGGTAAGCACTTTGTAGTTCTCGATTCCCGGAAAAGCAATATCATCAATTTACAAATATCAGTTAATGAAAGATATGGTTCCTTAATGATGTGCCGATCAGTGCATGAGTTTCTCAGTGGACTTATGCACTGATCGGCATAGTTCATTTCTGTTCATTAGAACCATATATGATTTAATGAGAATTTAACGAATTTTTAAGACTGAACTTCCATTTCTAGGCAAATAGAGGACACAATAATACAAAGTTCAAAAGAGCAATGCGGCTCTTGACTCTTTGTTTCTATGTTGACAAAAATTATAAAGTGTATAGATTAGAAAATAGTGCCAAGTGCTAAAATTGTTGCATTGCTCTGTGCGATTTGTTGACATTCTATCAGTTGAAATCATCCGACAGAAAACTTCTTGCAGTTAATGTTTAGAGGCTGAATGGGTACTCGATTATCTGTATCACTGGAAGACCCAGAAGTCTCACCTCGAACCGATCGTCCTCCCACTTTTGATCCACTCTATGGGTTTCCGAAAGGACGAAAACCACGTGAAATGAAAGCAACATGGGAGGAAATGGATCATTGGAAGCTGGAATTCGGCGATCGTGACTACTGTGCTCACTTACTGATTAATCTAAAAAAGTGTCAGGTGGTCACGTTTTATAGAATATTTGGTTTAACTGAAGTGTGACTAAGACAATCCTGATTTTTATAGGGAGGAGTTTGATGAATATATGCAAAATAAACCGCTTTTCTTCTGTCATCTTTCATTTTATGCGTCAATCCTTGGAAAATCAGTGCAAAGAGAAATAAAAATGTATTTAAAGTTTGACCGTTGTTATTCGTAATTTCTTACTTGCACTGCAGCATATTTCATTTTTTCTACCAAAGAATTCAGTTTGATTGTGTGTGTGTATGTAAGGAAGTAAATATCAAAAAAACATTAAAGGTACCAACTTGACGATAATAACTAATTTGCCGCATAAGAAAATAAATTAGTACTTTTTTCAAGATTTTAATGCTAATATTTTAGCGACAGTATGCTCCATTTGCGCATTATTATTGCATAGATGATTATCATGAATGGCAAAACTGTGAGTATGAAGATCATATCTTGAGGATGAAAGAGTTCGAACGAGAAAGACGGTTACTGAAACGGGCATCCCGCAAAAAAGCTACCCAGGAGAAGTCGATGAATGTTTAAGGAATAGTTAGGAATAGTAAAAGTATTTGTGTTTACTGTGTTTAGCGTTTTTTGGTTCCTCTATTTCATCTAATGTTGTATATACATAGTAAATAAAGTCTTTTTTTTTCATTTTTGAACCTTTTGATGTTGCTCAGTTTCATCGTCACAGTGGTAATCTGTGGTTATATATGTTAGTGAAGTTTATATGGTTATATATGTTAGTGAAGTTTATATGGTTATATATGTTAGTGAAAGGTTATATATGTTTGTGAAGTGGCATTTTTTGAATATATTTTCTAAATGAAAATGTATTAACATGAGGAAACAAAGAACTATTAGAGTAGGAACCTAACCGTATCCATTCAATACCTTATGGAATGGATATTGAATGGAATACATAAAATTATGGAGTACTGCGCAATGGACTTAAATTTTTCTCAAAAGAAGTTTGAACAGAAAGTGGAAATCGGGGATTATGATTAGATGAAATTTTGATTTGATTCGGGATTGCGTATCTTTACTCCTTCCAGTAATATGGGACAGCAAAGGGTGCGGTATGTGCTGGAAGCAATTACAGATCCAATCAAATTACGTACAAATTTACTCCCGTTGGTGGAGGAATGCGCAAAATTGTCAGGAAAGGATGCTTTGGGATGGGCTTTGCTTGCGAAGTTAGTTTATGCTTGTGATCAGGAGATGCTGAAAACTATTTCATCGAGAATTCAGGTACTTTCAGATTTTTCTTCGCAATTCTGAATCATTTATTGAATATGTGATACAAAAAGTTACTTTGGAGAGCTGTTTCCTCCTCTCTTACCGACTAATTCATTTTAGAAGAGATTGATTGCTGCTACCAGACAACCAGTTACAGTTCCTCTGTTGCACTTTGTCCGTTCATTCCTTGTTCGTTTTCTATGGCTCAAAAATTTCAATGAACAAACTTTGGCTTGTATTTGTTCACATGCTGTGGATTTCAGTGTTGAAAATTGTTCCGAAGATACTACTAGGTAGATATTTTAATTTGGTTGTAAATTTGATTTTTTAGTATAAGAATTCTACGTATTAGGAAAAAACTATTAGAATTCTTGAATACCAACCAAAACGAAAACCACTATTGAAAAAGTCAGATTAATGACTCTTATGTTAGCTTCAGCATAGTGGTTTTCATTGCATAGTATTTCAGTAAACGGTAGAGGTGCAGTATATTTGGCAGTCTTCAATTTGGACTTTTCATTTTAACATTAAATTGATTTTTGATCTATTTATTAACAATTTAGCATAGTGATTTTTTGTGTGAAGTTATTCGATTATTTATAGGCTCGTTTCCAATATATATGCATTGTGGGCAGGAACTAAGTATGATTACATCTTGATAAAGGCACTGAAAAGTATATTGAGCGATGTCATTGTTGAGGAAAAGAATGAGAACGAGAAAGCACTATTTCGTTTTGAGACAGCTGTACAGCGATACCTTTCGCAATTTGTTTCTACAATATTCAACCTGCATACAGAAGTAATGATGCGATGTTCGCCAGGTATTGCATGTTTTATACAGAGCTGTATAAAGCGCATTTGTAGAGATTTGTTTATTAGAGGCTATCCACGATAGCTGGCATGTTTTATGTCTACTAATTATTATTTTAAATAGAATTGCAATGTTTTGATAATTGAAGTCACTCTCAGTTTCTTAGTCTCTGAATTTGCTAGTGATTTGATCAAATATTTGGCTGTTTAACTCAATATTTGCTAACTATTGAACGTTGATACAAACGGATTTATTAAAAATCTATTCTATTAATACTTCTTGCATTTGCCTTGATTTTCAGATGACAAAATTGCTATAAATGAGTGGTTGGATATCGCATATGAATCAGCAAGTATTATTGAACCCCAAAAAAAAAGCTCCATTTTTCGATGGTTAAGGACTTTCCTTTTAAAAGCTAAAAGCTGTGCACATGTTGCTGTACGAAGAATTGCCTCATTTATCAGTGATTTCTCTCACCCAAGTGAAGCTTATTATGAAGCAGTAAAAGAATATGTTCAGTTGGGACCGGACCTGAGTATTAATGCTCTTTTCAGAACCCTTATTCGTTCTGCCAAATGTCAGTTGAACTCGCAGGTATGTATGCTGAAATATTTCAGTGTGGTATTTTGACCTTGAAATACTGAGTAAAGTATTGCTTAGAATTAGTCCGACCTATTATATTTTGTAACATTATCTTCAGATTGCTACAGTGTTATATTTCCAAGTCTTTATTTGAGTAAGTTTATTTCACTTTTCCAGTTTTAGGAATATGGAAAAACATACGCTGAAGCGCTCGGTGCAATGCTAGAATTAAGACCCTATCTATTGGATGTTCACGATGTGATAGAGCTGCAGCACTTAGTTTGTCAGGAAGCTTTCCAAAATCGAAAATGTAGGCCGGCGCTGTCACTGCTAAACTCATTGCTTGCTATGAACAATGAATTGGTGCCGTCTCCTATTCAGGTTATTATTGGAGGAATTAACTTATCTCCATTTCTGCTTTCATTTTCAATTTACAAAATTCATCACTCTTTTTTAGATTGCGCAAAGCATTTTTAATAGCGGCGAAGATTGGTGCGATGAAATACGTCTGGGTCGAGCGCTGTGTTCTTCCATATCTCGACCGCGTATTCAAATAATCGTGCCTCAAGATGACTTGTTGAAGAAGTTAAGTGATACTATGATGAGTGATCGGCAGATGCATTTCGATAATTTTCAGAACTCGGCTAAGCTAGCTATGCCAAATGAATCGAAGATACAATCTAAGAGCAGTTCAATTAGTGATGAACTTGTTAGTGATGACTTTATAGAGAATCATGAAAATGTTGGAATGGAATCAGCTGAAAATGTTATTAGGAAGCGAGTGTATCGGCCAACAGGAAAAACAACCTTGAAGTATATACGAATTGATTCTGAATATGGCGAAGAAATGCTTTCTTCTAAGAGTGTAAGTTCGCAATCTTCGGAAACATTAGAAATAACAGATGAACAAGAAATAGCAAGAAGAGCTGAGTGCACTTTAGTAAAGCAAGAGAAATTGCAAGATACTGCTGTTGCAGATGTTGCAGTAGTGAAACGTAATTCAGATTCCGAGGTCGTAATTTTGGATAAAGATGTAATTGATTATGAGTTAACTGTTGAGCAAATAATGGCCGATTTTGTGCCCGAGTTGAAGTACCATTCGTAAATCTATGAAGCAACGTGGAACTAATGTAATGTATTTGAGAGAACAAAAAAGTGTAATGAAGAAAAAGATACAAACAAGGAATAAAATTAGAAAAATAAAAAATTCAAAAATTGGAAGCAAGATTAGAATGAATAGTTAGTTCTATAATGTTTGAACTCATTCAATTTTTGTTTTCGTTGAAATTCGTATTATTTCGTTTACTTTTCTAATTTTCAAGGTTCTTTGTGTAAACATCCAAATAATCATACGTTGCAACCGGTGAGAATACTTATTTTTCTTTGTACGCTCTAATTTTCATTTTAGTGTATTGTTAATATATAAAAATTAAGTATGAAATGTTCATTGAAATGTAATTGTATACGGCTAATAAGTAAATCTCATTGCTGCTTGTTTAAATGATGCCTAAAAATGATCTAATTCAAGGCAGTTACGATGACATTGAGCCATATATATTTACTTTAATTTTCTCTACAATTAACACGTTAATTACATCATTTTGAAAGTGAGATGCTTTGATTTTTCATGCTTTTAATAGTTGAATACTAGCAGAGAAATGTGCCCATATTAGTGTTAGTCGCACCACTGCAACATTATCTCATTGTTAAGCGATGTGTTGGTAATACTAGTCGGTCGAAGCACTTATTGGTTTTTTTTGTTGCTCAGTTTATAAGAAACAGTAGAAGAAAATTGCTGAATGTAAGAAATAATTAGAAACGATGTCGTGGGTCATCATCATCTTTTAGTCTTTTAATAGGTCGTTTATTCTTTAGTGAAGTAGCTGACAGCTGTACTGGCGAGATTTATATTTGCATTGGGGCTGGATGAAAAATTAAAATCATTCTTTCAGAAGCATTCTCTACACAATGAGAATTTTAGTAACAGGAGCTGCTGGTTTTATTGGAAGCCATGTTGCACTGGAGTTGCTTGAAGCTGGATATGATGTCATCTGTATCGACAATTTCTCGAATTCTGTGCAAGGTTCATTTATGCACTACAATACGCATTGCTGCTGATGTTAACGAAATAGGAAGAAATTTAGTCTCGGCTAAGTAGGGAATTAAAGAAGTTGCTTGGAAGCACGTATCCCATAAAATTTGAAATTATTTTTGAATCATTAGAAGTAATTGTTATGCTGCCATTTTCCGAATTAACTGTTGTAAACTATCGTTTTTCCCTTTTATCTTTTATCAGTAAAGTCTGTTTTTGAAGATAATGATGGGAATGCAGTTAGTTTAAAACGTGTGTCACAAATTATAAACAAAGTGGTGCCGTTTGTTTTTGCGGACTGTAGTAACGAGAAACAACTCGAGGCCGTTTTTGAAGAAGTTTGCTTTTTATTTGATTTTAATTTACTATATGTGAGACGATGATAGTTTTTAGCAAATTTGTTTGATAAATCATATTTTAAGTGTAGAAGTAGATTGCAGTAATTGCTGCTTTTCATTTATTTTGCAGTATTCGATAAATGGTGTGCTTCATTTAGCTGGTTGGAAAGCAGTTGGTGAATCAGTAAAAAACCCTCTTGATTATTATAGTAATAATCTGGTTGCTACACTAGTCCTACTCAAGGTTGTATTTTTCGTAAATTTTGTCATTACAAAATATTTTGCGTAGAGCTTAGACATTTCGATATTGTTTTGTGTATTGAATTGGTTTATATCTGAAGCAGCTCTTCTCCAAATTTTTATTTGAATGCGCTTAAAAAAATATTTGCAGCTGTGTGGAAAATACAATGTCAAAAGCATTGTTTTCTCAAGCAGTGCAACTGTTTACGGAGCACCGGAAAGTTTACCGATTAAAGAAACTGACCCAGTTGGATGTAGGATTACTAATCCTTATGGTCATACTAAATATATGATCGAACGGATTTTGATGGATTTAGCTGACTCTGATAAAGTGAGAGATAAGTAATCAATAGCTCGTTGAGTACTGAAGAGAAATTTTTCGGTCTTTACATTAAATAAATTTGTGTGGATGCATTACGCTAATAGTGTGAACTATCTTATTTGAATTGTAGAGCTGGAACATAATCATTCTAAGATATTTTAATCCTGTCGGTGCCCATCCTAGTGGACTCATTGGCGAAGACCCAAAAGGAGTTCCAAACAATTTGATGCCCTATATGAGCCAAGTAGCCATTGGAAAATTACCAGTTTTATATATATTTGGAACCGATTTTGATACTGCTGATGGTTAGTGTGCTTTTCTATGGTTTTTTTTCGAAAAGAATGAAAATCAAGGAAATAGTGATTGGGCAATAAAAGTTTTTGGCTTGTTATAGTTTAAACACTAAAATTCGTTTAGTAATTAAATTTTTGTTTGGTTGGCGTGAGTTTGCTTTTAGTCCTAGCTTTTAAGAAAAGCATTTGAACTCTTGTCGCTTTAGGGACCGGTATACGGGATTATATCCATGTTGTGGACTTAGCTCGAGGGCATGTAGCAGCATTTGATCGCCTTAGTAGGCAGCAAATTTCTGGTTGCGAGGTTTATAATCTTGGAACTGGAAAAGGATATTCAGTTTTGGAGATGGTTACCGCTTTTGAAAAAGCTAGTGGACAACAAGTAAGCTTATCACGCATTGTTTACTTGGTTAGAACAGTTCTTTATTTTTCCTTTATTTTATGTTTAAAGTCTTAAAATTGCAGATAAAGACAGAAGACAGTCTACCTAGACCAGGTGATGTGGCTTCCGTTTACTGCGACCCATTGTTAGCTGCCCAGAAGCTTGGTTGGAAATGTCAATATGGCCTTGAAGAGATGTGTCTTGATTTGTGGAATTGGCAAACAAAGAATCCAAATGGTTATCTACCGCAGTGATTATAACTGAATTGATTGAAGTTTTCACACGCTAAATGAATTCAGTTTTTGGTTCACTGCTTAACATGAATTTTTTGAATATATGATCCTTGTGCTGGAGTAGCAAAAAGGTAGTCAACTTTGGTTTCGTTATAATTTTTTTATATATTTTGGTTTCGATATCAATTTTTCATTATATTATTGTTCAAAAGAATATTATATCTATGATTTCTAACACTGAAATACTGCATCTTTATTTATAGCACTGAAATATGATGTTTGAATATCAATTTTCATCCTTTTAAACAAAAATTCAAACATTGTGCTTTCCTTTCTTTTTCATTTTCATTGTTACATCTAGAACTGCTTGAATTTCTGGATCTAATTTCCAATGCTTCTGTCACTTTAATTTTTATTTTCAGTCATTTCTTTAATTCAATTATGATAATTCCAAATTTGTATCATTTTGTCATTTGTTACTACGCGGGTTTGACTTTTACAAAGTCTTTCTTTCCACTGCTAATTTCATTATTTCATTCATTTTTTTGTCCATGAAATCAACTTATTGTTATTGATAATTTTGTCAGCTGATATAATTTTCATACTGATATTATAAGCTCCTATAGTCACTGATATAGAACGAGGATTTTGAAGTATTATCAGAAAGAAATGTCCAAAAAATGAATTGTTTGTTCATAACAAATAGGTGATAGAAAAATCGCCTGGTTTTTAATGTCTTAGCTATTTTTGATGCATTAAACGGAATGTTTTGTTCTAATCTGAACTGTTCTGAACTTTCTGAACAAAATAAAACATGCATTAAATCTTAAACTTCAAATAGCTCCTTACCTGTGCATTGCCTTTAGTTTTTTAACATATGTAAAGCAATAAAATTTCATTTGAACTGTTTTCGATCCTTTGTTTATTCCACATCCACGATTTCACTTTTATTTATTATCTGGTTTTTGATCATTCATCACTCCGCTTTACTGAGGAGTTGGACTGGTTGTTTTTATTTTACATATTAAGTTCTTTTCTCAAGTCTGCATGCTATGTTGTTCTTGATGATGGAAATGTGAATACTATAAAAAAGCTTACCATTGATTTGCAACGGATTGATGACAAGATGGTTAAGCAACTTTTTTTAAAGGAGAGATGTAAGTATTACTGCTGATCATTAATTTGTAGATGATTTTAGACGCTAAGTTATTTTTAACTGCTTGAATAATTTTTCTTGGAGTATTCCAGCCACATCTTAGCATCTTATACATTGTCATAAACTTTTCTAAAACTTATTCACTTTGCATTGACAATTTTGATGTCCAAGTTCAAATTGCGGCCATATCGATAGTATTGCAATGATTGCTAAGGTTTAATCTTCAGAATTTCATTTCAGATTCTGATTTAAAACTTGAAGTAGGTATCCATTTCGACCAACTTCACTTGTTCTTGAATCCCTAGATACTAGTCGTTTTTGTGTTTCTCTGACATCATTCATATTTTGTTCTATTCGGGATATAGTAATTAAACGAAGAGTGCAGTGAAACAAACTGGCAGCACCAAAATCGCTGAACGTTGGTATCCTGGGGCATGTGGACTGCGGTAAAACGACCTTGGCGAGGGCGTTATCAATAATGGGTTCAACGGCTGCATTCGATAAGCATGCCAGAAGTTCCAATATTCGAGCGAATACAATCGATCTCGGTTACTCGACATTGACCATCGATGACACAGTAATTGCTTTAATTGACTGTCCTGGACATGCGTCATTAATCAGGTACTATTCACTAGTTTGAAATTTGTAAGCGGTCAGCACTATTAAAGCGTTATTCAAATATGTTAAGATGGGTAATTAATATTTGCAGACATGGAAAAATGTTGTTAGAGTAAGAGAAAGATAGAAATGTTTTATGCCTATTATGTTTTCGCTGAAAATAGAATGATATCTGTTTGAATAATTTCGTTCTTCCCAGGTCGGTGCTTGCAGCTTCATCAGTTTTTGATATGGCAATTGTTGTGATAGATACTAGCAAAGGAATCGAACAACAAACCGCTGAATATCTCCTCCTTGTATCACTCTTATGTCCAGACCATGTTATTCTTATTCTTAACAAGGTTGATCATTAATAAATTCGAATGGCTTGAAATTCGTTCGTTATAATTTGCATGAATCATAAACCGTAAGTAATATATTGAATCAGGATGTTAGACATGTTTTGCTCTGCAGAGAATCATAATGAAAGCTATACCAATTCCAACAATATTAATTTCTCAAGATATTTTGACTGAAACCAAGCTTAGTTTGGTCCTGAAAATATTTTATTTTTACATCATCTGAAAAATTTTGCTATTAAATTGTCCAAATTTCACTTACTCATTAAAAAAAGGTTAACCACGAGAGGAAAGAGATTGAATACCAAATTGGAATCATATAATTTAACCAACTTTTTTGTGTAGAAATCTTTCGGATTTCAATCGTCAATAAAATAATAAATAGAATAAGGCAATTGTTTTTTTTTAGTGAAATCCGCTTTCAGATTGATTTAGTAGACGAGAAAGCAGTGGAACAAATGACAAAACGTTGCAAGAAGGCAGCATCTAACCTAAAAATAAACTCAGACTTACAAATTGTGCCAATATCGTTAAAGGAGCATAAAGAGGAAGCGATAGTGGCATTAATAAATGCTTTGCGTTTGGCGCTTTACACACCTCAGCGAGTTTCTTCTGGTCATTTTGTGATGTATGTTGATCACTGTTTCCCTGTTAAAGGCAAAGGCACGATAATGACAGGCACTGTTGTCGATGGGATGTGCAAGTAAATTTTTTTAATTTGTCATATTGCAGCCGTTTTAAATGTTTTTTTCTTAATTTTTTGAAATTAACCTACTACTTGTTGCAATTGCTAATATGGTATACTAATTTGAGATATCTATTACGAATTGTTAGGGTTGAACGTCATCCGTCCTAGAAATTATGCAGAAGAACGATTATATGGATTTCAGAAGAGAATCATTTTAAAAAGGAGAATTGATACTACTATTTATGATTATAGAAAAAATAGGAAACCAAAATGTTTGAATATGACGATGCTGTATTTCAGAGTTGGAATGGACGTAGAAATAGCAGCTTCACAGGAAAAACGTAAAATCAAAAGTATGCAACGTTGGAAAGAAGATGTCTGTAGTGCAGGAATAGGAGATCGAGCAGCCCTATTATTCCACAATATTCCTAGCAAAGATATCAATCGAACGATTATATATGAACCAGGAACACTGCGTCATGTGCAGTTCTTGTTGGTCAGTGTGAATCGAATAGTGTATTTCCAAGGAGTTCTTCGTCAAGGTTCCAAGTTACATATTTCGACTGGTTTCGATACTGTCATTGGACAGTGCCAATTTTTGACCTCAGCACTTCCCGGAGAAGAGGATCATTATGAAGCAGTGCAGGAACTGGATAAAACTGTGAAGTTTGCAATAATTAGCTTAGAACGATTTATATATACAAAAGAGGGTAACTTTTTTATCACATCCAGATTAGACTATCAAGGTAAGGGCTGTCGGTTTGCCTTCTACGGCATATTTTTGAAATTACTTGATAGCGACAAACAGATATATCGATTTCGGCGGAAGAAAAAAATTGGAAAAGTTGAACGAATCGAAAATGAACGAAGCATAATTTGCAATTCTCTGTTTAAGAAAGAAACGAATGTTGATATATATTGTAACATGAATGTTTATCTTTCTACCGGTGAGGTAGGTCGTATAGAATCTGCATTCGGGAAAAGTGGGAAAGTTCGAATATCATTTTTGGAGGATTTGGCAGAGAGCACAAAGACTGCTTATAAGAAAGGCGTAGAAATACAAGTGACACTGTATTTCAAAAAATTTTTAAATGATGGAAAAATTAAATGCTGTTTACCAGATTCTCCTACCCAGTAATTTTTTCTCGTTAGATTTGAAAATCTCATTAATTTTTGTCGTGATTTACATGTTTGAAATTTTGCTGTATTCACTTGAGTTTTCCAATGCTTTTCATTACGGTCGATTATATCTATAAAAACTTGCCAAATAATCTCTTCTAAGTATTATTTTCCGCAGATCAAAAACGGTACTCAGCTTTTTTAAATTTTTATTATCATATAGATTTTTTTCCTAGTTTTATTATTTATATTTGTTTAACGAACGAAAGACTTGGCTTTTTATATTTTTAAGCAAATTCTTTCACGGAATTTGGATGCATTGATGATTGTACAATGGAAGTTAGATTACATTCCCAACTCATTTTAGGATGGACTATATGTTAACAGCTTCATTTCGTTTCATGTCAGTTCCACGAATTACATTCTTATGGAATTTTTCATTTCACAAGAACAGCCATACACTAAGTTCAAACTCAAATGGGCAGTCTCATAAATTATTGAACATAAGTATGCGCACTAAAACGACAAATAAAAGGAGATCATATATTGAAATCATTAATGGAACGACAGAAAATCCAATCAATAGTAATGACGCTAAATTTTCGAAAAAGGGTTATGTCGAAATTTGGAGAAAGCCAAGAAGAGAACAAATGTACAGTGTAAAGACACTATCGGATATGCAGGAAGATATTAATAAATTAGCACAAACATTGTATAAATTAAGAGCAAATGAAAAAGATCAGCGAGAAAAGCCATCGCAAGTAACCGTTAGTGAACCAAAATTTGAGGAAGAAGATCTTAGGTTAAGTACGGGTATCGATGGTTCTGTTGAGCGCCTTTCATTCACTGTCCGCACTCCCGATCGGCGAGTTCTCATTAAGAAATTTACTGGCATTACTGTTTCCAGGTTTGCCTTTTACATTTCATTATAATAGATAGATATTTTCTATTTGTTCTCTTGGGATTTAGCAGATAATTCTGTGAATGCACTCATTTCTTCTCTAATTTACCAAAAAGTAAATTGTTACAGTAATAGAAGAGTTTGTGATAAGGCGTAATACGGTTTAAGTTTTAACAGTTCAATTATAGAATTCAGGAAGTTATTTCTTAGTTGCTAATTTTTTTGTTTCTGTTACCTTTTTTTGTCACTTCATTCCTGCAAATGTATGTTTTTCCGAGTGATTTTTCAATTTTTGCTATAAAAATATACACTTTTGTAATAAAATGCAAGTTTTATTGCAGAACTATTTTGGAAATGTTACGAGATCGAAAAGTGCGTGTCAATGAAGTCGTTATTTATGATTTTGCGATTGTTGTAAGTCTTTAGAAATGTCTTTCATTTCTTTTAGTAAGATTCGGAATTCATATGTGGGTTGGAGAGAGATATATTTAACAGCTGACTTTATTTATTTCCTTCAGAAGATTATATTTGATGAGATGCTTCGGTATCAGATGTTTATTCTACAGTAAGAAATCACAATTTTTCTTATTTTTATCTCCCTCGCTAATATTCCCATTTATTTTTATGAAATCTTGAGTCTCAAAACTTCAAAGTCTGGAAATTTATTAATCAGCAAATAGTAAAGTATTTTTACCTTGCAAGCTATTGTTCCTAGTTTCCACATTTTTGAAAAGAAGTTTGAAATCTTATTTCAGTGCAAACCGATGGATACGTTGGATATTTGGAAAGGAGAATTGGAGGAGAATCCGGCATTTGCTCAAATAGATCGTTTTCAAATTCTTCATATCTTACATTCTTCTTGTTATCAATATTTTACCGTGCACGCCATAGCCCTTAGGGATTTATTGGTCGAAAATTGGTTTCCGTGGAAAATTCCAGAAGTTGGAAACCATCACCAGATTAATTAAGTTCAACTTACCTTTATTTTGTAGTACTCTTCACTTTGTTCCGTTCATCTGTTGATATTAGCATTGACGTCGCATTTCACCCGTAAGTATGAACTAGACCTTCATGCCTAGACTCAAATTATTGTTTTTAGTGAAGATTTTTTAAATTTAATTGGTTCATTTGAAATTTAAGAACATGAACAAGAAAAATGAGTTGGGAAGTATTATAAGGAGCCTTGTTTCCCAACTCAGCAAAACTTTGCTGAGTTGGGAAACAAGGCTCCTTATATATCTCACTAATTCACTGTACATGACTGGACAATTATTTGTCACTTTATCTAACGAATTTTTTCATTGAGTAACTTCTTGTATTACCATTTCTTTGACTTCGCATATGATTCTCACTGATTTATACAGTTATTTGTGAAGATGTGTATGGTATTTCGATTTCTTTTTTCGAAATTCGATGAATTGGCTGACAAATTTTGTAATTTTCCGAATGAATAGAGAGTAATAAAAAGCAAAAGGAAAATTGGAAAGCCGACCGAAAATGGTTCTGCTCTGAATGATTATTTATGGTTATCAACAGCTATATTATGGTTATCAACAGCTATATCATCGCATTTTTAATCCAATTTCTCTCATTGTTGATAGAGTAAGATAAGGCAGTTGCTATTTCAAAAAATATAAATTACCATTTATTTAGATGTAAACATTTATACATTGGCTAAAAAAGAAAGATTTGTTGTTAATGTTACAGTGTAATACTAATGTAAGAAGAGTGATATTTGATGAACTTTCTCTTCCTTGTCTCATATTCTCAGAATGATAGAAGAGTTTAGCACATCCTCTTATTTACAAATGAAAAAGGATTGAACTGGCTGTAGGAAGGTTAATATTAATTGACTACGAATTAATGAGGTCATAAAAGGCCGCCCCAGCGACATTTTAAAATCATTTGCTCAAACACAGTTTATTTCTTACTCATTAATTATATTTGCAAAGTAGATGGGAGATATTATTAAGGAAAACGAAAAATACTCTCATTCACCAACGAAAAATCTTTAAATAGAGATCGAATTGATAAAAGATTGTTTAGGGAAAGTATCAACGATGAAAGCAATTTGCATAATGCGGACTTGAACATAAATTAGTTTCGATGAACGGAATCGAGATTAAATTCTTCACGGTGCTACAAGTGCTTTGTTAATACTTTGCGAAGATTGGCGCTTATTTGCTAATCATTTAAGACTTAGTAAATTTTAACACATACAGTTTTAGCTGTTTAACCTTGTATACTTCAGTAATGTGTTCGGAACATTAATTTAAATGTGATGCGGAATTGAATCCTTTTTAGTATCTCATTCCATGAATAAGGTACTAAAAAGGATTCAATTATCACAATGTTATTAATACGTACCACTTTTAATATAGCTTCTTATCCTACTTACTTAGCACTGAAGAAAAAAGAGTAATTAATCTTTTTAATTGCAATCTTTCCAGCGGAATTTGAATAAAATTAAAATATATGAAAAGAAAAAGGAGGAGGAATCACTTAGTGGTCTCATTGTAAAGTTTATTTTTCATTCATGAAGACGAATTTGTTTTTCAGTAACGTATCTATATTTAATCTGAAAAAAGCCCACTTCGTTTAGAAATAAATAGAATTGCATTATTAACAAAAAAGATACAAAGTGGGCTCTTGTTCAGAGCCAGTCAAAATCACAAAGCTGTTCTACTTCCGAATCTTCACGATTTAATGGTCAGAAGTGCACTTTAAATTTAAAGGTATAACATCAGTACTATAAAGTAATATAAGGGAAGGGAAACATTGTTTTGAAAAATACTGTGAAAATTTGGTTAAGCAGAGCAAGGTTGCACAAATTATACATTAACGTATAGTTCAGTCCTTAGAAAGGAAGACTCAGATTTTCAGCTGGTGCATTTGCAATTTCTTTGACAGGAATTTCAAGACGGAAAAAAGGATATTTTTACTTGGGAGGTACGGACAGAGCGACTTAAGTGAGTTGCGAGAAAGGCTGCTTGTTGTTTTTTAGCATATTGCATCTCCAGTAGTCGAAAGATATGCATGTGACAACGGAGACGACTTTTCGTCGTTATCATATTTGAACTTATACAGAATTTACATACCTTGCCACATCGAGGTGATAATACTTCGACTTCCTTCCCCCACCACACCTCCGCAACTCTCAAGTATCCTGGGCTTATTTCCCCATGGTCCGAAATGAAAAACCTTGCACTCAACCTTGCCGGAACCGTGAAACACTGACAGACAATATACGGCCAACCACTTTTGAGTTTTTTGCTTGCTGTGAGGAAGTTGCTGGTGATGGAGAGGGTTGGGAACTGAGAGGTCTCAGGGAATGATGGTGATGAGAAGGAGCTTGAATAATATGTGAGATAATCTGGAACTGGATGACTGTATTTGCCGGTTTACAGAGACTTCTCCGACATGGGGAAGCCAACATTCATCGATTGTGCATCTTCCCACCCGAATTGTCTGAAGCAAGTGGGTTTGATAACGGCTTGCATTGATAACGGCATCACGACTCGATCCTTCACACAGCTCAGCGTGGTCGTAGTGATGTCACTGCGGGAAATGATATGTTTCGAGATTCCTTTCATACTCTTCATTTTATTTCATTGGTGTGATTGTTGTAGAATGAATAGTGAAGTCCATTAGATTTTCGTCAGGAGGATCTTATGGCGTGATGAGTGATGCTATCAGATCATCACTGTTAACATTCTTCCGTAAAGTATGCTTAATCCACGCCTGAAATAATAGATTATAACCGAAAAATTTTTTTGAATCCATTTGGTCCTTTTGATTTGGATTTACAGTAAAAGCACTATGGGTAACAAAAAGCAAAAAGGGTGGATTCTCTAGCGTACGAAGTGCTATAAAGGGTTCCCTGAAGTACTTTATATATTTTGTCATTGTAAAGCTCGTGTTAGTTTCTGGTCTTTTTTCTTCTTCTCCAGGATTTCTAAATTTAGTGGTATTCTTATTTCTTAGTATGTATTTTAATGAGTTGTGTCAATGTAAAGCTCTTTTTACTTTCTTCTCTTTTTCCCTTCTTTAAAGTCTATGTTTGTTTGTTGAATGCATCTTTATGATCTTTTTCCGGGTTTTGGTCTAGTGAAATGTTATTGGTAGCACTGCTCTACTGAAACCACAAATAACCATCCATTTAGCAATCAGAATTATTCATTTGACGAAAAGATCAAATGGCTGACGCAGGCTTTTATCGTGGAACAAGTAGTGAGCAGGATAGTCGCTTTACTGATAAGGAACGCAAATTACTGAAGCAAATGCGTTTCGAGGAAGCACTTGACGAAAAGGTAATATTTCTTCTCCGAGAAGACGCAACTTACATACATTACAAGTCTAAACACTCACGTCCTTTTATGTTAATGCCGTTGTTATGCGAATTCTCGTGCATATTGGACCAATCACGACATCGTTTCATAATTTTATTTCTTTACTGAGTGTATAGTCAAGGTTGAAAAAGCGAAGGTAATTGCTTTTTTTGTCGAAGCGCTTCTTTTTTCTGTTTTTAACATAAAACTGTTCAAGTTTTTATAATATGAGACTTATAGGTAGGGAAGACTGCATTGATAATTGAATATAGCAGTTTGAAGGATTTGAATGATATCTTTCAGAAGGGTTATGAAATAGCCCAATTAGACAAATGACATGATGTGGTGTATTGTATAGGTTTTGGTATTCATTTGTAAACTAATTGTTATGTTTTGAAGAGATCGTGAGTGAGTTTGTGAGGTTAAGATCTGCATGGATCGAGTGAATTTGGACGTGCTTAAACCGTGGATCACTGCCAAGTTGAACGATATCCTGGGTTTGGAAGACGATGTCGTCATTGAATATGTATTCAGTCAGTTGGAGGAGAAATCGTTGAATCCGAAAGTGATGCAGATCAATTTAACTGGTTTTCTTAATGCCCGACGAGCACGGGAATTTATGGGTATTTTAATCATTTAACTTAAGCTTCTTGGAGTATAAATATTCTTTTGTATAGAATAAGGTATGAATTTGTTAACGATTCAAAGTTAGTAGCACACCATGTAGTATAGAAAACTAGAAAAGTCTCTTTCATCAACTGGTTTGTCTCATTTACATCGGTTTTAGGATATCTCATACAAACTAACGCATTAAACCATAGAAATCCTTTTTATTTAGATATATTTATAATATTTCACTGCAGGCGAATTGTGGAGTATGTTAATTGAAGCACAAAGTAGCGAAGATGGTATTCCAACATCGTTAGTAGAAAAGAAGATGAAAGAAATACAAGAGAAGGTACTCTCCTGCATTGTATTTACGTGGATATCTGATTTTGTTATCAACAGTGTTTTTTCGGTTTACTTATTTCTCACTGCAGATATGATTGTCATCAATTACCTTTTCGTTCTGTGACTATCTAAGCTGTTGTGAAAATTTGTTACAGGGAGATTAAGGATGATTCTATTTCGTCATGCTTCGTGGATTGGAATAGGGAGGATCATAGTTATTTCGTCATTTTGATGGTCCTTTATATGCTCAAAAATATACCTGTCATCAAATTTTAAAGATATTTTTGAAATTTTCAGGCAAAAAATATGAGTGTTTCATCTTCCAACGGTGCAGCTGCTGAAGTTGCTGGGTCAGATTGGAAGAATCGATATGATTCTTTGACTGGTGGACGATACGGTAATCGAGAGAACAAAACTATCACTGAAGGTGAACGGAGCAGAAAGGATGACGATCGGCACAAAAGTCATCGAGATAGCAATCGCGATCGAGAAAATGATAGAAGCAGAGAAAGCGGTCGCATCAAGGAAGATGGTAGTATGATTTTACTTAATTAGCTTTGTTCTTTATTTAGATTTGAAGTTATGCCCAAATTCGCAAGAAATCTGGCTCCGAAGTTGACATTGTTATCGCTTATTCTGTTACAGTATTTACAATATTTCGAAGTCCTTTTGCTGTTTATCACAATGTCAAAGTTTATAGATTAACAGTGCAGGTCAAATATTTGGTTAAATATATTAATCTTGCTCATATTTAGGGTTTTCGAAATCACATTTAAATCTGTGGTAACAATTAAGTTCGAAATAACTTATAGCTTACAGATTTTCAGGGATAGTTGCCTTTAATTTTAAATTTATAAAATCTTACGGAAGTCAAGGGTTCTCAAATTGTAGAAAAGTGGGTAGTTATTTTTAAGTTTAAACGATTTTAGGAATTGAAAGAAAGCGTGGTGAGGAAAAACAATTCAAGGATGAAAAGTTGAGATCACACAGCCGATCTCCCACACGTCGACATTTTCGTGATGAACGGATGGAAAAGAAAAAAGAACGTTATCGTTCTCCTAACAGGTATGTTGTCAGAACTTAAATGGGATAAGTACTATAACGACGAACTGAGGAAGTATGTTTTTCGAGAGTAGTAAAATACAAGGTATATTTTCGGAGAATTTGCGAGTGAAACTTTCAGTATTTTCAGTTCCAACTTTCAGTAAAATAAACTTTTCCAGTGGAAATTGTAAAATGTTTAAAGCTTCAGATCTCCACCGCGCCGAAAATTTACAGAACGAAAAGAAGAGAGTCGAAGACGAAGTCGAAGTAATGAACGTCGCAAAAGGTGAAAAATTTCTTAATGCTTCTATTTTATTGCTGCAGTACTATTTGTCTCACTTTTAAACTTGTTTTAAACAACTAATATATTAATGAACCTTTCCTTTTCCTTAGGGGAGCTGACTAATATTGAAAGTACAGGAAGACTAATGTAATGTTTAATCTGAAAAGATTGGTAAGAAACATTTAAAGTATATGGTTATCTATCTCTAGGTGCCAGCTACAAAAATTTCGAATGCAATGTAAAAATCATAGTCAAATCAGCTAACTTTAATCCAATTGGATTACTGAAACTGAACGCTATAGGAAATATTCCTTGATGTAATATTATTGAAGGGTTTTGCAATATAAACATAGTAACATGCCGAGGTGAAATATCTGAGCTTTTCTTGAATAGTATTTCTTGAATATGTTTCTTACTTCGCCATTTTTAGGAAGCGATCAGCGTCAATGGATCTGGTGGACGAAAAGCAAAAGCAAGTTTCCTATCGTTTGGCCTTTTTAATATCTTTATATTCCTCGATTTCTTTCTTACTTTTGGCAGTTCCAGGAAAAAGAAGAAGAAACATTCAAGGAAGCATGCCAGTGATTCGGATTCAGAGCGAGCAAAGAGAAGGAAGAAGCACAAGAAGGAGAAAAAGCGTAAAAAGCATAACAGTTCGGATTCTGATTGAATGTTTTGATGGTTTCCAGAGAGAGCAGTGTACTTGATCTTATTATTCTGTTTTAATTTTCATAATTTGTTTTCTACAATATTGTGATAAAACCTCACTTGTCGGATTTGTCAAATCATCTAAATTCGACGAAACTTCAAAGAATCACATTATCTTTCTTACCGCTATTTTAATAATACAAATAACACTAAGACTGGCCATTCACTTCCTGTATAATTTCGTGTCCTCTATGCCTAATGAACGATACGGGACTTTAAATTGGGACGAAGTCTCGACTTTCAAAACTAGCAGTTTTGGGCAGGTTGTCCAACACGACTGCCCTTCTGCAAGTGCTGAGTAGTGGAAAATTAGAGGTAGGTTTTTTAACAGCTTGATATATTTTTCACTTCAGTTTTTAGTAGTATTTTGTTTAGCATGAAAATCGAGAGTTTTTGAATTCTGGGGGAAAGCAATCGGCTAATCGTAGACTCTTGCATCACGAACTTCGGATGGTACGATGACCTCTATACTCGGTAGGTCTTCTTCCGTTAACCTTACTTGACAACCAAGACGTGAGAAATCTGTTGCTTCAGGTGCCAAGTCCAGTAGGTCGAGCTCCTCTTCGATTGGTGAAGGCAGTCTATAAATGATGGATTAAATGTTAGGTTAGGGGGTTTTAAATGGATTAAATGTTAGGTTAGGGGATTTTAAATGGATTAAATGTCGGGTTTGATTGTAGTTGTATACCAGTCTCAGTCAAAATGAATCTCAGTCAAAATGAATTAAATTTGAAGTTTTAAAAATGGGACTTGGGGAATTTGTTGGACTGAAGTCTCCACAAATTTGTGAATAGTGAGTAACAATTTGTCCCTGTTTTATATTTAAAACTCTTTCTGCGAAACTAAGAAAGTAAATTTTAAAGGATGCAACCTTTTGTAATGCTTTGGCTCGAGAATGACATGACATGTACAGCAAGCTAAAGTACCTTCGCATGCCCCATAACCATCAATAGGCAAGTCGGCATTAACGACTACTTCATACAACGATTGGCCTATTTTACCCACTGCTTCCAAGGTTTCGCCTCTATTTTTGAAGTAGACTTTCACATTCCTTGAAAATCCAAAGTTGAGTTAAATTTAAAAGTATATGACACATGCATGTGCCAAATTATCGCTGAAATCAAGGGCTCGAGTCTGGTCTAAATTTCAGGATTTATTATAGAACTTCTCTTTCATAACCTATTTTTGTATATAAGATAACAAACTTACTGTACGCTGGCTGCTAAACCCCTCCACAACGTGGACTGTGGATAAACAGCCAGTCGAATACAACATCGCACGATCATCATCATGATCTACAAGAACGAAAGTTTATTTCCTCTAATTCTTTGGCTCCAACGTTGGGAATTGCTTACACAACATTGAAGTGGAAAATATTTGGAAAAGTTAACTGATGTCATCGAAAGTTTTCCTTGCTACTTCAAATGTTTTGAAAAATAAAGGTTTGAAGATTGAATTCAGTAGAGTTCCGAGCTTGATTGTAAGATTTTTAAATACCAAAAGAAGCGATCTTCCACCTGAGAAACAACGGAAAACCATTTCAAATAATAAATGAACTATAAATTATGTGAGCGGAAAATGAGAAAATAAATCAGAAAATGAAGCATTTGAAGTAAACTGAAAATGATTTAATGAGGATAGGTACGTAACTCCCAGTAAGACAAGAAGCAAGCAATTTATGATGATATCGGTAGTGTCCCACCATAAGCTCGATTTTAGGATAGCACATGGAAGCCGATATCTTTAAGTTGTGCCTTTCTACATACTAGGTCAATAGTAGAAAATGAATTCAAAAAAAACCGTGGATTTGCATCAAACATTAAATGGAATGCAGTATGCAACAAATAAATTCGCAAACAGTGAATTCTTGTCTTACATTAAAATCAATTATCCACGAAAATCTTTCTTTGGAACCAAGTAATGGAAATAACATACTCTTAGAAGTGAGTGGCAGCAAATATTGGAGAAATAAATCTTACTAGATGAACCGCTCTGTTCAGTCTGACTTTTTTTTTCATTTCTATATAAATTTGAAGAAGCATTTATTTCAGTCTAGTAATAAACAGTGAAATAAGAGCAAATCTTAATCACAAGATGAGAAAAGTTTTAAACCAAGTTTTGAAATATAAAAGGAGACTTAACAGTAGTGAATATCACACAATTAACGCAATGAATATGGAATATCAAAGCAAAATGTGCTGGTTTATAAATGAGATTAAAAGGAAGATAACTTCTTTACTTACAAATAACCAAATTAGATAGCCAAACGTGCAAAGTGAAGCTAAACGGCATACAAACATTTAAAAAACGTCAGTTTTATAGTACCTGTATGTCACTGCTTATACCAAAAAGAACAGTTTTAAATTGGCATCTTGAAAATCTAATAAATTGAAAACATCAAAAAGATTTGCAACACTGTCAGAAAGTCAACAAAAAAATAAACATCTACAAGGGTGGTTAATATGCTCTAATAGCATTATTTTGAGCAGTACCCAGTGCTCAAAATAATGTTATCAGAGCATATTATTTTGAGCATAAAGACAAAGAAATTAAAAAAGTTGCGACATATTTAATATTGTTACATCTTTAATCAAATGGTATCGTAAAAGGTAACTTAGTCTTGTATGTTTTATTAATATGACAAGGTCATTCCATAAACGATATGTGGTCATTAATAACGTGTTAGTGAATGTAACTCGTGTTCTTCTATGTTTAAATCAAAAAAAAACTACCAAAGATAAAAATAATCCTTTCCCTCGACCATTTCACGAGTTCTTAGTATCCTTCTTACTTCTTTGCAATTAAGAAAGTCCATTTTTAAACATAAAACAATTGGGGCAACCATTTCGCTGAAAATCAAATAGATAATTGAATATATAACCAAAATAAAGAATAGGATGCTCTATTTACATGTAAAGATCTACCTCAGTGGGATAATTGGGACTGTAGCAAGGATTCTCCGTTGACCTGGAACAAAATACTCATAACGCCCCCAAAGGAGTTTTTTTACATCAATATCGCAAAAAGCTGTCACCTTTAAACGGTTCTCGTTGCTTAATGACCTGAAAAACTAAATTAAACTTTTAATTTTTTTCACTGCACTTTGTATTATAACATTAAACTTTTGATTTAGATGAAAAAATGAAAGTGTTATAGGCAAAAAATCTAATATAAAAATCTTTATAAAATACTATAAAGATCTTTAATCACAAATTGGAGGCTTAAGAATAAGGATACTTTCATTATGCACATTTTTACAATTCTTCGGTAGCTTGATATTTCGTAGTAAACATATAAATTTAAAAAAAAGACAAAAAAAATCAATTACCTGTAAAACTTTTTTCCAACTTTACCGGCACCCCAAACCATAAATTTTTTCCACTTCGAAAGAACCAGTTCTTCAAACATGGCTATACGCATTTTCCATATCATTTCTTCTGTTACATCTACAGAGGCACACTTTGGATGATAACGGTAAATTACCAAAGATTCCTCAACCTGTGAAAGATAATTTCCAAAAAAATAGTTCCATACAATACTACCAAAAAAATTCGAAATTGGATTTTAAAAAAATTGTGTATGTTTCAAGTATGAAGGTTGATGAAATTTATATTTTAAAACATACCTACAATGTGAAAATTTTCTTCTACAAAAAGCCATTGAATATATTAGAGTTTGGTACCTTTATAAAATCTATACCAATCTTCAAAGCATCATAAAAAAAGCGCAAATCCTCCGGATAACCCACTGGTTCTGCTTCATGAAAACCTCCAACTTTATCATAAAGCTTTTTCGACATACACCAGGTAGGAGCAATCATTGAGGGCCCATAAGAAGTGAAAGCCTGTAAATATTTAATATGAGAATTTGAAACACTTAAAACAGAATAGTCTATGCCTTAATTCCTTTTAACGAAAAGTTAAAAGTTCGGTAGATAAAGGATTTAATAAAAGGGCTTCGTGATACACTACAAAGATTGCTAACTATAGATTAGCAACTAAAACATGTTCTGACTTAATTTTTTTTCCTTCCAAGTAAATTCACTGAAGCAGATAAAAAGTTTACTAATTAAAATTTAATTCAAATATACCAGCTTACTATTAAGAAATACACTTGTTTCTTCTATAACCCATAAAATAAAAGTACGGTGATAGGTACCTGATTATAAATTTGTTTATCGTTTAGTGAATTAGCCCACTGAGTATAACGTAATGTTGACCCAGATGGGATACGTTCAAATCTTGAACCAATAAGAGTCAAGTCAGGTCTGGGTGCATTATGCAAAACATTATATAATGCGATGAAACGATGCTTCACTGAGATATCATCTGCATCGCAGAATATTAGAACCGATCCGCCGCACTGTCGCACACAACTGTTTTTGGCAAAACCTACGCCTAAAAATTGAACAAAGATGTTTTCAAATTTTCCTAAAGATAAAAAGACGAAAACAACTAATGAAGCCCAAATTAGAAAAAAGCGTCGAAGATATCAATCAGATATAAGAGAAGAATTAAAACGAGATACCCCTGGAATGCTTGATACTTCCAACAATAACATTGATGCCTTTTTCCAGAAATCTCGATCTATAGAGTGTTATGATACTGGAAGTATTATCTGTACTGCCATCGTCGAATAATGAAAGCTAAAGTGCTGCGACAATTTTTAGACGAAATTCATCCTTTACATTTATTACATGATAGGCAGAAAATCTATACCTCGATTGCAAATTTCGGACATACCACTTGCTCAAGGAGTGAATCCAAACACATGGACAAATGTGCGCTACCATCCTTCACTGGAACTATTGCACTCTGAAATTCCCCATTTCGAGAACTGTAAAATTAATAACAATAAAAGATATCAATCCAGAAATATAACACTATTTGAGAACTGAGTTCTATGTGATATAATGCTTACCATATAGCACAAGAATTGAGACTTAACTCAAAACTATGTCAAGGAAAGGTAGGAAATACTCAAATTTAACACCTATTTATTGACACAATTAATGAAAATTCACTCATCTTCATTTACCACTCATTTCGATGCTAACAACATCATTGTTTCAGCGACAAGATCAATTTTGAAGAATGAAAACTTCTTGCCATAATATAGAGCTATGCTAGGTAATCGAGATTCTACTTATCATTCTAAATTTTTTGTTTGTGTGAGAATTATTCTAATGATCCAAATAACAGAAATATAGTCATTACTTACAATAAGTATAGGTTTGTCAGTCATTGATAGAACAACTTATTATTTATTATTCATATACAAATAGTGATAGGTCCGCCGTCATAATAAATATTGAATATTGGAAGATATTCTGCAAAATCTGAAAATCTGTTACTGCGATCGCTAATTCACTAATAAACTATACATGGAGTGTGTTATTGTTCGCTTAACTATATAAAAACTAAGTAAGAGAGAAACTGCAATGAATAACCTCATATAAGTATTGAAAGACAAATTTTTAAGCATTTAAAACATAGACCGCTGAATATTCAGATTCCAATCATTGAATCACTCGTAACTATGTGCCACCTAATGAGATTTCATAGCGGAATGTTAGGCATAATCCTACGCGCACTTTTAAAATTGGGTAATCGCCATGCAATCTGCATCTTGATGGCACTATTATCAGATGACGAATCTTCACTTCAATTTCATGATTCATCTAATCACTTTTTGTGATTCATCTAATTATTTTCCCCATAGTTACCATGATGAGATGGATTTTCACATATCTGATAACAAGCAACTAAACTGTACTCATAGTGATGACTGACGGCTTGTATTTGCTCTTGAACGATTCAAAAGATGAAATCTCTGTTGTCTAACGTTTCGACAGTGAAACTCTCCACATTCAGCGAGTGCATTTCAGTATATCAATTACAATTGAGAACTTTCGCAACATTGCGATTCTTTGAAGATGTCGATTGTTTGCGAGGAACTTAAAGCGTCTTTGAAGTTTCGAAGAGCGCTAATATTGTGTGTGGACATCACAAATATATATTTATTACATGTCTGGATAGAGCAGTATTACTAGCAATAATTCGAGCAAGTAAGCTCTTGCTCGAAAGCTATACAGATAATACACATTATCCACATGTTGAAGTATTCGATATATTGATTTGTTGCTACAAATTTACTTCAGTGGATCAAAGCGCACTTATCGTAAGGCAATTTTATAAGAAATAATTCTTTGCTGATAGGATAGGTGGAGAGAGGGCTGCGATCCAGAATATCCAAGTAAGAAGTTGAATATTTATTGGGCCATAATGGGCAAGGTAGCTTCCCCGGCTGGTGGTCCTTCCTTGAAAATGGCCGCGGCATCAGAGACACCTGCAGCTGCTTCCTTGAACTGAATCACAAATTTATCTTCTTTCGGTGGTCCAGCTGTACGAGTGATTTCCAGTGGAACTGTTGCCCCGGGCTCGACAAATCCGTATACCGGTTTCAGGCGGTAATCGTTATTGTTCGTTGACTTTACCTATAAGTGAAAATGTCTTTTACAAAATCTTTTCTTCAATCAGTAGATCAGAATGAAAAATTTTCAGAAATTCAAAACTATGTAACACCTTGAAAGCCAAACGGACACCGCTTGGATTGGCGATCTGATGTAGAGACTGTCCGCCTGCAGCAGGTACTTGAGCAGCTGGTGGATCGATGTTCAACACTGGTGGTCCAGCCGGAGGTGCAGCTTCTGGCGGAGCTCCTCCCTCTGCTGGTGGCGCAGCCTCTGGTGGAGGTGCACCCTCTGGTGGAGGTGCACCCTCTGCTGGAGCGTCACCCATTATATGTTAGATTATCCTACAACGTCAGCAATTAGGAATTTAGGAATAGTCTTTAGCTCCCGATTAAAGGGATCGAAATATCAAAGGATAACAGCTAGTAGTAGTCTAACGTATTCCCGATATTTCCGGCATAGCTCCAGACCATCCCCATTTATCCCCTCAGTATTCTTCCATCCAGTTAGATGATAACAAAGGTAACCATCACAGTACACGACCTTTATTTGCGTTGACTGAAGCAAAAATTGAGTATTTGACTTAAAACTCGCTTTATATAGCTGTCCGAGGCTGCTTCTAATTATACAATTTCGCTCATTTTACATCTAATTATGCAATTTCGCCTTTTTTACATCTAATTATGCAATTTGCGCAAAATAGGTAAAATTGCATAATTAGCAAAATAAAACAATTTAAGCATATTTTTGTATATGTAAATTTATCTAATTAGCACATCCCTTTGGCGGTATATGCATTAGTTTTTGTAAATATTTATCAGTGTCTATATATATATATATATATATATATACATGTGTATGTATGCGCATGTGTGGGACGTATGCATGTGTATGTGTGTATGTAGGCAGTGTTAATGACAATTTAAACATACTGTTGTATATTTTGTAAAAGCGTACGTGAACTTTGTTGTAAATACCTGACATATGCAGCGTCCATTTCCGATTGTATGACCAAGGAAGAGCTGGCTAGTAGTAGCTGATATGGAGTGTCCATGCAACTGATAACCAAAACTGGCGAACAATTTTTCTGATCTTACTTAAGTATTTTTCTTGAATTATTTCGAAATCGTTGAATATATCATATCCTCGGACAGTTTGCATGCCAGCGCGTTTCTCATATCAGATCTGATAAAGAATCGATTCAATAATCTTACATTTCATTATGTTTCTTTTCATAGATGATTTGTATTATACGAAATGTCTACCACCCTAATAATTCATAGTGAATAAAATAAATTTAACTTTATATATTGTATGGAAAATTCGTGAAACGAACTAAAATTTATCTCGGTCGTTTTCTGAGTAGGATTGCCTCTCTTTTTCATCTTACTGTTTGGCCTCATACTCCCATAATGCAATCAGTGAAAGAAAGATTCACGTAGATCAGTGAAAGAAAGATTCACGTAGATTGATATCGCGAATTGAACATAAGCCTTGGATGGAATTAACTCCCATCTCAAATGAAATGGAGTTTCACCAACACAACATCATTGCTGGAGCGCGTATGTAATAATCACCTTCCGGCTGTATAGTACTTCTATCTTAGTTGAAGGTTTCTCGAAATTATATCTTTGCTTTCACATGGTGACGTCAACATTATAATTGAATGGGTGGGGAAAATTCCGAAAAAATGCGAAGCTATAATTTTTAATGATTTTTATAGGTTCCAGAAATTCAGTAAAAATTAACAGAGATTTACATGGATGACTACGAGAAGATCTCAGTAGTAGGACGTGGAGCGCATGGTGTTTGTTGGCTTTGTCAACGTAAAGATGATGTTTTCCGACAAAAAGTTATCATAAAAACAATAGCTTTAGAGGGACTCGCTGAAGAAGAACAGAATGCTATCATGGGTTTGTTTGTTTTTTTTCCGTTCTCATTTCAAATATTATTATTCAAATAATGATAAGCTTGCACTTAGTATCCTTATGATCCTTTATTCGTACTTCGAGGCTCGTGTCAGTTTTGTAGTGATTGCTTTTAATCTTATTTGAAGATAGCCGATGAAATGAATTATATGCATTTTATGCATCTCATCATTCAAGATGGTGAGTTCAACGGATAATGTGCATGATGGTTCCGTGTTTTTAAGTAATTTCAGGCCTTCTTGTGCAAGTATTTCAGGCGAGGTAACTCTACTAAAGCGCCTTCATCATCCCCACATTATTGGATACTATGAGTCGTTCAAGGTTCGTATCCATTTATTGTTCGCTAAAATTAAATCGTTTGAGATTGTCTTCATTTTCCTCTTACAAGCAAACGAAACATTTTTCAGTATTTTTCACTATATGTTTAATAACGCCTGAACTGGCCTATTGATGATTTATTTTTATAGACCGAAAATGCTTTTTCGATTGTCATGCAATATGCTGAGGGTGGAACAATGGATAAAATGATTTCGGAGCAAAAAGGAATTAAATTTCTTGAAAATACTATACTCAATTATTTTACACAGGTGGTCTCTGCTAACGAATTAACAATTATCAAAGAGAAAATTAAACAATACCGTCGTATACATGCAAAACCCTCAACGATCAGATTTTCAAATAGAATCATAAGGTTTTTGCTAGTACATAAGTCTTGAGATAATAGTGCATTTTTTGTTACAGTTGCTATTATTTTTACATTTTCTTCACTGATTAATAAAAAACCGGAAAACATAAGTTGTGCCACTTGCAGGTTGCTATTGGACTTGAATATATGCATTCCAAGCAAATACTTCATAGAGATTTGAAAACGCAAAATATTTTGTTAAATAAAAAACGAACTATTGTTAAATTGAGTGATTTCGGAATTAGTAAGGAGTTATCAACAAGAAGTTTAGCATCTACAATTATTGGCACACCAAATTATCTTTCTCCAGAAATCTGTGAAGGTGATATTCGATTTCACATTTTATTTGTTCTTTTTTTTGAAACAGAAAGGAATTTTATTTGTTTGATTTCCCCCGCACTATTTTTTGTGATTTCTGTACTGACTCTTTCTTTTGCAGCTGTAAGATCGATCAACAAATAAAATTCTTTAAGAATTTTAGGCAGAGCGTACAATCAGAAAAGCGATTTATGGGCCTTAGGGTGTGTGCTATATGAACTTGCTGAATTAAAGCGAGCATTTGATGGCGAAAATTTGCCATCAATTGTCATGAAAATCACAAAAGTATGTTTCAGTATTTGTAAATTTGTATTGAGAAAGAGAAAAATACTTTAATTTTTGTTCAGGAATCGCATAGTAAATGTAGCATTTCGGTCTTTGTGAACGGATTTCAGTGAATATATTTTTTCAAGGATGAGATTTTTTTAATGTTTATTGATGTTTTAGGGAAAGCATAATCCAATCTCTGAACACTGGAGTGATGATTTAAAGAGTTTGATCAGTTCCATCTTGGATGTTAATGAGAACAAAAGACCTCTTCTCAAAGGTTTGTATTAATAACCGTCCTAACCTGTTTGTTTAAATAACCGTCCCAAATGGCATTTTGTAATAACAATCCCAAATAGCGTTTTGTAAGGATTTTTTCCAGAATGTCGTTAGATGCACTATTTGATGAAATCATCCGCAAAAATGGTATCTGTCTTACCCAAGCCTTAATATTCTAATCTCTTGTGAATATTTCAGTTCATAGATTATTGAATTTCACTGTTTCTCATAATATCAAATATAATTTTTATGGAAGCGTTTAAGTTTAGGGTTTTTCAATTTTCTTATGAGTTTTTAATTTGCAGAGATTCTCACATGTCCACTGATCTTACCAGTTTGTCTAGCAATTAATTTGGATCTTGGTGCATTACCTTCTTCGCCGCTTAAAAAAACTCGTCAGATTGCCTCCTCGAATAGTAGCATTTTACGCACACAACCCATAGCGGTAAAAGCTACAGCTTATTGAAGTGACAAGCTCAATACAGATTGTATGTTTTCCTTGGGAAACCGATAATAATCGGAATCTTGCGTCTGTTTTGCATTAGTGTGTTGCAAGGATAACTAAGATATCATGTTGAGTTGATTTTGTGGTTTAGTAAAATATATGTTTAGCTTTTGGCATGGATTTTTCGAATTTGACTTTTCCAAAATCGCTGTTTGATTTCTTAATGGGAAGATGTTCTTTTGCGCGTATCTTTCAAGGAATTAGTACAAGCATAGGATTTTAAGAATGTTATGCTATAATAAAAATGAATTATCGTGTCTTTTTGAGATGAAATTTTAAATTTCTCCTGTAGTTTTGCTAGTTCATTATTGCTCTTTTCTAGTTGTCTTTCAAGTAGCTTTTCGCTTAAAGAAATAAAATCTTGATTTTAAGCAAAGGTGCTGTGATTTCATTACTGCGAACAACATGAAACTTCGAAAATTAGGCAAGTTTTACAATATTGAATGTCTGAGAATGGATTATTGGAATTATCAATTCTCGTTTTATCTGCATACTTCAGTACCGGAGGGTCTTTCAAATTTATTTATGACACTGTATGTTCCAAAGTTTTGAACACTATGTCACTATGTTTGACACTTGACACTTTTGAACACTATGAACACTATGATTAGTCTTTCGCCCGGTTAATTTCTGTTGAGCAAATTTGAGAAGTCGGATCTTTTTAGATAATTAAGATTTTCGGGGAATTCCCGCTATTAACTTTAATTACTTAAGTTGTGGTTGAGATGTGAACTTCAGCTGTCAATGCAGTGCACTAAATAAGGCAACATTAATGCAACACTACCATCAAATTCAATTGTATTTATTAAATCTGAAATCTTGCTAAGTAATTAAGGAATTCTTATCCGTATCAAGTTACGAAAAAAGATTACTGATTTCATTTTTTTGAACAATACTATTTTCGATTAAAGTACACAGAAACATTATTTTATCAATTTTTCAAACGTAGAAAATGCACCTGATTATACCATTCAGTTATTTGAGAAATTATAAATCTTTCAGTCACTGGAGATCTCAGTCTCAGTAAACTGATTTTGGAAGTTACAACTCGTCTCAAATTTAATTTCGAATAAGATTTGAATTGTTTTTTGTCTCTTTGAAAGATATGATGAAATTGTTAGAATTGTAAATATCAACCACATAATGAATTAAATAACAAATGATAATAAAAAGTTTGGTTTCTTTCAATAGTCGTTATATATATTTTTTTAAAGTAATAGTATAGGAAAAGTATATGTAGGAAGTACATATTTTATTCTATAACTGATTAAACATTGCAATAAATCTCTTAAATCATCAAATATTTCGTTTTGTTAGGTATCAAATCATTTTTGTCGCAGTCAAAACAGATCGAACATTACCCTTGTTCTATTTAATTTTAAGCTCTAAAGTTTGGCAACAATATCATCGTAGAATTCATATTTAAACTTCAGTTAATAATTTCCTTTAACAGTTCCCTCATTTTTGCTTGTATATGATGACATCATTGCTTTTCATCAAAAGAAATAATGCAATAATATTAAATTTGTTAGTTGAATGCTTTAGCTGAAATTAAATTTGGAATAAGCAAAAAATTTTCTAATATTAATGAAAAAGCTTAAAGCTTTTACAGTTAATAAAAAAGAAATTATTTTAAAAGTTTCAAATAGAAATTCAAAATTTTGAAGAGTTTCTAGTGAAGATGGAGGGAGGGGAATTATGTCAGTAATTTGTTAAAAGATTGATATTATCACAAAACACTAATAATGAAATTTTTACATTATCAATCACTTACACATAAATAAAGTTGTTAAAAAGATGTTGCAACAGCAAATAATATTATTTCCCTCAAAAATCTCATAACTTTTTGTGAATCAAATTGTATTTTTTTGTGCCAGTAGATGAAATAAAGTAATAATTTCATAATTTCCCAGGCAAATATCAAAACTGAATATAATTTCTCATTATTTCCATTTCCTCCCACTTATTCCATTATCTTATTTAACTGCTAATGTCAGACAGCAAATAATTCAGAAGTACTTATTTTCTTTTTTTCCTACAAAATTCTTCAATAACATACAGACACGAAAGGAAGAAAGGATAAAAGGAAATTGATGAGAATGTAAAAGTATAAATTGACTTTTTGATAATCAGCTTCCTCCTGTCCATCAAAGTCTTTCAACTTTTTATCTCATTCCCAGTAAATAATGCCATGTGAGATCGATGAATTACATAAACATATAATAATGCATTTTGCAAAACTTAATGAAAATAAAAAATGCACAGCGAAATCCATTCTTTTAGATGTTTCGAGAAAATTGAGAAAGAGATAATTGTTTTAATATTTGAAAGACAAATGAGATGTGTAAAATTACATCTTTATAAATTTCTGAAATATCATTGGATTTGATTTAAACTTTCCTATTGATAAGCAGGTGATAAGCGTTGCTTGGCTGGATTAGTTCAAAGATTGAACTTTCTAATGTTGTTGTTGTTGTTGTCATTATTATTATTAGATTGCATGAAAAAGAAGTTTTAAAAAAAAGTTTGCACAACCTCAGGAAGATAGACTATATGGCATCATTGCGATAAGAGAGAAAATGATCATAAATTATTATTATTATTATATAAAGAAGGAATCACAGCAATTGCTTGTTTCAAATTGCTTTCACTACTGAACAAATCACCAGGATATTGTGTTAGAAATTTCACTTGGCGTAAATTACACTGATTTGTTGGAGACTGAAAATAAGCAAAATAATTTTTTTTTTAAAAATGTTGTTAAAAAATTAGTTTAGAAATAAATAGCAAAATAAGTAAAACAATTTTTTAATTTTTTTCTTTTAAAGAAAAATGAAATTAAAAAATTAGTGAAAATAAGCAAAACTGAATATTTCTATATTCCCTTATTGAAAATGATAATTGCTAAATAATTTTTGGTTCAAATTTTAATTGATACCGCTTTGTGTAAACGTTCTTTATATGCTTGAAATGTATAGGTGCAGAGATACGTCGTAATATTTTTCCGGAATCGCTTATTCATAAAACAATAAGTTATCGGATTTGCGCATGCACTTATATGAGTCAGCAGTGTTATATATGTATTTGCCCTTCTGTTCCATAAGTGAATCTATAAAGTTCGTTTATGATCTAAAAAAGTTCATAAATACTTCAATATAACGAAATAATTACTGAGAACGGCAAATGTCGCAACTGGTGATGAGCTTCATAAATTTTATTTTGATCCTAAAGTTATGAAATGGTTAAATTTCTACGGATTTTTTTAATTAGACATGAAGGTGTCGTTTTCTAAGACCTGAAACTTCTGGAACAATACTGTTACTGCTGCTTTCAAGTTCAAAAATGTTTTAGAATTATTAAACACTTGAGATCAAATATCATTCTTCTAAACAAACTGATGAAACTATTAACTTCTATAAGATTTTTCTCTTTTTTTTAAAGGTATTTTTTGATTTTTCTTTAAATTTGGTGCTGCATAACTTACACATTTGCTTTATTTTGTTGCAATCAAAATTTTGAAAACAAAAAAATTGCTGGAACTCGCACATACCCGGACGAGATCAGATGTTCTGATTGTAAGCCACCAAATAAAACTCGGTGTCCAACAAACAATGAAAGTAATAACAATGATGAATAGCATTCTGATTACACGTTGTTTCGCTTCAATTATTCTTTCCTAAATAAATTTTTGCTATTATATTATTTGTTTTTTAAAAAAATCAAAAGTTATACAATTAAACTGATTGGCACATCGAGAGTAATTATATTTTATCCAACTTGTTATATTTTTTGATTTATATGAATTGAATGATATGACATAAACAGAAAACAATTATTATCTGATCTTACCATTAACACTTTTTTCATCTTTTATCTCCCCTTCTCACCCTCCTTTCGTTTCCCAGTAAAAATAATCATAACAATTCAAAAATTGTAAAACAAAAGAAGACTTGCAGAGAACAAAACTCGTTAAAATGATAACCTGATGATTGCTTCGAAGCATATAGCCATACTTACAATTACCACTCAATCTACTGTCACTAAACGATGATTGAAGGTCAACAGTACTATCAAAATTGGAAGATCTGTAAAATTTCAATGAAGTTAGAACTTTCAAAATTACCAATTTTTAGTATTGTTCCAGTCAGAAGATAAATCTTCAACAAACTGACAATACTAAGAGAATGTGTGATGATAATTTGATAACCTGAAAAGCGATTTAGTTCGAGCATCATACTTACACGCCTTTCTGTTTGTTATATTACACATACTTGAAGTGGTACCTTTCCGTTTTGGATCATTCATCCAAGCCTATAATTACAGATATTTTAGGAAATACAAGAAGATACAAATTAAGCAAAGCACTTAATCATTTTATTTCTAGCAAACATTTTGTAATGATCTTTTGAGCAGTCATCTTTGCAATTGAAGCATTTAAAACTAAGATCCAGAATGATTTTCGTAACTTCCGATCCAGGACGATTAATATAATCTCAGCTGCCCCATAAGGGAGTGAAAGAGTGATATAGGACGGTAATCAATTTGTTATCATATACTTTTCTATTCAGAGTTTGGAACAATAAATAAATATCTTCAATAATGAAAAATAGAGAAGATAATTTTGTTCTTTTCGAAATTATGAAATTTCAATTGTGAAAGGTGTATTTGGAGGAAATTACATTTCGTCCAATGTTATTTACAGTTTGTAACTCTCATGGAATTTCAGGCATTTCCAAAAAAAAAATTTAAACAGTTATGAAATATGGCTATTCAATTTTTTTTTGAAAAAATAAAGAATCTCAAAAACTTCTCATATCAGAAAAGTTCAAAATTTCTAGCACGAAACTAGTAAGAGAAGAAGTGATTTTAATTCATAAAACTTCCATACAAATCATTTCATTGAAATAATGACTTTATTGTTTGGAAAAATATAACTTAACTTACACCATAAGAGACGCCGAGCTTTTTGCTACTCTGATCTGCAAATGATGGATAAAACTAACTTGAAAATTTCTTTCGTTCTACACCACCTATACCATTTATCATCATTACCAACAAAAAAAATGAAAAAAATTGTTATTATCACAATTTTAATAAACTTTATTCTTTAATCAATTAATAAATTACAACTTTTGATTTGAAAAAGTCATTTAAATTGTAGAAAATGAGCAAATTACTTCAAAAACTAACTGTTAGTTGGATAGCATTCCATATAATTGCGACATCTTCCTGGTCTTACTTCCATTTGACTATTTGAATGAAGAGTTTTGATTACTTTGCGATATAAAAGTAACATAATTGTTAGTGGTATGAGTAACAGTAACTGAAACAAAATTCAATGTAATTTTAATTGAGAATTTTTATTCAGACATTTAAATATGTAACAACGATGACTTTTGGATAGGATCGGAAAGAAAAAGTTTATGAAATTGTAAACTAACCATTGTGACATGGATTTGATAAAAGAAATCTATTAATGGAGTAGCAGTGGAACGACAACTCCAATGTGTTCTGTATGGAATAGCATCATAAATGATAAGTGCGCCAATATTGCTCCCAAACGCAGTCAACCAAACGAAAGATATAAGTGCTAATAAGCGACGCTACAAAAAAAGAAATGATATGAAATGATATGATAAAACTTGGCTCTCTCTTATGTCATAATTTCAGTTTAATAATAATGATAACTCCTTTTTATGCAAACTCTAAAATATTTTGTCAAGATTCTATATGTTAGTGGTCTGAAAAAGTTTGAAAAAAAAAATTTGATTTGAAATTTGAAAAAATTTTCTATTATTAGCTAATGTATAAGCTTTAATATTTAAACAGTACCTTTGAAAGCCAAACGATTGATTCCAATGGATGACATATTGCATAGTAACGTTCTAGTGCAATTAAAGCTAATGTATAGACTGACGCATAAACTGTCACAGCTAAAATAGCAATGTAAATTGTTTCAATCAAATTTCTCTTACTCATACCTCTCCGTTATATTTTCATTTAGAGTTGAATAGAATATAACAAATGATAATGAATTACAATAAACCTTACAGGCCTTTAGTGTCAGCAAGAATTTCATCAGAAAAAAGTAAAAATTTTTCATTGAAGCAATTTTTTCTCATACTAAATTATTTGAAATATCAAAAATGAATACCTAAAAAGGTAAAGAAAAGAAAAAGAAAATTCATGAAAATGTAAACTTACGCTGCAAATAAGCAGCAAATTTGCATACATGTGGTCCAAGCAACCAACATTGTGATATTTCACTCATTAAAGTTGGCGGTATGCAAATTATTGATCTAAAATATATTCATTAAAAATATTATATGAAAAGGACTTTTTTTTATCTTTTATTATTTCAACTTTAACAGCAATTTTAATTAATTTGAGAAAGAGAGAGAGAGAGAATATTTAATAATTATTATTTAAGTATTATAATTTCACATCCAGAAAAGTTATAAATAAATAGTTTAAATTACAATCAATTAAATAAGCGATGATAATTAGATCATTCCTTTCCGCTTTTTTGAAGTATTCCGTGGCAGCTTCACACTTGAAATCAAATATTTAACGTTCTATAGCTTACCGTAACAAATCAGCAATTGCTAAATTCAACAATAATATATTGGTAATTGATTGTGTGGTACGTCGTTGAAGTTTGATAATAGCAAATAAAACCATTGAATTGCCGAGCAATGCAAGGATGAAAATGGCAGCAAAGCATAAAGCAATGAATAGATTGTGAAAAGTGAGTTGTGGTACACACTCTTTGACCATTCTATTGTTTATTGTCCAGTTTATGGTGGCTAGTTTAAGTCCATTTGCCAATAAAATAATATTCCCTATATCAAATTAAATTGTATCATTTGTTTAATGAAAAAACTTTTTTCTGTAATACCTTTACTGGAATTTCATTTTTGTGAGTGACCAAATGGTACGTAATAGCTTTGGTCATTAATTTATTTGATTCATTGAGAAAAGAATTAATACTGAAAGTATTCTGAAAAGATTTATACCTTTTTGACTTATCGTTATTATTTAATAGGAATAAAATGAAATAGAAAACCTTAACTAAAAGGTAAGCATTTTGTAGGATTGGAATGAAATAGAAAAAGTTTACAATTAATAAAAATGATAATATTTATATTGTTGATGAAAAAGTAAATGCTAAAACAAAAAGAAATTGATAATGTCAATTCTAATTGTCAATTCTAATTTGTCAATTTTAATTTTCAATTCTAATTGTCAACTCTAATTAGTCAGTTTTAATTGTCAATTCTAATCTTAATCATTTACGTTTGTTATTATTTGAAAAATTTTTTTATTGAATGAAATATAAAATTTAAGCTAATTTTAATCATTTGAATGTTTGTAAATGAAAATTAAGGATTCATTAATGAAATGATGAAATTAATAGTAAAATGAAAAATATGAGTGGTAGTAGTTTAATGGATTAGGATAAGACCACTTGAAAAATGAATGCAATTACGCTTTAATAGACCTAATTAGTCGTAAATTATCCTTCTAATTATCATTCATGCAAAAATGTTTCTTATCATTGATTTATCATTTACATTATTATTTGAATATTTTTCCTATCGCATGAAATTTCAATAATTTTACAAGCCAAGAATATCATCCCTTTTTTTATAAACTTTAAATCGAATTGTATTCAAAATTAGAACAAATGAATTTGAATTTGCAAAGAAATTTTCGAGATTTATGAAAAAATCATTATTGCAATATTTAGAATGTTATGATTTTAGGGTCAGTATGATTTTAGGGTCAGAAGTCAAAAATCGTTTAATGAAAAATATTTTAAATATTCGGAATGCTATAATTATGATTCATCCATTTGAATTATTTCTTAAACAATGCATAAATTTTATATCAAAATCATTAATGTCAAATATTATTAAATTAAAGAAATTATATTTGTCATTTTTTTAGCTAATAAAAATAACGAACAAAACTGGATCATTTCGGAAACTAAAGCAAAATTCAGAATTCAGAATTGAGGAATGAGATTAAAGAAAAGTAATCAATCAGATGATAATATATTTACTCAACTAAATTTACAAATAAGGTGTAAATAAATTTGCATGCTAATATATTTAAGTGTTTACGTTTGGAATTGTTTACTTACTATTATTTGATAAAAATTATTTCAGACAGATAAAAATTACATTATAACATTAATTATATTTTGTTTGAATATATTTTCTCAGACAATTTTAATTTAAGGAAAAGATTATTTAAATAATATTTTCTCAATGAAAGCGTATGAAAAGATAAAACTTAAATATATTTAATAGAAATATATTTTCGTAGAGAAATTTAATCATTTCATACTTTTAAATATTTCAATTAAAAATTATATAAATAAAATGAAACGAAAGAAAATTCGAAAGCTATATCGTATTACTATGGTTAAGTTTAACTTTTATATTTTTAAATTGCTATTTAAAATTCAAAATGCTTTAACTGACAGATTCTTATGCTTCGCCAATATATGTCCTTTTTAGGATAGTTGTTAAATGATTGAGATAATTTCACAAATAAACTATAAGAAATAAAAATTGAAGAAATGTGAACTTGTGAAAATGAACATAAATAAAAATGTCTGAAGCAAATGATTTAACTATACAAATAAATAAAATAGCATTAAATTATCAACAGCTGTCTTCTTCAAATTGTTTAAACACTCATAAATCTAATGTCTAATCGATCACATCACTCAGTCATTACCGCGACAAATAATAATCAATAAGCTTCAAGTAAATAAAAAATTAAAAAAAAAACGATAATTATTTGTTCTTAATTATTTAATAATATTATAATAATAAAAGAATGCAAAAATGAGGGAGAGAGAGAGAGAGAGAGAGAGAATTGAAATATTAAAATAATTTTCATCTTTTTGTAGAAGTGAAATTGTGTTGACAAATATTGAAATTGAGTGAAATGAAATGCAATGCGAATTTTGAAGTATTTTTCTCTCTTATTTTGCACTTCCTTTTGCATATGAATGAATAATATAAATATCTATCATCCAAATGTCCTCCTAACTTTATTTATCAGTTTTGGGAATAAATTTCGATTCACTTTTTAATCGATCAATTTTGGGAAGGAAAAATTGAATTTTGGAAAGGATAAAAAGTATTGCAACGAAGTGCTAAAAACCAAAAAACATTTTTCCATTAGCTAATAGAATTAGTACGAAATCTCATTCAAATGAAGAAGTGAATAATTAAAAATAATCTATTCATTCCAAGAATATCAAATATATAAAATAAGATAGTTTCAATTAATTAATCGATCAATAATTAGTTGCTTGAATTTTTTTTCTTATCATAAAAGTGATCACTTGAAATTGTTTCTATGGGATGGAATGAAATTTTCAAAATAAGCGAAATAAGAACGCTACTTATTCCTCAATTAATTTATATTCTTAATTCTATCAGCCTAGGCTTATTTCTAAATTTCTTATTCATTTGTAAGAGGTAGAGAGAGAGAGAGAGAAAAAAAAAAGACTAAAAGATTTAAGAGGTTTTAGATTCAAAAGTAAAAGAAATGCATCATTTATCATTGCTCATCATCATTTGATTTGTTGCTATTGAATCAAGTTCATGATGAAGTTTGTTATCATTATCAATGAGACTTAACAGTAGCATTCAATGTGAAGTAATGAAGTATAAAGCAGTTTTAAATTATAAATAGAAATAATGCTTTCAAAATGATTTCACAGAGATTGTAATAAACAAAGTTTTATTATTTTACAAATAACTGAATAATAAAAATTTTTTCCACAAATAAAGTTTTCTTTTGATAAATGAAAATTTCCTACTTTGATCGAAATATCACATTCAAATAAAAAGAATGATAATTGGATTTATTGCAGCTGGCAGGAAGTAAGATTACAACGCTTCGACTTCTACAAAAAGCATCGATCGATAAGATGTAAAAAAAGCTTGTACTTTTTAATTTTAGGAAGAAAATTTACGATTAAAAAAAAAACATAAAAAAGGAATATTTTGAAAATATATATATATATTTCCATAATTCTATTACAGTTTCTATCCGATTGATAAGTACGTAAAATATTTGACTTGAACTTCATAAATGATCTTTACAGAATATGTATACAACACTTATTTAAACAGCCATTAGCAAAGCATAGTTTCTCTTTTGTAAGAGAACTGCTTCTAATGATTCCATCGTTTTAATAAAAAGAAATAGTTGAAAATTTTTACGCTTCAGATAATCAATTTAGAAGTTTAAAAAATTTATGAACAAAAAATTTGAAGAAAAGTCTTAATTTAATTTTCATTTTAAAAATTTTCTTTTTTTAAATTCAAAAAATTTTAAATGACAAATACTTTTGACTAATTGCCATCGATTGTAATTGTAGAAATATTTATGTGAAATGAATTATTAGAAAATTTTTACTTTAATTCAATTATATGAAAAATAATTATATGAATTAAACAATTAAGAGGAAAATGGAATGACTTTGGACATCGGACAAAAGCGCCAAAGATACCAATCTCATTATCATTTACAACGATGATAAAATTATCTGAATTAAAAATAGACTGATAAGTTATTGAAAAGCTTTATTAAAAAGAAATGAATTTGATAGATTTTGCTGATTTCACTATCATAACATATGTATGGTTCAATAAAATAAGCTAAATTAGACATACAAATATCATGCAAAATATAAAGCAATTGATGAAGAATGAGTGAAAGAAAATAAGAAAAGAGTTAATATCAGAAAAGTGAAATGCTTATTTTGTCCACAATTTATATAACAAAGCAAAAGCTAAAAAGAGGAAATTACTAAGCTTCGTTTGTGATTTACAGATATTTGCCGTATAAATCGATGACTTAACAAGTAATGAATAATTGCATTTAAATATGAAATTACTTGCAATCTATAGATGATGCTTTTCTTCTATATTATCCCTTTATCTGATTTATTCATTTTAATTTATCTAACAGTATTATTAATTGCACAAGCGAATATGGTACTATTATTTATTATTATTATTATTATTATTATTATTAAGTATTGGTTTATTATTATTATTATTGATTATTAATTATTATTATTGCCAATTATTAATTATTGTTATTATTTTATTGTTTTTATTATTTGTTATTATTGTTTATTATATTGTTCATTATTTATTATTATTTATTATTCATTGTTATTTATTATTTATTATTTATTTTCGTTTGAATGCATCTCAATATGTTGGCAACTTTTGAACTTATTTTTTTAGTCACAAACGGCAATACCTTCTAATCTAATCTATTGGTACTTTAGACAGAATTAAAGATCGAAGTTTCTTTCTTTCTTTTTTCTCCAA